GGTCAAATTTGTCATAGTATAAATTGTTACAAAAATGTTTAAGAAACTGGACTAAACAGATATCAGAAGTAAGATCAGGGTCTCAGGAAATTTTTTTTTAGAAAATTTGAAAGTTTATACTTATTACAACTATGTCTGTTCAGAATGGAAGTTGGTGAAATGATTCACTTTGAACAAATTCTTTCAAACTGGGATAAACACAAGATGACCAGACAAGAAATGGCTTTTGACAATTACTGTATCCCACTGCCTTATACAAGGCAGGGCTAATTAATGACCTTAGAATAACATGCAAAACAAGAGGCCCATGGGCCACATCGCTCACCTGAGTAACTTTGGCCATGCTGTTCATTACCAGACTTCCCCCCTTGTAATACCTATTGTGGCCCTGCCCTACCCCCAGGGGCCATGATTTGAACAATTTAGAATCTACACTATCCCAGGATGCTTCCACATAAGTTTCAGTTTTTCTGGTCCAGTGGTTCTAGAGAAGATTTTTCCTATATATTTCAATGTAGAACTTGGGAATCCCTATTGTGCCCCCCCCCCCATCCCTGGGGTCATGATTTTAACAATTTAGAATCTACACTACCCCAGGATGCTTCCACATAAGTTTCAGCTTTTCTGGCCAAGTGGTTCTTGAGAAGAAGATTTTTCAAGATTTTTCCTATATATTTCAATGTAAAACTTGTATTTCCTATTGTGGCCCCGCCCTACCCCCAGGGGTCATGATTTGAACAATTTAGAATCTACATTATCCCAGGATGCTTCCACATAAGTTTAAGCTTTTCTGGCCCAGTGGTTCTTGAGAAGAAGATTTTTCAAGATTTTTCTTATATATTTCAATGTAAAACTTGTATTTCCTATTGTGGCCCCGCCCTACGCCCAGGGGTCATGATTTGAACAATTTAGAATCTACATTACCCCAGGATGCTTCCACATAAGTTTCAGCTTTTCTGGCCCAGTGGTTCTTGAGAATAAGATTTTTTCAAGATTTTTCCTATGTATTTCAATGTAAAACTTGGATTCCCTATTGTGGCCCCGCCCTACCCCCGGGGGTCATGATTTTAACAATTTAGAATCTATACTATCCCAGGATGCTTCCATATAAGTTTCAGCTTTTCTGGCCCAGTGGTTCTTGAGAAGAAGATTTTTTCAAGATTTTTCCTATGTATTTCAATGTTAAACTTGGATTCCCTATTGTGGCCCCGCCCTACCCCCGGGGGTCATGATTTTAACAATTTAGAATCTACACTATCCCAGGATGCTTCCACATAAGTTTCAGCTTTTCTGGCCCAGTGGTTCTTGAGAAGAAGATTTTTTTATGACCCCACCCTATTTTTGTCTTTTCTTGATTATCTCCCCTTGTAAGGGAACTTGGCCCTTTATTTTAATAATTTTAACTCCCCTTCCCCCAAGGATACTTTGTACCAAGTTTGGTTAAAATTGGCCCAGTGGTTCTTGAGAAGAAGTTGAAAATGTGAAAAGTTTACAGACGGACGGACGGACGACGGACAACGGGTGATCAGAAAAGCTCACTTGAGCTTTCAGCTCAGGTGAGCTAAAAACGAGACTCCAGTCATTTGATTAGATGTTTATTAATAAAGTTCATAATGACCATAACAATTTCAAATTGTAATATTTTATTTTCATATGTTCAAATAAAATGTACAATAAAAGCTTGTAGTAAAAAGTCTAAAAACTGGTAATCAGTTCTTTGATACAATTTTAAATTTTGCAATAGAATATAATTTTTTTTTTCATAATTCTTTTACATCAGAAAGTCTTCACAAGTTTCAAAATACATGTATTTCTTTCCATATTTAGCTGCGTAGCTGCAATAAACCAAATTCAATGAAAGAAAATTGATTTTTTTCACAGTAAACAATGTTTTCCTTTCAGCTTAATAAAGGAAAAAATAGAGAGTTTTTTTTAGTTCATGTTTTGTAACTAAAAGTTCACTGTAAGGGTGAATTTATTATAAGCATGTTTACTGTAACCATGTTTTATTTTTAAAATAATTACACTGTACACGTAACTGTAAAGTAATTAGCAATAACAATGTACAATGTAATCAGAGTAAAATGAAAAAAAAATTCATTTTTAAAAGATGTTTCTACATCAGACACAGGAGATACATGTATAGCTAGAAATTGAATACATCTTACTTATTATTTAACAAATCAACAGACCTGTACATACATAATGTAAATTGAAATCTTTCTAAACATTTTGTTTTTTTAAACTTGATTTGACTTGAATACTTGATAAATTTTGTCAGAGTAAGAGGGGAGAAAATATTTAGGAACTGCGTTACAAGCTAGTATATGTAGATACATATTTATCCCATGTTTACCCCTTTATCCCGTGGATATGACTCATTGGATAATTTTTTCATAATCCACAGTTGTGACGTCACAATGGTTTTTGCGTTAGAGCGATGAAGTAAAATAAAGTGGAGTCCTATATAAAACAGTGTAAAACATTGGTTGTGAAGTATTAAACATGGGATAAAAAGAATCTCCCATGATTTGTAGTTGGATATGATTTTTATCCAACTCGTTGTGTGTTTTTATCCCCTCGCCAAGGCTCGGGGATAAAAAACACACAACTCGTTGGATAAAAATCATATCCAACTACAAATCATGGGAGATCCTATATATACATGAGTAATCAAAGCATGTCATTGTCTGACGTCATGGCGTCAGACAGTATTAGATTTAGCCAAGGTTTGTTGGTCAAGTCGTTCAATAGAATTCTTGTGATAACTTGATCTTGGAAACTTCATACTATCTTCACTATCAATTTTGAGAGCATGACGAGTAAAGAAAACATGCTAAATACCCAAACAAGCCAGAGCATTATAGCTGGTGTCATTATTATCACATTATACATTACAGGTTATATAACATTTGGCCATTCTCGAATGCATCATTCATGTCCAGCAAAACGAAGGAATGAAGCTGGTCAGGTCAACATTTGTCGATTATCTGTATCAGATTAACTAATAATTCAATTTTCCTTACTTTCATCACTTTGGACTAATTTACTTCTACGGAGAATTTTTTCTGTTCATTTTCCGATGAATGTAATGTCAATTTTAGTAACCGAACTACTTTTCATTATTCATTTCATACAAATGTTGTAAGTGTTTGTCATTCCAATAATTGTATGAATTTGACTGTGTTATAAACTAATAGTCTCTAAAACGTACGACAATGTTCTTTTCATGATTTAAATTCAGCTTCTGTAAATCTTTTGTTTCTCTCCGTGTGCTTTAAAGGAAACATTTTAATCATATGTTTCTATTTTTTAAATTATACAATAAAAATTCTTGTTGAGAAGAAAAAAGAAAAATATTCAAATAGCCTAAATTATTAAGGTAATTGTTGTCAATGGGTAATGCCGGGGATGGCAAGGGATATAACTCTGTAAAGAAGCACGTGTTTTACGTTTTTTTTTATTTGTAAAGAAAGAATTTACATTGAATTTAGTACAAATTGAAAAACCAAACTAGAAAAAAAAATTGTTAAGTAGGTAATGAAAATTAAATGATAAGAAGGACCTTAGACTAAGTTTTCCTGATGTGAGTGTTATTATCACATTCTCAAGTATTTCGTCTGCACATCAAACTTAAATACAGGGTATTAACCATGTTAATAGTCACAAGTTGTACGTGTATTTTAAGGTGTATCGACAAGCAAGTAATTATTTCTAGATTTTTTTAACCTGAAGATATCTCTTTCTAATATTCCATTGCACTCCACTCGACGTGTTACCGTTGACCGTTTGCTTACTGACAACAAAGCAAGTTTCTGCATGCTTTATGTGTAATCGCTTTTAAAAATTGCACGTGCAGATTTTCATAACTCACGTAATCGATAACTTAGTAAATCATTATAAAGACAATAAAACATAAAGGGGAATTCTTTATTTTTTATAAAATTTAAAAGAAAATTATACCCGCCTTGTGTAATACAGGCTTTTAGATCCGCTCCCAAGAATCGTGTAATTTTCCAATCGATATATTTCTACGCACCTGTCGGCATGTAAATTTCGTGCATAATTTTTTGAGTTAGCTAAATAATGAGTATGTACATGAAAAGAAAGATGTTTTTCGCTGAAATTGAATTATAAGCATTGACTATATAAATTATTTTGTTCATTGAGAAATGAATCTAAAAAACGAATCGCACACTTTTTTATGAAAGCCTTCGGCTTTCATAAAGTGTGCGATTCGTTTTTTAGATTCATTTCTCAATGAACAAAATAATTTATATAGTCAATCCTATAATGAATGTTTATAAATATTCAATGCATACTAAGTCTCTCTACCTTCAGAGTTTTTATAAATCTACACATATTGATAACTTGCAGATGTTTCTTCATAGTTAAAAAAAATATAAAAGTGAAAGACATGTGTTGAATGTTCCTTTGCTTAAATGCAAAAATGTTAATTCATTAATAACACGTTTATTTTTTTTAATAAAACATTTCTTAATTATCAAAATTGTTCACAGATTAATGTTTAGATTTAAAAGCACTGGTTATATCTTTGTATCCATGAACAGGCCTGTTGGAAGAAACTTCAGAAATTTTCGGTTCAGGGTGGACACTTTCAAGGAAAAATTCTGAATCTGCTGAATTGAACTTTTTTTTGTTTCTTAGCAAAAGAATTCATTTCATGACTCAGAGTCATGTTGATTACACTAGATATAACTTTTCTTGATTCTTCACGTAAAAAGAAATTTGCTCAAGTCAGACAAGCTTTTTAGGAAAGCTAATACTTGTATTAATTTATATCAAGAATGAACATGTGCAAGTATCAAAATTTATCTACTTAAAATTAAATTTCCTGCTAAATTCCTTGAATTTTGATAGCAAACTTAACAAAAATTATGTGATGATGCAATTCATTTCATAAAATTCTAAAGTAAGAACTAGTTTCCTGGTAGTGATCCAAAAAATAGCTGCCCTTCCATGCAGTTCATACACAAATGTACATTAAACTTTGTTTTAATTTTATACTTAATTCATATAAACAAAGATCAAAATATGTTGCTATGAATGGTTTCCATTTTGTAACTGTGTTTTGGTTATATCACCTGGAAGAAATAAAACATGGAAGATGTGAAATTAATGATCAAACAATGGCAGTAAGATGTTCTACTTTACAGGAAGCCTTTTTGTAATCTGTGCTATGTATCTGTTTTTCTTTTTACTAAATACTAATGTAGTAAAAGAGTAAAAAAGTAAAAACAATTTTTTTAATTTCTCAGTAAATGTAAAGCTGACCTACATACAAACTATAAGCTTTTACCTGTGTTGTAATGTGTATAAAATGTTCAAGTAAGAATGTGTGTGTGTGTGTGTGTGAAGATTTACCTGTGTTACATGTGAAGGTGTGTGTGAAGATTTACATGTATTACAAGTGTAGGTGTCTGTGTAGATTCATCTGTATTTACCTTAATCATTGTGTAGGTGTGTGTGTATATTTACCTGTATTAAATGTATAGGTGTCTGTGAAGAATCTCTGACATGCATTGATCTCTGGACAGAAATCAGCTGTTCCTCCATACATTATCACTTTGTCCCCAATTACCCCCAGGGATTGCTGGCTTCTCCCCTCAGGAACTGTCCCATTCTGTTTCACCTGGGTCCAAGTTTTGGATTCTAAAATCAAAAATAAAATATATTTCACCGAAACTTTTCAAATTTTTAAAGTACAATATCAGAGCTTTACAGAAACAAACATTTATTTGAACAACAAATAAAAAAAAATTACCACAATCAAAAACATGGACATCAGCAAAATGTTGGTTCTCTGTCCCTCTTCCCCCAATGACAACCAGTTTACTTCCAACGGAGACAGCAGCATGAAATGACCTTGGTTCTGGCTTTTGTCCTTTTGTTTTCATTTCTGTGTCCCACTTTCTTGTTTCTGAGAGAGTCAATTCCATATAATTAATGCATAAGAATAAAAATTCATATAATGCGTAAGAAAAATGTTCTCTGTTTTTTTTTTTACAATAATTTTGGAGAAGGCTTCTAAGACAGACATTCTTTGTACTAAAGATATGCAGGGCTCACACATAGCCAGTTTCTACAGAGGCTGGAATATTAAAATTGGGAAATTTCGCAAAGTTTTGGAGAAAATCAACATACAGAGTGTAATTAAATATTTTAAAACATGTCACATTTTGTTTTTCTGTTTTTTTAATCAACTTTTTCATTAAGATGCCTATTGTGAAAATCACACCATTGAGTTGGGAAAAAACTTTCCAGATTTTATTTTTTTTTATTTATATTATATTATATTTATATTATAAAAACAGAAATAAAAAAATTGAAGATAGGGAAATAAATTAAGGGTGGGCAAGGATGACAATCAAGTATTTTTTTTCTTATGGCATAAAGATGTAATTCTGTACATTCACCTGTATTAAAAATGTGTATATCATTTTGTCGAGCCTCTATATCCCTTCCTCCAAATATGACAATCTGTTTGTCTACAGCACACATCACATGTGCAGCTCGGGCAGTGGGCACACCAAGATTCATCTGCATTGGGTGTGTCCACTTCTTACTAACTAAAACAGATAAACTTCAGATTTTATACTTATACAGTAAAACACAGCTACATTGTACACGCTTCTAAGGAATTTACACCTACTGCAAAGTAGTTTTCATTCCATTCCTTGTAGTTTTAGAAAATGCTATGAACCTAAAAATTATAAAAAAAAAAAAAAACTGCATTTCCAAAAACAAAGCTCCCCTAGCTCTATAGTTTAATTACACCCTTAAACCTTTACATTTTGATGTAGAAATATTCTTGAAATTTTAATTTTTTATCAGTACAAATTACATATCTCTTTAACTTGTATTTTCAATACCTGTGTCAAAGATATGAAGATCGTTGAACCAGCCAAAATCTGCTCCTGACTGATCTGTCGGCAGTTCATCACTTTCTTCCTCTTCCCACTACGAATAAATCACATTATAATCAAACAATCAAAAACCCAAAATTATGACACCCTTATTGTAGTTTCTGTTTTATAGTAATTGCCAGGACTTCTTAAAAATCTAATTCTAATCTTCATTGAAGACGTAAATATACTGAAAGGTCAGAGGGGTTAATGAACCATAACTATCAGACCATAAAGCCACTACCTCTTCATCATCCTCGTCGTCCAAGTCTCCAGCTTTAGGACCGAACCCTCCGAAGTAGTAAATCCACTGACCCACAGCTACACCCTGCAACTTGTCACGGGGACTTGGGAATGTTCCCTCTGCATCAACAGGTGACCAAGTGTTAGTACCTAAAAAGAATATTCAAACATATACATGTATGTTGATATTATTATAATGAAATCTGCACTCATTTAATTGTGTTTCATTATTTAACTAATCCGACCATCACTCAGGCAAAATTAAACAATATTGTTTACCAACTACAGTATTATTAGTATGTTTGCTTTCAATCTCATAACAAACTTGGAATATCCTGTCTAAAAAGTTTTGTGGTGATTGGTCATAAAAATGAAAGATATGAAAAGTAATCAACAGCAGACATACGTTGAGAACATTTTATCAGACTAACAGAAAAGCTCCTTTGGGTCTAAAATATAAAGCGGATTATATTTTTTCTTTCCCAAATTTATTTGCACGATCTGTATCTGGCCCTAAATTGATTCAATGTTTTGTTCCCAGAGGCTACCAAGTTATAACTTTTATTGAAAAATATGAATATTTACCCTCCAATCTTGAATAAATAGTCAAGTCATAAAATGTATTTTCAAATAAACTTAAAAGAAGAAAATGTGTGTTTACTATTACATGCTAATAAAACATACAGTTAATAGGTAAAATTTTGATACTATTTTTCTATTGTTATTTTTTTTCATCAAGGCATATCCTCCTTTAAAGACAGTTTGAAGCTCTCTTCTTCTAGCCATATTTTATTTTTTTTACTATCTACCCGAAATTCTAAAAACAGCTACTAAAAAGTGACCTCACAACCTATAAACCATTAGGTTTGAAGGAAAACAAAAAGACATGCAATTCCTGGATTTTACAACAACAAAAAATATTTGGGTGGGAGCATAAAATTAGGGTCAGTCAGGTTAATGTTAAAAAACCCCCATATTTTTCCTTTGGTCTGAATCCAGCTGCAGAACTGTCACCCTCCGAAAAAAAAAATACTTACAGACCAGAGAGCTACAGTGACAACCAAAGAAAAAAAATGTATATTTATTATGCACAGAAAAGTTGGTTCTGAATCTATTTCTCCAAATTCTTACCTTTAATTGCAAAAGAGCTCGATTTCAAAAAAATTCCTTGGACCTCTATCAACTACTCTTGTAGTTGGTATCTGCATGAAGCACGTTGAACTGAATTGTCTTGCCACCCAAAATGGCAGCATAAATTGGTGGAATTTTGGAGGCTACTAACAATGGTTATGGGAATTTTTTTGATGTGGAATACGTAAGGAACACATGGTTAGTAATAATTATTTTGAGATGGCAATTTAAATATATGAAAAAATAAATAGAGAAACAGCACATGTTTTCTGTGCAATAAATACGGTAAGCATTTTTTTTCAGTGGGTGGTATTGTAGCTCTTTGGTCATCCATCCCAACTTTTTCAGACCAGTGAGCTACAGAACTGCAGCTAGTCTTAATCTGGTTTGCTGAATAATAACTTACTTATATCAAACTTGAAAAGATCATTAAACCACCCAGTAGAATGACTCAGTCCACCAAACAGGTACAAACAGTTGTCCACAGCTACCAGACTGCCACCAGTACGGGCTGCAGGGGGTTCTCCATTAAAAACGACCTTCTCCCATTTATTTTTTGCTGCAGCAACAGAAATTGTAAAAATTGAGGAAAAAGAAATAAATTACTGTTTAAAAATCAAGAACTTTTGATTTTCAACTCTGATTGTTCCAGATTGCATTTTTTTTTAATTTATATTCTTCATTTCATCTAAAAGAATTGCTTCCAACTTCTTGGGCATATAAGCTATGTTGACATTAATTCCCACCTTAATAATGACATCTGTCCAAAAGCGGTAAAATTTAGTACCAAGTTATAAATGTAGAAACCAAAAACAGATACTGATTCATCAGGTCTGGGCGGCCTCCGTTTTTGGAGGATAGATTTTATCCTCTAAAAACAGAGGATAGAGGTGTCGCCACCTATCGGACTTTTCAAAACAAAGGGCAGTTAACTCTTAACCAAACAAATAACAGCAACTCCTGCATTTATGAACCGTCACTGATTTTTCAACCAAAACAAATAAAAGGTAAAATTTCATAAGATGATGGATAAATCTAGATATTAAAACTATATAACATTATTTTTGTAATTGCTGTCAATCAATTATTCAGTTTAAAGCTTATTTATCAATGATTACCCTTACCTGTCTGAGATGATAATTATAACTAAGCTGATTTTCCGGTACCGTAATTATGTGTTAAGTATTTAACAAAATTTTGATGAAGAATTTTTGAGAAATCAATTATTATTTCAATTAATGAATAATCCTTAAACACATCACATATGTATTTTTTTTTAAATTTATATACACGTATGTATGTACGTGTATATAATTATGTGTTTGAATTTCTTAGTAAACATGTTTATTAAATTATCTTTTTTTATTTATTAAATTTATGCTATTCAAATAATTTATTGATTAAATATTCAGTCTTCGCCAAATCTTTTTTTCAGTACATGTACATGCCCTTCGGGCAGGTTTAACCACTTATTATGCTAGCCCCAACAAATATTTACATGCCCAGATTTTTATCAAGTAATTTTATTCTTATTTGCCTTTTCATGATGAGGAAATGATCCGAAATCCATTTCTATCAATCTATTGTCTCGCCATTAATATTGTTTTCAACGTGTATACTTTTTGTGTCTCCTTTGCAAAAGAGTAAACTATCGTTAAAATTTTATTTGGTGCTCCACTTTAGATGAAAAATCAGACTTTTAAGTACATTTAATGTTATTGGTATTATTTAATTTGATAATACGGAAGCTTTGGTCTCAGAATTTACATGCCCTTCGGGCTTGTAAGTATGCAGTTTCCACATGCCCGCTTCCAATTTTACCAGGTCCCGGGCTTCGGACTCCCGGGATTTGTCGAAGACTGCATGTATATTATTTATTTATTATACAATTCTTCATCAAATCCTTTAATTTTTTATTTGCTTAAATTTTAAGGCAGAGTATATTTTGTGTTTAAAATACGTTTCCTTCTGTTTCCTTTTTTTCTTTTCTTTTTTAATTAAAAGAAAACATGAAAGTAATATTATTTAAGTCTCTATTTATTTGTCTTGATAGGGAAAAACATAAAAACAAAATACCAAGAAATATTAGTAAACAGGGAGCGCAAGAAGAGCCAACTTTGTAAGTGTATTGTAAAAATTCTAGACATAGAATCTAAATCGCCATATACAATCGATAGTTTAATGTTTGAACTTTTATTTAGATGTACTCTGGTGCTTGCACTTTTTGATTAAAGGTAGGCACGAGGCGTTTGAAAATTACCTGTGTTATCCTCTGAAATCGGAGGATAAACTATCCCACATTGAAATGCAGTTTCCATGTATGGTTACAAATTTGGTCGCCATATTGAATTGCTATCCTCCAAAAACGGAGGCCGCCCAGACCTGTTCATCGAACTGCTCAATCTGGTTCATAAATGCCACTGTTTTGTAATATTTTTGAATTTTTATGCTTATGTGAATGTAATCCAACATTACATAAAATGCCTTAAAAGTTTGAACAGAATCTGTTAAGCAATGTTGAGAATATCAACCAAAAACATAAATGATAAATCCGAGAGAGTCAAGCTAGCCTGTTTTAAAAATCCATTAATTATATCACTTGCATGTGAATTTTTATCAATGAATTGAACAATAGAACAAAATTTGTATAGAGGGCTAGCATTTGCGGTTCTACTTCTAGGGCTTAAATTGTTATTTATTGATAAAAATTCAGTGTCTGTGACTATGATATACGTATGTAGAAATTCCAATTCCTAACAATTTTTTTTTCTTAAATTTGCAAATAAAAATATTCATTGTTTTAATCAAAGCTCGTGTTACAAAAAGAACCAGCACATATTAAAAGTAATTCAAAGCCCAAAATCTGCTTTACCAAAGGAAAACTTGATCAGTTCGTTTGTTTCCATGAGTTCATCTGCATGCGACTCTGTATGTGCAACACCTCCGAAAACGTACATGGAATCTTCAGTTACACACGAACATTGACCTTCTCGTGGACTTGGACAGTTATCCGATTCTACTTTATTCCACGTTACTTCCATTGTAACACTCGTAAAAATAATCAAAATATTTACGAAAAGAAAGCTTTTCCCGCGATAATGGTACCGGAAATGTCACAACGGTAGTAATAGTAAAAGGAACTAAGTCAAACTTCTTAGTTCCGATATTATTATTTGGTGGATTTACGTTTTTTCACACATATAAAATGTTGCTTTAATACTTATGCTTTTCCAAAAGAGTGTCTTTTATGAGTTAAATGCAAACAATAATGATATAGCATGCGGAGCAAAATCTGTAAAAAAAAAAAAAAAAAAATCAACTTGACAAATATGAAGGAATATTGTGTTATCTCTCTAATCAGTATATATAGCAAGTTTATTATTATCTCTTTGGTTGTTATTTAGCAACATAGAGAATATCAGATCAAAGTAACATGTTAACAATTATAACATTGACTTAGATGCGTGAGTACAATATATATAACGACTACCAGTGGCGGATCCAGGAATTTTATAACGGGGGGAGGGGGTGCGCAGTAGAAGGCAGGGGGTCTGGGAGCTGACGAATTCTTACAAACGAAGAGGTGTTTTTTCCTTTGATTTTAGAATTATGGACATATAAATTCTACATAAAAAAAAAAATCAAACGGGGGGAGGGGCACGCCCGGCGCGCCGGCGCTGTATCCGCCTTTGACGGTCAGAAAAATTGTGTAGATACATGTATAAGATCATTGGCCTTGTCATGATTTGCTCTTTTTAGGAGCGTTTTTTTTTTTATTTCTAAATTTTTGAATTATTTGTGCATAAATAATTTTAGAGAGTGTTACTTTTATCTATTGATTATGGTGTTCTGCATGCAGGTTCCATGCATTTCACTCGACCAGTAAATCAACATTAAGTCATTTTCTGTCTAAATATATTATTTCAAATGAATTTGATGCATTAGAAATGAAATTCAAACAAACAGAAGCACGGAAAAGGTGGAGGGGGGGGGGATGTCTTTTACCATGCCAAGAAAAGGTACGCATTCTAGTTTTAGAGCGAACTCAATAAAAGCGGAATTAGCGTTAATCTGTGATTTTTCCCCAGGGAGATGTGTGCGAGGCAATTAATGTCAGCAGTTTTGAGGGAAGGATCTTAAGTTTTACTGGTTTGAAATTAAAGCTAGAATACTTATTATTTAGAAGCCTTTGCACCTTTTTTCCTGTTGTTTTTTTTTAAGGGGGGGGGGCGATTTTCCATGCAAATCATATGCAGTTAAAAAAGTAAAAAAAGAAGAAAAAGAAAGTGAAATAAATTGTAGTGAACTAATTAATTGTTCAGTAAAAATTAGACGCCTTTCAAATTTTTCAGTGTTTATATATCAAAATATTTTTTTCCTAGTATAAATTAACATCGGGCACGATGAACTTGGTTGTTGTGGAAGTCTCGCGCCTTATTAAGGTATCATACCGGTAATTGACCAATTGTAGTTCCCTACATATAAAATTATTATTTTTTCCTTTTGAATTTTTTTTTTTTAAATTTCCTTCCAGTCTATTTTTACAATTTTGGTACCTGTGTCTAGTGCATTTTACATATTTTGTAAATAAATAAAGGTTTTTGACAGGAACTATTTTTTTCAGGGCATAGGAGGCTACTTCCTGGGGTAGAAGTTTATTTTTCTTTGACTAAGAAAACGGAAAACTTAGGATCCACCCCCTCAAATCTGCTGCCGTTAATTGTCTCGCCAGCGTTAGGGGAATATGGGTGATTTGCATCAATTACACTTTTATTGACTCCATCGCTGTGGAAAAATGGACGGGATTTCTTGGCATGCTACGTATACAAATTATGTTTACCACACTAAATTTCTAATATTGATAACCAGGACGTTTTACTGAATGTTAATAAACACAGTTTACTTTTAAAAATTAAGCTTACATTTTTAGAAGAAAGCAATGAAATTTGATAACATTTGGTCTTGACATACTAAGTATCATATTTGGGAATATACACTTTCTTTCGTCTTTTAATTTTTACAACATAAAATATAGTGAAATTCGTCAACTATATCGTTTTCACACAAAAGGCATATTCTAGTACGCAGGCTATCTCTTTCAGTATCTTTCCATCTTTCCGTTTTTGGTAGTTAGGATCTAGAGCATCATTCAATGGACCCCATTACGGGACTTATTGTTTCTCAATGTAATTGAATAATAAAAGTTGCATGGTAAAGCCCATGCTTGTTTTCCCCATAGGTTTTTCTAGAAGATACTTCATCCTCACCCTACCCACCCCCTTTTTGGATCCCATTTCTTCTCTATAGTTTCTGTAGAGATGTTAATGTCTCTGGTGTCTTCCTTTCTTTTTCTCTCTCTCATGAGAAAACCTGTGTTTTTGCTTCATGGGGATTACTTTGGGGAAAAAAACCATCTGATGATTCAGTAACTATATATATTTTATACATGTGTATTTACTGTTTTTCAGTATACATTTTACTGAGATAATCTAAAGTAGAAAGGGCATATAATATTACTTTAAACGATAATCTTTCCCTCTAAGTTTTTTGGTGATATAATTTTTTATTTTTATGTACACAATTATATATTGTTTCTTTAACCATGCATAAAATTAGTAGAATTTTTAAAAAGAAATTATTCTTTTTTTCGATACTAAGTGGTGAATGCAGTCTATTTAACTGTTAATGTCTATACTAACGAATCTAGTTATTTTTTCTTTTGTTGAGAAAATACGTGGTTATTTATTTAGCATGATCGTTTGATAATATGATGATTACACATTTTTTAAATATACTTTGTATTTAGATAAAATACTTCGAGAAACTATTTCATTTCATGATTCAGTTAATCTATCTGAATAAATCACATTTTGTTTATTTTTTCTTTTATCACTAAATTGTTCAAGTTTTAAAAATCTTTCTTAGAATGTCTCCGACTAAATATTAATGCAGTGAAAACATGAGCCTTCATTAGTGTCATTCTCTCAGCTGAAAGCGAGCACTCCGCCTATGATAAATCCGCTCCTCTCTCGTGGAAGTTCGGTATTTTCCGTCAATGACTGTAATTTTTTTAAATGAAGTTTAGAAGTGCATCAAACACAGTAAGTAAAGTTGTCTTATTTCATACAGATAAAATAAACTTCGCCGATTAAATCTCGCTCTACTCATTATTGAGGTCATTTTCTGTTAATAGAAGCAAAATAATTACTTCCGTTATTGAACCGAAAAAGAAAATATTTTGTTGACAGATCTACCGGCCTTTCTGCGTTGAAAAACAGGTAAATTGTGAATAACACCTTATCTATATCATCAAAATTGCATTGTTAGCTAAGTATTAAATCATAAATATATGATTACAGTCGAAATACTTATGAAAAATGAGATTTTTTGAGAAAAAAAGGAAACTCACTAGAGAGAGGCCCATTAAGGGATTATTTTTCTTTGTGATATTAACTACGAAAAGAAATTGAACAAAAGTATCCTAAAATTTCGATGCGTAAAAAGAAAAAAAAACAAATTTATCTTATGTCGAAAATTAAATGTAAAAATGCATAGTTTGCATTTAGTTTTAGTTATATTTAGTTGGATTTTTATCTTAAGTGAACAATTATATAAATTTAGAGTTGAGATATTTTAACCTTATCTGTTTCATTTCTTGAATGAAACCAAAGCGGAAAAGTAAAGTTTGAATGAATAAGTACAAATTCAAATATATTTTATTCTCTATTTGTATACTTAGTGGCACATGTATTCATAAAAGAATGCCCCCATTTTACCCCTCACGAATGTTGAAAATTACTTGTGGTCTGGTTGAGACAGTGTTCATTTTCTAATGAGTTGTTTCTTTTATTTGTGAAATTATTATGTCACTTTAAATGTGATAATTTTATTTGTGCACTTACAAGTCATCAAAACCATTAACATGACTGAACATATACATATGACAGCTCTACCATAAACAAAATCGTGACCAGGTTCTTGTAAAGTAATAAATGCTGAATAAAAACTTACTCCCTACTGTAAAAGATCATTAAATTCTAACCCTTGTTTCCAGAGCACTTCCTTCTGTAAACATGACAATAAATCAAACTGTGAATAAAGATTTTGTTGACAAATATATGAATTTGTTAAGTCGATGTTTTTTTGACAAAAGTCTTGTACTTTTGTAATATTTGTAATAAGTTAAAAGTTGAACTTAAGTTCATCCTATAAAATGTTTTCCAAAATTGCTGTTATTTGATAGCCAGTTTTATTTTTGTATTGCAGCAAAAGGAGACAGGAGGGCCGGGAATGAATTAATGGTAAGTTTACGTGTCGCAAATTTATTTAAACTTATATTGTGCCTCTAGGACACCATCTGTAGGATGCCAGCATGCTATAACTCAACTGGTTTATTGACACATTATCTGAGAAAGGCCTATTTCCAAATATCAAAAAAAAAATTTGTTAAAATTACCGAGGGTATGTTGGTTATAAGTGAATTACAGTCAAACCTCATTATCTTGAAGTAGAAGGACCAAGAAAAAAACTTGGAGATATTCAAGTACTTGAGATATCGGGAGTTAAATACTTAAAGAATAAGTGGTTGGGACTTCCAATTCACTTTGACATATTCATGGTATTTAAGATATTAGTGTTTGAGATACCAAAGTTCAACTGTACCTATATTTACAAGTAAATGGCAATTACATTTAGTCAAAAAAATATTTAAAAAGAAAAAGGAGGCAGGTAGCTGACAAAATGGGGTAGGGGGAGACTTGGTCATCACTGAAGAAGAAAAGATTAAGAAGAAACAGCCTAGAGATACAAGCCTCTGAAATTTTTAGTGGCATAATATGTAATTTCAGAGAAACAGAAGTCATATACAAGTAGAATTCCCTGATGTTTTCTTTAGTGTAAAGTTCTTGTAAACTACTTGAATTTGTCATGTTTATTTGTCAATGAAGTGGAGATATGCATGATGTCAAGTTGGTGAAATGTAGTACGAGAAAATAAATTTTAAAAACAACTTTAAACATTAAGAAGTTAAAATTTATTTAAAGTTTAAGTAGCAGACACTTCAAGTAGAATTTTTTTTTTCTTGACACAAAGTAGGGGGTTGTTTTTTGTGCTAAGAAAAAAAAACATCGAATGCCTGTGGTATAAATTTTAAGGTCCCTTGGTACATACATGTACTCTCTGCACACTGAAAAGTGTTCCATATTCCATAGTACTTCTATGCAGTTAGATTGATGTGCTCTTTGATTTAAAAAATTGAATAAATTGAAAGCTAATATGTTGATATACACAGTTTGTATGGGTATTCAATTCAAGGATTCTTCTTAATTAGACCAGGATGAAGTAATTGAATAGTTTATTTGCAATGTGTTTTCCTCATTCAATCAAGCAGCAGTGATTTCTGATCATGAATAGTTAAATATTTGTCTTTAAACATTTTCCTGGAGAAGGAGGGGGGGGGGGGGAGTAATATATACTATATTATTTTTTGAAAGTTCAAAAAAAAAATTCTTTTCATTAAGGCATACAGGATCCTTAGAATTTTTGTCCCCTGCTTTCACTGAAAGTGGGGGATATTAATTTGGGTCTGTCTGACCGTCCGTTCGTCTGTATTTCTGTCTGTCTGTAACACTTTCGTTTCTGCGCGATATCTCAAGAACCCTTTGAGCTTTCGCAATGAAATTTTGCATAACAACTCCCTATGGCCTAAAGAAGAATCCTATTGATTTTGAGGTCAAAGGTCAAGGTTATAAATTAATAAATTCTGTCTGTTTTAACACTTTCGTTTCTGTGCGATATCTCGTGAATTCTTTGAGCTTTTGCAATGAAAATTTACATAACAACTCCTTGTGTCCTAAGGAAGACCCCTATTGATTTTGAGGTCAAAAGGTCAAAGTTCAAGGTGATAAATTCATAAATTCAGTCTGTGTAACACTTTCATTTCTGGGCAATAGCTCAAGAAGCTTTTGAGCTTTTACAATGAAATTTTATATACCATAACTGCCTGTGGCCTCTCTCGCCCCTCTCAAACTGTCCCGCTCCGTTTTTTTTTTTATTTATTGTATTAAAAGTCGCTTGGCATTATTTTTAGCACAGGGGTATGTGGAGAGTTGTTACTTATAATACAGGTTGTCAGCGGACTTTATATTCTAATTACATCTATTAGAACTGTTTAGTAAAGGCTAAATTAGACAACATGTATTGTGTAAAATTTTGACAATATCGAATGTGAATATAAACGTTATATGTGACCTAATCTTTATATCCATATTGGCATTTTTTAATTTGCTTCAATATACATGTATACATTTAATAATTCTACAAATCGGGGGGGGGGGGGGGGGGGGGGGGGGAGGGAGACCCCCCCCTCCCGGACTGCGCATGCTCTTCTTTTTTTTCCCTAAGTGGGGGACACAAATTCTTTGAATTAGCTTGTTTCCATAAATTCATTTAGCATAATTAATTCATACAAACATACAAATTTTCAAAAATTGCAAACATTATTCAATTTGTATGCACATACACACCTGTGTGGTTTATATGGCACTGTAAATTGGAATGCTTAGATAACATCACATGTTTATGTAAGGGCATGATTCGGAACTGTTAAGATAGCTGTACATAATATCATGATAGTCAAACATGTAATATAATTGGTGTTTTAATGTGAACAAAATAATCTTTCAATTCTACAATATACACAGATGAGAGCAGTATTGTTGATAAATACATGTAATAAGGTAGAATGTTCTATCTTTAAAATGATATTGTCATACCAGGGTTTTTTTTCAGGGTCTGTAGGAGGCTGAAATAAGGCCCCATTCCCAATGCTGAAAAGCAGGTATTTTTCCCAATTTTTGCTTTAAAATTCCCAAACAATGAACAAATGTCAAAGCAGAGTAGCCTTATTGATCATAAATCTCCTTCATGGGCCCACAGATTACAATTTTTGCCTCAAAATTGTTAAGTAAACTTTTTTTTTTCAAATTGAAAGCCAAAAGGAGTCCAATTATACCTACTCTATGCACTGGTTTGATCTTTTTCAGTACTTCTTTGTATAAATTGTTTTTTTTTCCAGTTCCAAGCAAATGTAGCTATTTTTTCCCAATAGGGAAGGCCCAGGCCCTTGAACTCTAGACCTAAAAAAATCTCTGCATGATATGGACCCAGTTTAATGATAGATGTGGTGAGGGTTTGTCCCTATCGAGTCAAGTTAAAGTATTCAACTAACGTGTAATCTAAATAAAAATATTTTTTTAAAATAAAAATCTTATCCAAATGTGGGTTGTGGGATTGTCGAAAAAAAAATTGACATTTGAAGGTTATTTACGAAGTCAGTCCAAGACAGATTTGTATTGGAGAGGGAGGAGGTGTCATCTAATAGGTCTTCATAGCATGATGCCTCACTGAATTTGTTAAAAAAAATATTGCTAAGCCAGGAATGTACATTGATTCTGACCAAGAATTGTGTATTCAAATCGACATTGAAGCACAGTTCTTAAATTTCGATAAGAGAAAAGGGGATTTGCTTTAAAAAATTGTATTCCTTACATGAAAATGAACATACATGTATTCCAATCAACTACATGTTTTATTGCTGGAGTTTAAATAAGTAAGCCTATCAAATTAAAATTGGAACCTTTGATCCACTCCCATAGATCCTTGTGTAGCGATTATAGGAGTGGAATTAAGAATCTAGTTTTTATAAATTGGTTATTGAGCACACAGTATGTGTACTTAATTTTTTTTTAGCGGAATTCATACTTTGGCACATTTTGCACTGTCTGTAGTCTGTTTGTCACCAAGAAATGAATTCTTATTGAATTGATGATGATGAAAATAAACAACACAACTATTACTCCATTATACACAATTTCTTTAAAATTTGAATATTTACATTTTCAATAAATTTCCCCTATGATTCTTGACAAAATAGAATACAGTTCATTTTCTCATGAACTAACATGAATGGGCATGAATATCTCCATAATGATTGTTACGTCATAATACCTTACTTGACGTCAAAACTATAGTGCAAACTGTTTTGCTTTAAAAATGACAGTTGAATGGCGTTATTTGTGGCAAATCATCAGAAAAATAATGTAAATATAAGAAATGAATTTAATTTTTGAAAATTCATGAGGTACATGAACTACAACACTTTAGCCAGCATAGTTATAATGAAGCGCTAACGTGCTTCATGAAATATGCCGGCATGAAGCGTCGAAGTTCATGTCCTCATGAATCTTCAAAAATTAAATTCATTTCTTAAATATATTTAACACAAATACAAATATACGTATTTTACTTGCAGTGAAACCAGATTAATGGATGGAAGACGACTGAGAAGTGGCCGAAAACAAACTCGCTATAAACTCCATAGAGAACGTCTTCGAAAGCCTTCACTAGTAGACAGTTACTCTACGGATGATGAAAGCCGCCCCAGTTCTCGTCGATACTCGCGCACAGCTTTCCCATTATTTTCAAACCACTCTGATGATGAGGTTATTCAATCACACAGTAGTGGCACAGGAAGTGGGTTGAAAGTTTCCCATTCTACGCCGTCATGTCTACTGCTTCAAGCAGCTGCAGATCTAGAAGATACAAATCAGGATTGTTTCCCTTTTGTACATCTGCCACTGGACTGCAAGCTGAAAATTTTGTCCTACTTAAGCTCCTTTGAAAAAGGGCAAAGCATGAGAGTGTGTAAGAACTGGTACCAACTTCTGCAGACTCCCAGTTTGTGGTCCAACGTTGTGATGTGGGATTTCCCACTGACGTGTGTCCCGTCTGCCAGAGGTAACCTCCACAGTCCCGGCGACTGCTACAGCTGCTACAAAAGGAGGGTCCAGGGCTTCGCTGGCTTCCTGATAAAAATCCAGCCTCTGATAAGAAGATTTGAGTTTAAATTTGACATCGGTCAAGTAAAAGATGGATTTCTAGCCATGTTTAGGAGTCTTATGTGCTATGTTTCCTTTCGAGAGGTTAAATACATGCTGTTCAACTGGAAGGATACACCAGCTAGACCGTTCTGGCTGGAAGAATTTACGCAATGCAAATGTAGAGAGGATGTTCTGTACTCGAACAGGTGCAGGACAAGGAAATACATTGCTTTCTTTGAAGAACTGGCTAATTATCTCACAAAAATTGAAACTTTAATACTGCCATTTGATTGGTCCTGCATGAAAAACATTGAAAATGTCACTAGACTAAAAACTTTGAAGACCCTGGTTCTTGAGAAGAGCAGCGTCTTTCAGTCTATTCAGCAGTCAAGGTTAGACAAGCTCTTATCAGGATTACCAGTGTTGCGGCAGCTGATGCTAGAAATCTGGACTCCAAGTGGAGTCGGAATGATGAAGTACGATCTCAGTTCCGAGTCCCTGGAATTCCTTGACGTGTCACAGAGTCGAGGATTTTATCTGAGGTCTCTCAACATGCCCAGACTGAAACGGTTTCGCGTGGCGCGTCATCCTTGGAATGGTCCTGTAGTTTGTCCCACACGTCTGAACATGCCGTGTCTGTACGACGTACTGAGACACGGGACTCCGAATCTGATGAAATTAAACGAACACTATCTAGAAGATGATTGGAAGGATGCTTGCTATCCGAGACTGGAGGAGGTCTTTAAATCTGTCTGCTCATGCCGCAGACACAAAACAGGGTGGATGATGTAAATGGTTGTGTTCTTAAGAGTGTTTTGTTAGAGATGATCCTGCCTTAGTGGTTGTTTTTGGTACAAGTGTACTATTTTTTTGTTTTCATATTATCCATTTAGTATCTTAAAGAATATTAAAAAAAAAAAATTGGCATACATATTGTGATTTAGAATTTAATATCCATACATCAGCAAAGGATAAGGTACACTTAAGGGCTCCTTTTGGCTCCTATTTTGGGATGTATTGCAATAGTTCATAATCAAAAATTTGTGATCACTGACGTTTAAAAGGGAGTATTGATTTTTGATGATCCAAAACACAAAGGTCACTGGTGGAAGGTCACAAATTTCCAGAGGCTCAATATTCATTTCTTCATTTTAAAGGCAGTTTTTGTTTCAAAAACACAGACTGCAAGTTTATCTACCAAATTTTCATATTTAGAATCTTGAAGATTGTTTATGAAAATCTGAGATAGCTTTTATATGTTCAGATTACAGTTCTGTGTTAAGTGAAAAGCAAACTAAAGTTTGATGAAATTCTCCAGAATTGAGAAAAAGGAAAAATGTTTTAATTAACACTCTCTGGTGATTTTTGTATTTTGAATCAAAATGACTGCTGGTTTTCAAACAAGTATGAATTAAGATTTTTAATTATAAACTTTCACAATTTTACTTTTGATTTTTAATGTCAAATAACAATTATGGGCCAAAAACACACCTTATCCTTTCATGCACTGATCTGATTAGTGATATACTATGCACACATTTAACAAGTTTTTTTCGTAGGTGTCATATTTTCTGTAAAATAATCATGAGATGTAATCATAATTCCGCACAATTTTGATAAATATTCACTCATTTTTGGTTAATTCATTTCATTATATTTTTGGTTACATACATTGTTTATGAACTACTTAACTTGGTTAATAACAGAACCTTTTCAAGTAGCGAAGTGCAATTCTTTTATTCAGGTAACGGTTAGACATGCAGGGACAACGTGTAATGTTTGAATGTGTAAATTGCAAAGTAAGGATTACAAAATTTTAAAAAAGAAGGTTCGTGTGCCTAGTTCAACAGAGGATGTTTTATACCTTTTCATATTTGTTTAACAAAGAAACCTCTATGCCGAGATAATTTTATTGCTTCACCTGTTACAGCATTGCGTAATAAGTCTAGAATAGATAAGCCATACAAAATAAACCCCGTTCCTAATTTCCAGCACGGAATAAATATACCACAGATTTTTAAATGTGACAAACTTGCACTATAACAGGGGTTCTGAGCTCGGATTTCTGGCTGATATTTTTTTATTAAAATTTAGTTTTAACAGGAAGTTTATTTGTTAGGTATAGACTGTTGAAAATGGCTTATTTTGTTATTTTTTTATGTCAGTGATGTTTGTTGATTTTGACTTTATTAGTGATTACTCAGTTTGTTTGATTTAAAATTTTTTGATGGTGGGCGATATGTGTAGATGATTTACAACTTCCTTAGAAATAAGTATACTCTTAGGCATTCCTCAACAAGTTACCTACCTGTAATACCTGTACCACATTTGTTGAAATGAGAGTTTTTGCCCCCCTTAACCCCCCCCTCCTTTCCCCTATTTGTCTTTTTCATCTGAAAAACATATGTGTCACTTCTTAACACATAAAAATTAGTCTCATAAATAATGCCTTAAACCTAAAGATGTTTTTTTTTAATTACTTGCAGTGAAGTTAATTATTGTATTAAAAGGAAAGAGGGTTTAGTTTTCTTAATTTCCATGCATTTCAAAATGACTTCAGCTACATTGTGACAAAGTGCTCTTTTTCTCCAATATCTTGATATGGTGCCCTGCAGTGTGCTTATTGGGGCAAATACAGTATGCTATTACATCATACAAGATAAAACTTGTATGAGACAAAAATTATCTAAAATGAATTAAATATTTTACCTACACATTCAGAGTATTAAAAGATTATTGGAAATTCATCAATAAAAGAAGAGTTGGCGAGAATGAGTATTTTCCCATTTCAATGTATACTGTTCACTTAACATGCTTAAGAAAATATTGTATTTTTTTTAACGCAATGTTACATTTTTTATTAGTCAGTTCATGAATGAAGAATCAACTGATCTCAAAAGAAAAATTCTATATTTTTCTGGCAATGTCTCATTCATTTTTAACAAGACCTTCATGTGGTTATAGAACGTTACGAAATAATCATGCTGATAAGTACGAAATAACCCAGGAATTCATCAGATTATGTATACTGTTCATTGTATAAAATTTAAATCCATAAATCATTTTGTATGATTTGTTACTTAGGATCTTTGACTTGTTGATTTCTGTACATGTATAATTATGTAGTTTATACAGTGAATCTGTTGAAGGTTTTCAGGTGAATGTTGTAATCTTATGGCTAGCTGATTATGCCATAGAGAGAAAAAAGATCATGAGAATCAAAAGTATTTCTGTCTCAATACTTTTTCTAATGATTATATTGTTAATAAAATGTTTAAAAACTGATTATATGAGTTTTCATTAGAGATCAGTCAAGTATCTGCTTCAGCATTCCAGATGGCTTCAAGTTTGTTCACTGTCAAGTGCAGGGAGCACCTGTATGGTGTTAGAATGTTAACAAGTGTCACCGGGTTCCGGGTTATCAGTCATATCAGTCAATATATTTTGTCTCGATAGCTCAGTGGATTGAGCTCTTGCAAGCTACAAGTTCGGATTGGACTTGTTTTTAGCTCACCTTGACGAAGTCGAGATGAGCTTATGCTATACCCCCGGCGTCGGCGTTAGCGTCGGCGTCCCGGTTAAAGTTTTAGGAGCAAGTCCCATTCCCAAGTAACTATAAGCCCTACCTTGACCAAACTTGCATGGATGATGCATCTAGGGATGGACACTACCACACTTGCTTCGGATGCTGGATATGACCTAGATTTTCCAGATGATTGACCAGGTTAAAGTTTTTGGAGCAGGTCCATTCCCAAGGAATTATAAGCCCTACCTGGACCAAACTTGCATGGATGATGCATCTAGGGATGGACACTACAACACTTGCTTCGGATGCTGGATCTGACCTAGATTTTCCAGATGAGTGACCAGGTTAAAGTTTTTGGAGCAGGTCAATTCCCAAGTAACTATAAGCCCTACCTGGACCAAACTTGCATGGATGATGCATCTAGGGATGGACACTACCACACTTGCTTCGGATGCTGGATCTGACCTACATTTTCCAGATGAGTGACCAGGTTAAAGTTTTTGGAGCAGGTCCATTCCCAAGTAACTATAAGCCTTACCTGGACCAAACTTGCATGGATGATGCATCTAGGGATGGACACTACCACACTTGCTTCGGATGCTGGATCTGACCTAGATTTTCCAGATGAGTGACCAGGTTAAAGTTTTTGGAGCAGGTCCATTCCCAAGGAATTATAAGCCCTACCTGGACCAAACTTGCATGGTTGATGCATCTAGGGATGGACACTACAACACTTGCTTCGGATGCTGGATCTGACCTAGATTTTCCAGATGAGTGACCAGGTTAAAGTTTTTGGAGCAGGTCAATTCCCAAGTAACTATAAGCCCTACCTGGACCAAACTTGCATGGATGATGCATCTAGGGATGGACACTACCACACTTGCTTCAGATGCTGGATCTGACCTAGATTTTCCAGATGAGTGACTAGGTTAAAGTTTTTGGAGCAGGTACCCAATTATAAGCCCTACCTGGACCAAACCTGCATGGATGATGCATCAAAGGAAGGACTCTACCATACTTGCTTCAGATGCTGGATCTGACCTACATTTTCCAGATGAGTGACTAGATTAAAGTTTTTGGAGCAGGTCTATTCCCAAGTGATTATTTAAGCCTTACCTTGACCAAACTTTCGTGGATAATGCATCTAGGGATGGACGCTACCACACTTGCTTGGGATGCTGGATCTGACCTAGATTTTCCAGATGAGTGACCAGGTTAAAGTTTTTGGAACAGGTCCATTCCCAAGTAACTAAAAGCCCTACCTGGACCAAATTTGCATGGATGATACATCTAGGGATAGACACTACCATATTTGCTTCAGATGCTGGATCTGACCTAGATTTTCCAGATGATTGATCAGGTTAAAGTTTTTTTGGAGCAGGTCCATTCCCAAGTAAATATAAGCCCTACCTGGACCAAACTTGCATGGATGATGCATCTAGGGATGTACACTAACTAACCTGCTTTGGATTCTGGATCTGACCTAGATTTTCCACATGAGTGAATTTTAGCCATATTTTAACCAAATTAGCATGAATGATGATGTATCTAGAGATGGACAGTTCCAGACTTACTTTGGATTCTGAATCTAATATTGATGGATATTAATCTTGGAATGTACACTAACTAGGAAAAAAAATATGATGTGAGATTTACCTTACTTATAGATAACATTCGTTGAGGTGAGCTTAGTAATCTTTGATTACCTATGTTTTCACTACCTGTTCCATTTGGCTCCCAACAGTTTGCCTGCTGAATGCCCATGAGTAGAGGAATTTTCAAAGACAGAATGTGTTTTCAATATGACAAACTAAGCCCACCCTAATGCCAGAGCCATAGACCCACCACAGTAAATCACTTTTAATTTGAGAGAACTTAATTTTCAAGTAATTACACAAGATTGTCTGCTTGCAAAATTTCATTCTAGCGTATATTTGCATTATCAAAGATTATATACAACAATAATAAAAATTCATGAAAAACAATACCAAAGAAATATCTTGTGAAAATAAGGTATTGCAAAAATTTAGTTATCGACCATAACAGTATTTTGGTAAAAGATTAAAGAGTTAATCATAATCATGCAATCAGTTTTTGCCTGTTGGAGGTCCATGAGTAAAGAAGATTTTATAAGATGTAATGCATTTACTGTACATGTATATTTATTTACTAACTTGAAACCACCCTAGAACCCTAATATAGGGCTCCTTGCTTATTTTACTTATGCCAACAGTTTGCTATCCTGAAAGTAAAGAAGAAGAATTTTTTTTTAAAGATTTCATTAATTAAGATGGCTTTGGCCCTATTCCTTAGGCACCAGTGAGACAGGCCATAAATTTCACAATTTCTGCCCCCCTTTTAGGCTTTTCCATCTATGCTATATACCAAAATCGATTGAAATTGGTTTAGGGGTTCCAGACAAGAAGCTGAAAATGTTCAAAGTTCACAACTGCTGAACAATGCATAATGCAAGGTGCTAGACGGTGGACAAAAAAGTTCACAGATAGCAATAGGTCACCTGAATGATTCATGTCCCTCTAAGTACTACACTGTTTTGTAGATTCAATATGATTAGGCCTGTGATAAAAATTATTTTGTCTCATTTCTAAATATGGGTATATGTATAATAAATCTATAAAAACTTTTCTTAACATAAAATACTTATCACATGAATTGGTTTTTTGTCTTTTATTGAAGCATTTTAATTTTGAAAACACACTGTAACAATTTGAAAGAAGTCGCAGAAAAGAACTTTAAATAACAACAAGCAATGATAACATTGGTATTACATATTGGGTCCCAGGTAAAAAGTTCCTGGCACTTTACTCCCATTACTATACACACAAAATGCTTTCAAAACTTCTCACATACAAGTAAACATGTACATGTGAAATGGATTATCGTACAACAGACAAAAGCCTGGGGCAGATCATGAAGAAATATTATGTTAACACTTGAAGCAGTTAAAAATGACCCCCCAAATTTCCAATTTCCTGGAAAAAATGTATTTTAAAATACCGGTATTCAGACTTTGCTAGACTCCTTGAGTCAGCGCGTGTTCACATACAGTGTATGATGTAAGAAAGTAATCCAAGCACCATAATTCTATAAGAAGTAAATCATCACTATGGAAACAAGGTATCCATGACTACCTAGTAAACGCTGTCAGCTGTTGGACAATTTCTGGGTCAACCTGGTTCATCAGAAGGTCAAACTTTTCCCCTCGCTGTTCTTTACACAGATGTAGCTGAGAGATGAGGAAATCCTTCAGGGGGACTGTATGGACTGGGTCCTGTTTAGACAGCTGGAAAGAAAAGGGCATTGAGCTTAATATAAAGTTGATTTGGAATTAATGAAACCATAGATTTATTCTGGTTATAGCATATTCTTGACTCATTTTATTGACATATGTGTAAATTATGCACTAACTCAAAGAAGTTTCAGTTAGCATGTGCTGATTTTAAGATAAATGAATGAGACAACTGAATCAGGAAGAAATTATGCTTCACTCCCATAAAAATGGATATTTATGAATAAAAACTGACTCCATGAAAATTTGATGTTTATCTGATGTTAATGTATTGAAGTTTAGTTTTTGATAACATTTTGATATTTGCCTGATGTTTACATTTTGAAGTTTACCTGGTGTTTACATTTCTGATGTTTACCTGATGTTTACTTATCTGACATTTACCTGGTGTTACATTTCTCATGTTTACCTGGTGTTTACCTTTCTGATGTTCATCTGGTGTTTACGTTTCTCATGTTTACCTGGTGTTTACATTTCTCATGTATCTGATGTTTATGTTTATGATGTTTACCTGGTGTTTACATTTCTCATGTTTACCTAGTGTATACATCTCTGATGTTTACATTTCTGATGTTTACCTGGTGATTACGTTTCTGATGTTTACATAGTGTTTACCTTTTTCATGTTTACCTGGTGTATACATCTCTGATGTTTACATTTCTGATGTTTACCTGGTGATTACGTTTCTGATGTTTACCTGGTATTTACCTTTCTGACATTTACCTGGCATTTACATTTCTGATTTTTACCTAGTGTTTATCTTTCTGACATTTACCTGGTGTTAATGTTACTCATATTTACCTGGTGTTTACGTTTCTCATGTTTACCTGGAGTTTACCTTTCTGTTGTTCATTTGGTGTTTACATTTCTCATGTTTACCTGGTGTTTACATTTCTCATGTTTACCCGGAGTTTACCTTTCTGATGTTCATCTGGTGTTTATGTTTCTCATGTTTACCTGGTGTTTACGTTTCTGACATTTACCTGGTGTTTACATTTCTCATGTTTACCTGGTGTTTACATTTCTCATGTTTACCTGGTGTTTACATTTCTCATGTTTACCTGGTGTTTATGTTTCTGACATTTACCTGGTGTTTACATTTCTGACATTTACCTGGTGTTTACATTTCTGACATTTACCTGGTGTTTACATTTCTCATATTTACCTGTTGTTTCATTTCTCATGTTTACCTGGAGTTTACCTTTCTGATGTTCATCTGGTGTTTATGTTTCTCATGTTTACCTGGTGTTTACGTTTCTGACATTTACCTGGTGTTTACATTTCTCATGTTTACCTGGTGTTTATGTTTCTGACATTTACCTGGTGTTTACATTTCTGACATTTACCTGGTGTTTACATTTCTCATGTTTACCTGGTGTTTACATTTCTCATGTTTACCTGGTGTTTACATTTCTGACATTTACCTGGTGTTTACGTTTCTCATGCTCTACCTCCTCCTCCTCTGTCTCAGTCCCCTGATCTGTATCACTGATCACCAGGGAACTACAAAACAATTAACAATTTTGCTCTCTGTACTATTTTATTACATTTTCAACAGTGAAATACTGTAATTTATTTATTGAAGAGAAGTGATACTTTGTCATAGTGTGAAAGAATATCAAAATGATATTCTGTCACAGTGTGAAAGAATATAGGAAGTGTGGCAAAACTCCTTCCCTTTACGAAACGTACTCCCTGGCCTGTTGAAAAATAAAGAGAGTAAATAAACCATTTTGACAGAGACTAACACTGGCAAAGTTTCTCTATATATGTTGTTGAAAGCTATGTTTACAATGTTTTCAATCTCACAATCACTTAGCTATGACATCTCAATCGCACAACTAAGACATCACATCCAATGACACTATGTTACGAAAAGGCAAAGGGAAAAACAAAGAAAATGTAATAAAAACAAAATTCAATATTTAGTAGTTGTCGTGCTTGACACTCATGAAAATATAAAAAAATCCTGTCCACCCATGAAATAAATTCCACATTCAACTACAAAACACTAACTATCCTCTGTGTATATGAATACAATAAAACATGTGAAGTTTTGCTTTTTTTATAGACATAATTCCTAATATTCTTTATATTCATGATATGTTTGAAAACTTAAGGGAATAAAAATCACTGTAAGTGTGAATTCATAAAAAGCATGTATGTTATAAGCGTGTGTTACTTATTATCATTTTTGAAAATAGTGTGACACTTTCAATTTGAAAAGTCCTACAAAAACTTTTTTTAAAAAGTGTTATTTGTGTGATAGGCAAAGATGATTTGTTCAATGTAACACAAAAACAAGGACAAGAAAGCCACTGTATTAACAGTAACATGAACAAGAAATACAAAATATAGAACTGGTAACCTAGGTAAGTCAGAGGTGAGAGATATAATTTGAAATATCTCTTTAGAAAGGGGAGCTTACTCTAGCTGTAACAGAGGATCATCGTCAACTGGTATTCTAGTCACATCGTGTAACACACCCACACACAGAGTAACAATCCCCGCAAACTTCTCATCCACCAGACTGTCAAAAAAGAAAATTTCTATCAGTAACAAAATTCTACCATAGTTCAGTAATTCAACAGAACCCTTTAAGTTTGCTTTAAACAAGTTTTACATGGATATAATAAATCTGATTGGATACCTGGAGTTCACAGAGAGTAATGAAGCCAGAGCCAAAGCAGACAGTTTTCTCCTCTCTGGCTGTGTAATGTAATCCATATTGTCAAACCAGATGTCCAGTAGAGCCCCAAACAAAGTGTTCACCTGGAAAAAAACACATAAGAATCCTTGATTTGTTGGAGGATGCTTAGTGTTTAATTGTCCCTGCAACTGTCGACCCTTTGTGAAACACTGTACATGTACTTGTTTATGCATGTACAGTCAAATCTTCATATCTAAAACTGGGTAGGAAGATAAAAAAAAAATTCCAAATGTCTATAGATTCAAGATATTGAGGTTAAAATACAGTCAAATCTTGTTATCTCGAACTCGATGGGACCGAAAAAAAAAATTCTGGATATCCAAGTACCCCGTATTCGAGATATCAAGATTATATATAAAGAATAGTTGGTAGGGACTTCCAGTTCACTTTATTCAAGATATCAGTGTTTGAGATAGCAAGTTCAACTGTACATAAAAAAAGAACTGTAGACATACTCTTTTTCTATGATGGATTAATTTACATTATGTACACAATCACAAATGTTCCAGCATACTTCAAGTGCATATAAGAAACATAATGGCAATCTAAGAAATTTTTTACTCATGGATTAAGCCAAAATTGTGATTCTACAGAACTATAAGCCCGTAGAAAAGAAGGATGTTTACAGTATTCAAGATATCATGATCAAGATACCAAAGTTTAAATGTATTTTTCAACATGAAAACCATTTTGCTTTTAAATCTCCAATTCATCAAAAAATAGAAAAAAACATGTATTTTTTCCTGCTACACTCACTTCCTCCTGGTACTGGGGCGCCATCTGCTGGAGAAGTTTCCACATGAACTCTTGATTCTGAAGGACAATTCTCCCAAACAGAGTCAAGTTCATGGAGACCAACATAGACTGGTTCTATAAAGAGAAATGTCAACCTCACAAAAAGGAATACTCAGCAAAGTCCTATCTCTGGGCATTTTCTATGAATTATTACTATCCAATCATTTTAATTTCTGGTGGTCAAAGATTGAGGGTAACCAAAGTTTACCGATTCGTTGCAATGTAATTTTGAAGAAGACAGATTCAATGAATCAGTATGTTGACAAAGCTATCTTTTGTGGGGATGTGAATTAGTGTGTGAAGATGACCATGAAGTTCACAAATGTTGGGACCCTACGAACAGTAAATCAGGAATAGATAATTGTGCACTGCAGAATTACCGTATATACTCGCCTATAAGTCGGTCCGCCTATAACATGTATAAGTCGGTTGCATTTTTTAAGCTTACATTAAATGGATTGACCTGCTATAATACCAATATTCTTTATAACTCGCCTATAAGTCGGACAAGGACTTTTGGACCAAAGTTTAACTCCCAAAAAACAGACTTATAGGCGAGTATATACGGTAACATTATGGCAGTTCTTGGTTCCCTATGATCAGCTTACTGTGTCTGTAATTTTGTTCATGTTTCTTTAAAGAAAGTCCTCTGACAAATAAAAATTAAAAATTTACCTTCTCGTTCTACTTATCAGGACCACAGAACCATTTTTCTTACTGTAAACATGGATATTTTTATGGGGTAAAATTTTGCAATTTCCATGGAACAAAGCATTTTTGCAGAAGTTAAAGAATTTACAAAATGTTTCGAATCATTGTTTAGTATGGTACATTGTACCTTATATGAAATCATTCATGTGTTATAAATTTTGCAGAACTTTACAAATCGCAGAATTCACAAACGAATTACCCCCACACAAACATTTCCACTTTTACAGTAATCTGAAATAGATTTCTCAGGAAAAGTTTATATTATTTAATGTACATATAAAGAGGGATTTTGGACAGAAACATTAGTTAATAAGGCACTTCCCTACATTTGGACAAAATTTATAGACTATTTCCTGGACAGCAGACATAGATGGCGACAGATCATGTACTTGGTTGACTTATTCAAGAACAGATGAACAGTCAGTTCATTCTAGCATACATGTGTATGCTTGTATACATTTCATGTGGTTGCATTTAAACAAAAAAAAAATCCAATAAAGTTTCACCTTGTCTTTTAGAATTGAATCCACTATTGAAACAAACATGGTCAAGAATATATCTGGTCCTTCCTTTGGAAATAATTTTAACGCTACTTCAACTACCTAAAAATAAAATAAAGAACAGAACACATGTACATCACTGATCATACATACTTTTAGATGGTTTGACCACTTTACCTTCAGATTTATTGTAAGTTAAAACAAAAGACATTGCCACCAGAGACTTACGCGGGTATGTTAAGGCTACACCCAGAGATATCCTACTTGCCTTTACAATATGACGTCATAGTTAGCTGTATGACGTGAACCTTACAAATAATGATTTCTTAAAATCTATATTTAAAGTTTAATTTCAGGTCCAAGAAATGAATTGAATCATTCAAAAACATAATATAAACTAAATCTTGTCGTTTTTGGGTGGTATAAATAGCTAAGTATTTATCACGGGGGTTAAATACCAAACCCATGACGTCATAAGTATTGATCAAATATTTGCCGAGTGAAAATGAAACGTGACGAGAATTCATCAAAACAAATATATGAAATAGGAGTTTTAAAGCATATACCGTGGATGTTATGTGTGATTCATAAGGAATCAAAGATTATGAATCAGGTAGGCTGTTATATTATTATCATGTTTTCTTGTAAGGAACACGGGCAGTGCTTTGAAATCCCGATCAGCCTTTCCTCTGTCGCAATATAACAACAAAGATGCAAAAGTTCAACACTACGCCGCATACTGTGAAACATAATTTTTGTTTGTATCAAAAGCTTGTATTCTATAGTACTTGGAAAGTGCTGCTAGAATCTTGTGGTTAACATAAATTGATGACAATTCCTTGATCGTATGTATAAAATGTAAAAATTTTGGTAAGGTTTCATGCGAAACTTTGGAATATTTTTTTCTGTGTTTGGAGAGTAGGGTTCTAGCAGCACTTTTCATGGTCCAGTGATGGTTTTACATAATCATTTTCACAAAAAGAAATGAATTATCCCCGGGGTAGTGTTGAACTTTTCACTTTTTCATTAAGGCAATTTTTCTATTTATAGACGTCACGTGATGACGTCGTAGTGGAGTGCTTCTTTAAGCCAAAGACTCAATGACGTCTATACAATGGATAATAATAGTAAATGTTTTATCTATGGCTTTTCCGATTTATCAATGTTACATTTTACAAAAAAAGTCTAAATTCGCAGAAATATGATCTGTGTACTGCCTTAACGTACCCGCGTAAATACCAAAGATTCAGAACTCTGCCATTAAAATGTTTATTTACTAAAATATGATTGTGATGGTCCCAGCAAATTACTTCTTATTGGTTGTGTATGTCAATCTAAAGTTAAATTAACATTAATTTTATTATATACTGTAAACCAACTATAATTCGCGTCATTTTTTATCCGCGATTCGTCAGTTTGAAATCAATCCGCAACGATTAATTTTCGCAACAGAAGAATTATTCTATACAAATACAAAGCAAAATAAATGGTTCGCAATGATTAATATTCGTGAATTAAAGAAGGTCACAAAACTTGTGAATATTTCTCACACACGAATAAAAGTTGGTTTACATTATACTGTGGTCAGGGTTTATTTTAATTCATGGGTTTGCAAAAATTTGCTTGTTTGTGGGGACGTAATTTTGTGGGTTTCTCATTTACACAAGAGATTAAATGAATCAGTATGTTTACATAATAAACGTTCGTGCGGATGTAAATTCATGGGTATGGGTGACCCACGAAATCCACAAACATTGGTCTCCCATGAACAATAATTATTCCACAGTAGGTGTATGAATTTTAAAGTTTTAAAACTACATACTGATTGTTAAATGCAAACTAGGCAAATTATAGTGGCCAATGATCAAAAGTTGGCAAAATCTGAGATATGGTTCATCATGGGTCACCTGTTGGTATTTTTGATTTCTCCTTTGTAATCCATGTAAATGAAGAAATTTCAAATTACAAAAATATAACATTCTGAATAGTTTTTTAACATGAATAAAAAGGTTCCTCTTCATTATCCTTGAAAGTTTTAAAGATTTATGTGATTTAAACGGAGTGAGATTTGAAAAGGGTAAACAATAGGGCATACAAGAAATATTTAGATTTCGGACAGATACGAATCTCTGATATTCATGTCTCTGATGCCACTGATCAAATTTTATTCCAGTGTAAAATCAAAAATATACTTGTATTGAATTATTTTCACTCCAGATTCATAAGTACATACCCGTAATATTAATATCTGTCCATCTTCTCGAATGTCTTTCATTAAGCCATGTAGAGACGACGCAAGACTGTTACAAAAATGCTGGAGAAAAAATTATTCTTTAGTATGGTACATGTAAATTCATATTAGTTTTGCTGGACTGGTACTTACATGTATCAACAATGATCTAAGTTTAATATTGTTTGAAAACTTAAGTATGGTACGTTTAACTTCAGATTTTCAGTGGGTGCTAGATTATTTACATGTATTAACAATGATTGCTAAATATTGTTTGAAAACGTTAGTATGGTACATGTAATTTTGATGTCATACCATTACTCATAAATGATATATGCATTGTTATACTACTTACATGTACTAAGTATTGCTATTGTACTTAATATGTACTAAGTATTGTTATAGTATTTACATGTACTAAGTATTGTTATAGTATTTACATGTACTAAGTATTGTTATTGGACTAAATAAGTACTAAGTATTGTTATTGTACTTACATGCATGAATTGTTGAGGACACAAGAGAAGATATGCCTCAATGATCTTTAAACAGGTCCTTAGGTTCTCAGTTCCCATTTCTACAGATACATATATAATTCTTGAAGCAGTACAAATTCTCATTTGTAAGATTTCAAACTTAAATCCCAAATCAAATATTGTTCCTTTGACCTCATACAATTTTTTTAAAACTATGTATGTATTTTTCTTGTTATTTTTAAAAAGAAAGTGCTGACTGAAAAAAGCATAAAAGTGTAAAACATTCTTAAATGTTAGATCATGTAAAAAAAAAAGTATATCCAATAAATTCTTTACAAAACAAAAGCAGTCTTAATAGAACTGATTCTCCAGGGCCAAACCTCATAATACATGTACATGTATTTGAAATTCTGCACTGGATAGCATTTCAAAAAATGCACCAAATAAGCTGGTCTGGTTTGAATAACACTGGTGATTAAACTAACACTGAAATTACCCAGCAGTCCTGGCATGTTTCTGTATAGTTGTAGGAGATTGTCATTGGGAGCTGGGGAATTTTTGACGGTCTCTAACCACAGGTCTAACCCATCCTCTGCTAGGTAAACATGCTGGTCCTGTGTAACATCTGTACTGATCTGAATGACAGGCAGGAGGAACTCGTACACTGTTGTACACGTCGACCCAAAGCCCTGAAAATGCCAACATTGTTCAATGATACTCTGATTAATCAATGGGTGACCAGAAGTCGCTGATTAGACTGTAGCTCTACTGTTTTGTACTTTTCATAGAGGAAGAGGGAAATTTCACCTAGACTACTATGATTTTTTTTGGGTTTTACATTTACAGAATTATGTGTTTCAATTTTTTAAACTTGCAAAAAACTGTAGGAGGAATAGCATTTTAAAAGAATTTTACAAATCAAAATCAAATGTAACCAGCGACGGAGAAAAAATGTGCTGAACCAGACCAGGACTTGAACACAGGTCCATTGAATCACTAATCAGGTCCCCCGCCAACTGAGCTATCTGGCCACAGGCAATAAAACCTGTCTGACCACCACATGAGTAAAGAGAATTATGTATATTGGTGTATACTGGTGTACTTTACTTAATTGAAATCAGACCAAATTATAGGAAAGGTAGTGATTTGAAAGATATTCACTGAAATTTCTGTTCTTAGTAACCTTGGCAGCTCCATTCATCAAACTACCATATGTATCTTGCTTAGTCTACTGGTGTACCAAGTCTTACTGAAATTGGATCAGAACTGTATAAGAAGTACCACTGTTAAGACAGACAGACAGCTACTAAAGAGTTGTATGATGCACACTATTATTGCATTAGGTCTTTTGGTCTATCACTAGTAGAGCTGTATAAAGACAAAACAGCTTCTTCACGATAGAAAGATGCTCCTACTAGTACAGTGTAGTGAATGAAAATGGATGCTGTTGGTTATGCAGTAAATGCACAGTTGACTATTACACTTTGCTACAACCTTGACATTTTGACTCTTTGTGATGAAAACATACATGTACCTTGACTAAATGCACCAATGTTGTCAGGATAGCACACTTCAGCATGTTATGCTCCTGAGCCTCCTGCCACAAAATCTGTAGATATTGGAGGAGGGAACTAGCATAGGGTTTGATCTGGCCACCAGTCCGCTCAATCAAGAAAGATATCACATGTAAAACCTGCATCTGAGGAATAAAGAATCAAGGTTTGTATTCATGGTATGAAATTGTAGAATGCTGTTTACATCTTAAGCACATTTATTTTCATCTTGCTTTTTTATGATTTTTTTTTTTTTTGCATACTGTAAAAGTCCTTTTTTCCACAGGGTCAAAATTCATCAAATCTCTGTTCCATCCGTGGGAAGAAAATTACGCGGATTTTTTAAGATTGCCTCTATATGCCTTACATGTAGTGATGTAAATGCATTTTAACTTTTTCAGTATGCTACGACAAATTTCCACAAAAAATTTGTGACCACATACATAGTGTAAATTATACATGTACGTGAACTTTTCTAGAAAACAGTTGTAAATCTATATCTACTACATGTATTTACCTTTGTATCACATTCCTGCACTTCCTTTAGGAGATCAAACAACAGAGAAAACATGGAATCCAAATACTGAAACAAAGAGACATGTTCATTAGTTCATCATCATTAAAAAAAATTTTGAATCTTTTGTTCATGTTTTTTTCCTTTATTTTATTAATTTTAACAATTTTAAAATTTTATACTCACTGGTAAGAACTGTTCTACACTGAATTCAAAATCATCTACAGGTAAATTTAGTTAAGAAAAGTAAGGATTTACATGTGCATGTTTTCCTTTTTTACTAGACATGCCTTAAAATATTATTTAAATTTAGTTAAAGGGAAAAAAAAAGAATCTTTTGTTTTGTGTTTATGAGGCGATAACCAACTTTGATAACTCCTTAAATATCACAATGCTTTTTGAGACTATGCAATCTCGTTATGAGAGTATAATCCGGGATTATTATTATTGACACAACACTGACAAATTTTATATATTATGAGTTAAGGATATCAGTTTTCAGAGTCATGGCTGACTCGATTCTGACAACCAAGTCTTCTGATTGGTTCAGGAGAGAGATGATGGCCTGGTACAAGGTGGGGCGCAGAGAGAAGGACATTTTGACCCCGACCCAATGTGCACACAGCCAGATTATCCTCCGGTGTATTATCCGGTAACTGAAGGTAAATATGCAACAAGATAATGATTTATCAAGGAAAAGGGTATAAATTTTTCAATTTTTAAAATGTTGAGGATTCAGAATTTACCAGTGGAAGGGTAAAGATTATTTTCCAAACAATCAATAACAGTATTACATGTAGTACTGTAAGTACCAATTTTTCGTGACACCTTATTTTCATAAGATGTACATCAAGTATTTATAAGCAAGACAGAATTTTCATGAATTCTGGTTAATATTGTATGTAATCTACACTACTAAATATACATCTGTAGATGTGAGAATGAAAATTTCCGGAGCAGATTGTCTCGCGTAATTACAGGAAAATAAAGTTCTCACGAATAAAGGGATTTACAGTAAAGTTCTTAACCACTTACTTTTGATGCTTTATATTGAGTTCTTGAAGAAGCTCTGAAGAGAACCATTTGTCAAAATCCACATCATCGAACAGATCAAAGGCTGAGAGACCAACTGCATTATACACTGAAATTATCAAAATCATCATCATTGTCATCATCCACATCATTAAAACAGATCAAAGGCTGAGAGACCAACTGCATTATACACTGAAATTATCAAACAAATCATCATCATTGTCATCAACAACATGATCAAACAGATCAAAAGCTGAGAGACAAAATGCATTATACACTGAAATTATCAAACAAATCATTGTCATTGTCATCAACAACATTATCAAACATATCAAAAGCTGAGAGACAAAATGCATTATACACTGACATTATCAAACAAATCATCATCATTGTCATCAACAACATTATCAAACAGATCAAAAGCTGAGAGACAAAATGCATTATACACTGAAATTATCAAACAAATCATTATCATTGTCATCACCAACATCATCAAACAGATCAAAGAATGAGAGACCAACTGCATTATACACTGAAATCATCAAAACCATCATCATTGTCATCAACAACATCATCAAACAGATCAAAAACTGAGGGACCAAATGCATAGTACAATGAAATCATCAAAATCATCATTGTTGTTATCAGCATCATCAAACAGATCAAAGGCTGAGAGACCAACTGCATTATACACTGAAATCATCATTATTGTCATCATCCACATCATCAAACAAATCAAAAAATGAGAGACCAACTGCATTATACACTGAAATCATCAAACAGATCTTCATCATTGTCATCACCAATATCATCAAACAAAAGTCATTAAAAATAAATCCCAGAACTCAGATTGTACCTGCATCTTTACTGAGAATCCCAATCATGTCCTCAGGATCACATGGTGCCTGTACGGCTTGTACAAGTTCAAGGACAACAGGGCTCAAGGACGCTCTGAATTCCTTAAACAGGGTAAGATACAGCACTTCAGAGCTGGGCTGCAAAATAAATGCAATCTTATTATGTCCTGCTTTTGCATCAAACAAGACAAAAAATTCAATGTATAATTAATACAACAGTGCTGTTCAAAGAATTATCAGGAGAAATGATTGGCATTAAAGAGGCAGGATGCATCATGGCAATTTTAGATACTTTTTCTACCTCCTGACAAAGGAGATGATTAGTACATTTGAAGATAATGTTCTGTACCAGTCGTTTACAACCCTGCTTCCTTAAATTAAATATGAATAAATGGACATACTCTAAGTGAATACTTGTAGGAATCTCCACCTTCTTCTAAACCTGCAAACAATTAAAAAATAAATTCAACTTGACCAAAAAGAAAATAAATATTACATTTATAGAAGTAATCCCACTTACAGTGATGATTAGATGTACTCACAGAAACCCTCTGGATCAGCGTCCCAGTGACTAAGATCTTCTGACGTTAACAGGAAGTACTGTGAGATGAGACGGCGACAAATCTCACGTAGCGTACCATAATGAAAAAAATCCATCTTAATTTTATATGCTGCCATTTTGACAGCATCAGTTTGTTCTGAAAACACAGGAAAATTCATTGCAGTACTATAAATAAGCAATTCTTTTAAAAAAAAACAAAATAATTTACAGAATATAGTTTCAACTTCACTAGTTTCTACCAGTACCTGGAGATTTCATTGGTCTGTACACATCACTGGATAGAATTCCCTTCATCAAATTAAAACAGTTTACTGTGAACCTCTCAAACAGCAAACCTGAAGTAAAGTTAAAGCAATGAGATCATGAAGAACAGTTAACATATACATGTAGGTGTTCATGACATCAATGCATTTGCTAATTATACATTGTATTCTAGTCCTCATCACAAGTATAAAATGAATACAAAAAAAAACCCATGTCACAACTTTTGACCAAACACTCAGATCAAAAAATATTAATAGCTGTCTTGAATCTTATTTTTTTCCATACTTTTATTTTACCTTTTTCTGACATGGAAAAATTATAGGTGACCACAAACTCTAGAGTTGGTCTGATCAGCTGTATAAATGAGATAGGATGGATGTCCAGTAAATCTAACAACTGAAAAAGAAAACATTTCACCCTGACAAGTTTAAGGCACATTCATAGACATTATTATCATTTTCTCCTTGGAAAATCTATCCCAAGACTATACAGCAATGCTAGATTTTCTTATGGTAATATTAATTAAGATTCATTAGCCCTCTGTTCACTCATTCAAATGTTGTTTTAAAATGTTGCTTTAATGCTTATGATCTTCCAAAAAAATGTACTTTATAAGTAAAATTCAAACAACTTTTGCATAGCTTGCAGGGCAAAAATGGACCAAAATAAAAGCATTTAAATTTGACAGATTTATAAAGGAATAATAGAAATTTATACCATTAAGAGTTATCTCTCTTATCAGAGGGTCAATGCACCTTAATACCCCTACTTACAATTTTAGTAATCAGAAGAATCATTTTCTGACATTTTTCAAGAACTTGGTGATTCCCCCACATACTCTGTCCTAAAAATAGACCAAAAAAAAAATAAAAGAAATTTAAAATGAGAGAAAATGATAGAGTAAGGGAGGTAATTCTATAACAAAATCAAGGTCAAGTAAGAAAACAAAGTATACAAAATAAATTGTTGTTTACAAACCGATAGGTTAATTTGTTGCATTTAATTAGCATATTTGAATTCACTACTTACTAAATCCCAGGACCTGCTTCAGTCTGACAAATATCTGGTTTAAGAAGCTGGACATATCTTGGTTAGTCGAAGGATCTTTGGTGCCGTAAACAATCTGTTTTCTGATGACTAACAAAACACAAACATTTACAATAATTAAAAACATTTCAAACAAAGACAGCTATCATTATTCTGTTCTGAATTTTCATATATTACAACATTCAACACTTTAGACAGGTATAAGTAATTATGAAAACTATTGCTGTCTTTTGTCTTTAAGTAAATACTGTGGTTTCACTAATTTTAGAGGGGGTAAAATTTTGTAGTTTTGGCAAAAAATAGAATTTTCATGATAAATTTTTGTGGACAGCAACCTCATCTTATTCTACAGTTACAGGTGTTAGTCAAATTTTTAGCTCATTGGTCAGTTACATGTACATCTTGTATGTCTACCTCGACCACTAAAATTGGTTTTCACAATGAAAATTGATGAAATCACAGTTAACACATGTAAAAAAAAAACTTAAGTTATCTTCTTAAACTATGTATGACATTCATACACATTTACATTGAAAGACAGAAATCTTTACAGAATCTTACTTTTACAAGACAGGTTTGCCCTATCCATTGCGGGTCCCATTTCATCACTATGGACTTGTGAGAGTTCAGCAAATAGGTCAAGATCTCTGATCCAAAGTCCATAAACAAAGCCAAATATCTCACCAGTCAGCTAAAACCATCAAATAAAAATGACAGTCCATCAGGATATATGAAACTCCAAAAATAAAAATCATGAAAAGGGAACAACGTGTACAGTAAAACCTCGTTATCTCGAACTCAATGGGACTGAGAAAAAACTTTGAGATATCTGAGGATTTAAGATGTCCTGGGTAAAATATGTAAAATAAGGGGTTGGGACTTCCAAATCACTTTGACATATCCATAATATTCGAGACATCAGTGTTTGAGATACTGAAATTCAACTGTATATCTGTCATGCAAAAAAAAAAAAAGAAGAAAAAAACATGGTAAATATGTATTTTAACAAACTTACGATATACTTGTTGCAGGTTTTACTTTTGGAATCTTATGTGACTATAAATAAAATAAAATATAAAACTTGCTTCCTCAAACAGCTTTCTATCAGGTGGCAGTCTTTTAGAGGCCAGAGTTTTTGTCACATGATGAAGAATGAGAAGCGCTCTCTCCTGGATAAGTAGGTCCTCACAACGGACAGCTTGGAAAAGTGCAGGAAGCAGAGAATTCCAGTTACGGGGGCAATCCAATCGCGCAATCTTAGAAATCAAGACAGCCAGTTGTGTGGCGATCTGAAAATTTATAAACAAATCTATATTAATGTCAAAAGCTATTGTCTATCACCAATAAAATTGTTCCTTTCTTCTCCTTTAGTTTGAAATTTGGATGGATGCTTAGTGATGTGACTGACTTCCAAACTAATTTCCTTTCAATCCATATTTCAAACCCAACAAAAAAGATTGACTTTTATGGATTACCGGTAATCTCAAAGTGAGTTGGGGAAAATACAAATTTTGATTCCTCATTCTGAGGAAAGAACATAAGCACTTTAAAAATAAATATTACTTAAGTACTGATCATGTATATATTTCTTTATAAAGGACCTTTTTACAATGCCTGGATTTGTGTGGTATTTAAGAAGTATACCTGTGGAACTGGCTCTGAAAAATTGGAAATCAGCTTGGACTTAAGTCTCTCCTTTTCATCTTCGGACATGGCACTGACAATGAAATTTAAAGAAATTTAATTGTTTCATCATTATAGTTAAGGATAATACTAATTTGTTAATAATGTGTAACAGCTTTTGAAGCAGCAGTTGCTGTGTTAAATTTAAAGCTTACTGATAGATTGTCATAGTTGTGATTTATTTATCTTACTTTGGGGCCGTTTTCCTCCAATAGCGTTCCACTCCATTCTTACAATACAACACTGCTAACCATCTCACATTTATGCTGATATTGTGATTGGAAAATATCTCCTAAAAAAGCATTTTTTTTTTGTATGCACATGTACAATTAAAGAATCTTTAATTTGTAATATTCAGTGTACATGCAATGAGGATTTTAATTTTTGATACAAGAAATTAGAAAAACCAAACACTTACAGGCTAGATAATATACTTTTTTCCAAACATGAGACTGACATTTGTGGCAGTAAATATTCATGTTCTCTTATTTCTTTTTAATAAAGGTGACCGTTCAATAGTTCTTAGAAGTTTCATCAGGACTTCAATCAAATACTGACATTACTTTTAAGGTAATTAACAATAATTTTGCTCAGACAGAGTGGGAGCTTTGAATTCAACACATTTCAAAATAAATCACTCATCTGCGAATCAAGTTAAAGCTAAAATACTTAAATAGTTTAATGCTTACACTTAAAATAGTGTAGAATCCTGGTTGTGTTTCCCATTGCTGAAGTTGGCGTTCTGCAGGCTTAAGAACATCGGCATTCTGGCAACAAGCATTAGTCAAGGTCTCTAAAACCAGAGGACCAGAGCTTGAAAGATCCATTTCTATCAGACTGATCTCTCCATATTAAAACAAACACATGCTTAATTATGGAGACTTCCAAGTTCTAACGTAGATGACCATGCGAGTTTGCATGACCTCAGTATTTAAAACGAATGACTTAAGCTAGTTTCACAATAAGTGGCAAATTAATGTAAAATTAGATGGCTGTGTAACTAGAAAAAAAGAATGAATTATGAAATGTTGACTATCCCATGGGGGCCGCCATTTTTAAATAGTAAAATATTCGATTTGGAAACGTATTTTGTTCCGGAAAATATAAGTGACTTAAATTAACGTTTTTGTCGCTTTATAACTAATCTATGTCAATCAAATACATGTAATTTCACTTCAAATTTTCTTAATATCTATGGTAAATTTGAATTACTAACTGGTTTCAAAGAGAAAGTACAAACATTTTCTTGTACGAGTTATCCATTTTCGACTACGAAACTAATTTTTTAGTCCGCTCTGCATGCATGAGATACACTTCCGGAAATCTAAAGCTATGCATTTTCCTACATGAAAAATGTTTTCGTAGAAATGCATTTATTCTAATTTATATTGCCAAAGTACCATGTCTGAAACTAACTTTCATGGAGGGTTACTACCGAAACACGCAATATATCATTCTTCAGGGTAAGAAAATCAAGACATGAGATGTTTTCTTCAGTTTTTATATTTTAGACACGTTGTCAATGTTGTAAATGCCTGAATAGTGCTATATACTTGTAAAAGCTGTATATCTTGATGTAGAGATTGCACTTAACCTTAGAAAACAAAATCAAAGAGTGGTGTTACTTCTGAGCTACTTCTAATCCTACTTTCTTTTCAGGCTATTTTTAGTGAAGAACACACAGGTACTTGGGTCTTGGTTTATAAATATGTATGACACCTATTGATATGTAAAAGAGAAAGATATTCAGGCTAGATAATGGTTATACTCACTTGTTTATATTGCCTCTTCTTTGAAAATAAAGCTACAGCTACCATAAACAAGGGGTGTAATGATATACCGACACAGTATATCACAATGCACAAAATAATACCATAAGAATGTATGTTATTTGCCCTAAAACATGTATGCCCTTAGTTGGTTACTTTTGAAGATTCTTTCAAAAAAATAACACTGTTGCTGAGATGCTGCTCATGTCCAATCAAAATGGTCTATGAACATATAAATTTCCTTAATTATTTTCAAAACATACATCATGTACACATGTAATATGAATCTTAAAAAACAAAGAAAGTTTCCTTTTTTACATTACTAAATTAACAGCAATTAAATGATTACGCCTCTGATAAACATTAAAATCGGAAAACAGATCAATACTGATTGAAAGGAACTAGATCTTTTAATTAACAAAATAAAGATAAAAGAAATGTCTTAAAATTCAAAAATAATGTTGACATACATTATTTACAATAGGGTGAACGGGATACAGGGTTACAAGTATTATGGCGAACAAACTTTGGGCAGATGGACTCATGCAAACTGGTAAAATCACAAATGTAAGGATTTTTAGACACTTTTTTTTTTTCAAAATTTGCTTTAATGTGTCCAGAAGAAAGTGTTAATTGTAAAAACAGAACCAAATATGAGAAATATAAATTTGCATTTAGTCATCTTTAATTCTAGAAGCATTCTGAAAAATTTTCAAATGGTATTTTTATGTTTCAGAATGCTTATAAAATGTAGGACTGACTAAATGCCCAAATTTGTTAAATTTGGTTTGGGTTATATAATTAAACCTTTCTTAGCATGTTGAGGCAAATTTTGAAAAAGTGTTTGAAATTCGTAAATTAGGAATTATTTGCAAGGCATGATATCTGTTCCGATGAGGAATGCAGTGTCTCAAGATAAGTCATGCTGAATTTGGTAGGTGTAGCTTTATTTTCAAAGAACAAGCAATGTGAAGAAGCAGGTAGAGCAGACATTATACCGGTAATCACCTTGCATACCTTTACTCTTTTATTGGGTATCATACATACATGTATTTGTGAAACAATATCCTAGTACCTGTGGAACAATTAAATTGAAGAAATTGGGGTCTCAAAATGTGATTTGAAAAAACTGAACATGAAAATAAATGAATTTTTAAAAAAATAAGGTAAACTCAATGCATATTTCTAAAATTATTTATTTTATGATCAATAAATGCTGTTAAAATGATTCAGTTGTTCACATCCAAATTATATATATTTTTTTTGTAAAAGATAAATATTTAAAAAAAAAAAACTGTCAAGGCTTAGAAAAATGCTTTTTTGTTCAATATTTATCTTCAATTTATATGATTCAGTCAATCAGTTTTAATTATTTTTAAAAGAATGACTTGATAATTTGATTAAAAAAAAAAATATTAAGCAATAAATTTCAGAGATAAGAATTTTCATATCACACATAAAACTGGCTAAGAATTTTCATATCAGACATAAAACTGGCCACTGTCTTGCTTTTGTCATACGTTTACAATTCTTGGCAGTAAATTCAGAATCTACAAATTCTGCCAATTTTGTCAACCAAATTAGTCTCATTAAGTTTTTTTCTCTTTAAGACATATGTATTTCTTTTAATTAACTTGTAAATGTTTTACAGAGTGTTTCCTGTTAAATCAAAAGAACAGTTAAATAGATGGTAAAAGCACCTGTTACATGTATATCCAATCTACTTGTCAGAGTGTGTTTCGCTGTATATGCCTGGCTTATAGAATTATGGCAATTGATTAATTAACGAGAAATATCAGGAAATACATGTAAATTAAAAATATTCATGCTATATCAGGCCTGCTAATCGATCAGTTGCATAACCAGCAGTTATGTATAATAATCAAAAGAGATCGATTTCCGGTTATGCATTTGATACGAATAATTTCAATACACAGATGGTAAGTTGACCCAATGCAGGCAATAATTGAAATTTTAATTAAAATGTAAGAATGTGATTCCATGAGCAATTTATTTTTCTTTTATTTTACACTCTTATAAAATGCTAAGATTGTCTATTAACAACGATATTTGTTTTGAAGCAAGGGCTGGTAGAGCGAAAACGCTGATTGAAAACAGTATTTGCTGACTGGAATTCGTGTTAATCTCAACTAACCTTAAATATCCAATGTTCACCATTAGTTTGCATCAATTACATCTTATCCACCCAAATTTGGACTTTGATATGTGTATTATTTGGCAAATATTCGAGGTAAATAACGTTGCCTATGCATGCGATACTTCAGTTGTGAAGGAGATTTCGGGTTATGCATGAGATAAAGGACAAAAAGTTTCAAACTTCATGATTAAAATCAAACATTATGTAATTATAACGTAATCTTCCACAAATTTTAAAAATAAAAGTATAGGATTTTCCTGCAAACAAGTTGAAACATCTGATCTGTTAATTGTTGAAGACATTGAAGTAAATCTGTTGGGGGGGGGGGGGGGGGTCAGTTACAATCGGTACAAACTATTTTCAAAATAATTGCACTAACATTCTCTATGTGTGAATTATTTACATCACATTGTTGTGTGTGTATTTTTTAGTTTTAAAATCCAAGGCATCGTTAACAGGCCCGTAGCAACGGTTTCAAAAGTGTGAGGGGGGGGGGTCAACTTCCCCCAAAAAATCTGACAAGCAAAATAAAAAGAAAAAAAAAACCTAAACTGACCAAAAGTGGGGGCCTACTTCCCAAAATTATCTGACAAGCCAAAAAAAACCCAATATACCGTCCCTGCGTTCTGGGTAGGTTAAAATTTATTTGGTGGAAAACTCATTAGATTTATGTTTTGTCTAAAAAAAAATGGAATAGACGTTTTGTTCGGACAAAATATGCTACATCCACAACAGTTTAAAATCAATTTTGCTTTTCCTGGCAAAAATATTCTTTATGGAATATATCCCATGGGTGAAACATTTCCTTATGTTCTGAAGCCGGGTATACTGAATTCTGTTATCGAGCTGGGAAAGGCACAAGATGACAACGCCTCATCTTATGGTTGAGGCTATCTGGTACCAGCCTCATCTTACATTCTCATGTTTGATGGTAAAAAGGTAAAGTGTGGTGGTGATATCGAATCCATTAGGATATGAAGATCGTCCATTACACGAAAGAAGCAAGGGAAAGAAAATGGTTTTTACACCATAAAATCGGTTATAGATGCATGTTGCTATAGTGTATAATAATAAGTTCAAATTATGAAGAAGCGTAAAAGAATGAATTATTTGCAATCAGTCACAGTGAAATTGTAGGAAAGAATATTTTACCAATACCTGTTTGGTTTTATAATTCACAAGATTAAATTCATACATCATTAGCAGGCGCGGATCCAGGAATTTTTTTTTCAAGGGGGGGGGGGGGGTTCCATCCCAGTCAAAAAAAAAATCTAACCCAAAAATTTCTTGACAAGCAAGAAAAAAAACATTTTCCAAACGTGAAAAACACCTGTTTCGTGGTGGTGATGGTGGGGTCCACGTTTTCTAAAGGGGGGGGATCCAAAGTCATTTTTCATTTGCTTCAGTATCTACTTTTTATAACTCTGCAAATTCCAGGGGGGTTCCGGACCCCCCACCCCCTCTAGATCTGCGCACGATTAGTAAATGTACAAAGAGATAGTAAGAGTTTTTTTCCATTGGGGGGGGGGGTTATCAACATTTAATTTACCGTATATCCAGTATTTTTTTTTTTATTATTATTTTTGCAATCAGTTTGAGATCACAAAAAAATAAAAAATGCAAAAATATACATAGGTATATATCCACTAAATGTACTAGGAATTTTTTTTCAAAGTCGCAGCAATTGTCTAAAGCATATAAAAAGGTTCTGACACGCGAAAAAACGGATATACTTATATATGTTAATACCTTATAAAAGAAATAATCTTTACTAGCGTAAGTATTTAAAAAAAGAACAAAATCAATATACTTTAAATAACGTTTGATAATTTCATAAATGATTAAATATACTAGTATTTAAAAATATTGAATATAAAGCAATGCAGTATTCTGTTTTCCTTCTCTGGCATAAAAAAATCAAAATGTGCTTGCAAATATGATGTAACATCCTCATATTACAGCCAATATTTAAAATTTGATAATCTTTAACAAGAGTAAAATAGTCTAAGAAGTGAATTATGGAGATAGTATAAAACTTTTGAAACTTTTTGTCCTTTATCTCATGCATAACCCGAAATCTCCTTCACAACTGAAGTATCGCATGCATAGGCAACGTTATTTACCTCGAATATTTGCCAAATAATACACATATCAAAGTCCAAATTTGGGTGGATAAGATGTAATTGATGCAAACTAATGGTGAACATTGGATATTTAAGGTTAGTTGAGATTAACACGAATTCCAGTCAGCAAATACTGTTTTCAATCAGCGTTTTCGCTCTACCAGCCCTTGCTTCAAAACAAATATCGTCGCTAATCGAAAATCCTTGCATTTTATAAGAGTGTAAAATAAAAGAAAAATAAATTGCTCATGGAATCACATTCTTACATTTTTATTAAAATTTCAATTATTGCCTGCACCGGGTCAACTTACCATCTGTGTATTGAAATTATTCGTATCAAATGCATAACCGGAAATCGATCTCTTTTGATTATTATACATAACTGCTGGTTATGCAACTGATCGATTAGCAGGCGTGTATATACATGATATAAATAAGATGAAAACTCAAAATATCAAATTAACTATACTGACAGATTGAAAATAAAAATCATAGTTTGGTGCTGATTTGTGAACATTGTGTTGTTGACATTTTGGTATGTGTGCTTAATTAATTAAAGTTTGTACACAAGATTTTTTAACTTTTTAATGCTTTAAAAAAAAATCAATGAATTTCGGTAAATTACACACTTAAAATTATTTTAGCTGTAAAATTTCTTTCACAAAAGAATTCATAGTAATGATGGACACACAAAATTCTTGTGCTTTTACAAAATGCGCTCTTCAATTATGTAGAATTCACATGCATTGACCTTCTATCGCACTTGGAAACCTTTCTGCTTGTGATTTGTGTCATTCATGCAGACGATACAGTACATTCATCAAGTATCAACAATTTCACAAACATTTTTATCAATTTTCCTTTTTTTTTTTCATCATTCTATCCTTCTATCCAATGTGATGCAATTGTTACATGTAAATATATTAGTTGATGTTTATATTGAAAAGTCAAAAAGTCCGTGTGATTTGTGAGTTATTTGACATTCTGTTTTCACAGAAAATCCTGACATTGACATAAATGAGTACTGATAAATGGGTACTATTTCAGTTTGTCCGTGTACCTTCTACTGCTGGTAGCGGCCAAGTTCCTGCGCGCTGTTGGTCTATTTATCTCGTATGACTTACTAAAGATCATCCCTGTGGTACAATTCCTATTTCTCATCAAGTTTTGGTAGGTGAATTAAAAAAAAATATTAAAACCTGACTAAAAAAAGCAAACATATAACTGTTAATGTGGTATGATTTTTTTTATATAAAACATTGCAGGAGTTCCCTCCCCCTTCTTGTACTCCAGAAACCATTTTCTTCAGGCAAAAGATTAAGTAATCACCAGGTATGACATTTTAAAATTTACCAAGTTATACATTGATTATAGTGTTCATATATTAATTAATGCAGTGAAAATTTGTTTCCACATTTTTAAAGTTTTTCAATGATTTGGTATATGTACACACTAAAAAACTACAATTCACAAGTATTTCTGCAATGATAAAAGTTCACTCCCCTTTGTTTATTATTAAACTTTGTACATTTTTATTACAGAAACGTGCTACATTTATCATACTCATATTTTATATTTCATTGTTTTCTAATTTGCAAAGCTTTCTGTATTTCATAATTATCAACATTTTTTAGAAAAAGTAAAAGTTATTATTTTATATCATTTTAAATACATTAATCTCAGATTTTATTTTAATTCTTAATGCATGATTTTATGTTTGCAGTTATTTCGTGTATTCCGTCATGCTGTCATAGGGGCATTCATAAGTCTACTATGGCTCTTTGGCCTAACACTCTGTGGTCCTTTAAGGTAAAGATTATTATTAAATTGATTGGATTTTATGATTTAAATCATCAGATTTATATAAAGTTATGCCCATACACGAGCTTTTTTTTTTTTTATGAAATGTTTCCTATAAAAATCGAATTCTTTCTGTATTTTGAATTGGACATTACAAATTTGAATACAAAACAGTATAAAAGTAAAAGCTGAAGATAACGAAACAGTGACCAATCTCATAAATCTAGACAATACGAATTGTTAACAGGGCAAAAACATTGACCCCGGAAACACCAGAGGTGGGATCAGATGCCTAAGAGTAGTAAGCATTCCCTATCTATCAGTCACACCTGATGTTTAAACACGAGAATTTTTCATACTATTCCTGTGTGCTTTTATTGTAGGACAATCCTTCTGTTTGAACACAGCGATCTTGTGATAATAGCTGGAGCTAGTGCCCTTTTCTCAAGCAATGGAGGGGGACCAGCTAAGGTATGATGACTGTACTAAAATGCAGCATTTACGGGAGAGAAAAAAATGAAATTTGCTCTGTTTTTTTTTTACTTTTTGATTTTCTTTTGTAGACTAGAGGTGCCATATTTTTCCTTTTTGCAGTCATCACTTTACTTCTGTTTGACCATGATGAAAAATTAGATCATCTTGGTGATCATGAGCGTATCCTTGGTATTTAATACTGAACGTGTGTAAAGTTTAGTCATATAAAAAAAAAACAAACCTATCTCTGATGTACAGTATTTAATCAAATTTAAATGCCGTAAATTTTATTTCAATATTTAAGTTAAGATAATCAAATATTGATGGAAGGAGAAGAGTTAGATTTTATTGATAATCTGTGTCTCAGTTACTGTAGTAAGAAGTTGAGGAGTTCTGCATTTATTAGCCTTAACAAGTTACAGCTAAGGACAAACACCACACTATATTTTCACATCTATTTTACCATACAGTTAATTTCATTGGCTGGTCTGACCACAAAGTAAGAGTTACTTATTAATTTACTTTTATAGAATTTCAGCTCTATTTTTATATCTGTGAAAATCTAATTGGTCTCACACTTTTGATTTTCTTTGCCCCTTTGTCAGTGGACAAATTCAAAATGGGGCAAATTCAACAGAGACAGAGTTATCTCTCTTGGAACACAACTGTGTCTAGAAGAATTTTAAAAAAAAGGATCAAAATTGTTTGCAAGTTTAATAGTGTGAAAATAATCCTGTATACAGAAGATTCAAATGAAGGTGAAATGATAACTACCAGGGTATTTCCAAAACAGACACAAGTACAAGACATATGTAAGTCATTGTAATACCTATTCTGTAATAAGTAAGTGTAACTTTGTTGGGTTTATACAGGGAGGCGTGGTTCTGCTGGCCTTGACTTTGTGTATGCAGGTGGGCTATAACAGTGCCTCACGAAAACTGTCAGTAGATGTGGGAGGAGCCAAAAAATTACATGCTCTCTCTACCCTGGCCCAAGCCACAGTCCTCTGTCCTTGGGCAGCATTTATCTATTTCACCAGAGAGGTAGGTACCAAATTTATACTTGACTGATGTCAAGGAATATTTCAAGCACTCAAAATACACTGTATCAAGTGCGCAGTATAAACATGAGTTATATTTGAGTATACATTTAAGGAATGTTTTTAAGTTTTGTGTGAGTTATTGGTGTGTAAATCACACAGAATTGTCACATAGGCATATTTCATGAAGTGCGCTAGTGCTTCATGAAAAATATGCCTACGTGCAAGTCTGTGTGATTTACACACCAATAATTCACACTTAACTCAAAAACATTCCTTATATTTACATTTTTCAAGTTCAAAAGCACCAATAATATACTCAATATTTGAATTTCTTGCTGCCCTATATCGTTACATTTTTATTTGCTCACCTCAACGAAGTTGGGGGAGCTTATGTAATACCCTTGGTGTAGGCGTCCGAGGTTAAAGTTTTTAGAGCAGTTTTCTTTTCAAGTACTTCTATGCCCCATGTCAATCAGAGATGCATGGAGGATGCTTCTAGTGTGTTTCATTGTACCAGTCAATGTTTCAGATGCTGCAATTTCAGCTAAAGAATGACCAGGTTAATGTTTTTGGAGCAGGTTAAGGTTTTTGGTGCAGGTTAAAGTTTTTGGAGCAGATCTCATTTCGAAGTAACTTTAAGCCCTATAGTGACCAAACTTGCATGGATGATACGTCTAAGGATGCATACCACTGGACTTGCTTCAGATGCTGAATCTGACCTACATTTTCCGGATGAGTGACCAGGTTGAAGTTTTTGGAGCAGATCTCATTTCCAAGTAATTATAAGGCCTATCTGAACCAAACTTGCATGGATGATGCATCAAGGAATTAACACTCTCAAACTTGCTTGAGATGCTGGATTTGACTTGCATTTTCTGGATGAGTGAATAGTTTTAAGTTTTTAGATAAGTCCATTTCCAAGCAGCAAGCCATATCAGACCAAAATTGCATAAATGTTGCATCTAGGGATGCACACTACTAGATTATTAGTTTAGTGTGGGACTTTGCCTTTCTTAAAGACAACATTTGTTGAGGTGAGCTCTGTAATCTCTGATTACCTATGTTTAACGTCTCTGTAGCCTCATTGTGACGTCACTTTAGCGCGAGTTTCACCGTGTATATTTCTATGCGTGAGTATACACAAAAATGACTTTCAAATCAATTTCACAGTTGGCTTAGTAGAAAAACATAGCAAATGTAAATATTTATATGTATATGTAAGTAGAAGTCAGGTAAATTGCATAGAGAGCAGCAACAAATGGCATAATTTGTTCAAGACAAGGATATGAAAATTTGAGGTTTATTGATTGTAAACTACACTTGTATATTATATTAAAAAAATTCTTCCTTTTTTTTTCAGTCTGAAGTGGAGTCCTGGTTGTATTTAGTCTTCCCCTTAGGTTTAGTGGTGCTTTTTGTTTTTCTGTTAGACTTTTATATTGAGGCGGTGGCCTCTAATCATCTCCAGGGGCCCCGCACAGCCGTGTATGGCACATATGCTATTTTTATCAGTGCTCTTTTGCTTGGGGTAACTTGGAATCATCCGATGGTGTCATGGATCACCACGGTAACCAAAGAGATTATCACAGAAGATCATGTTCTATCTGGAGGAGTTGTGTTTAGCCTTATGACCTTTATTTTGGGTAATATATTTATCAGTTATTACTTCTAGGAGCAATAAGCCAAATTTGAATTGAAAGAATCATTACCTTTAATTTAAATTTTGTTTGTTTTCCCTTTCATAATAGCCTATCATTTGAGATTGTGTTATTTTCTTACCAAGGTACTTGCTTTTAGGTGTATATTTTTGTAGATTTTTGATTTAAATGAAAAACGTAACACAATTTATTCTTTACTTTTCATTCAACAGCTACAAATATGTTAGGATGGCCAAGTCGAGGTAGCAAAACAGGGAGTTTCATTGGCTACTCTACAACAGGCCAGCCCCTCTACAGCTTCAACAGCGATGCCATCGCTCGCACTTCACACTCCATCGCCACGGTGATGAAAAATGGCCTTAAACAGATTCTAGAGGAGTCAGATTCCAGAAAAATATTTTATTTTTTGTGTATCAATCTAGTAAGTTTTCATTTCATTGGCTGATTTCTTTTCCTTGGGGGGGGGGGGGGGGGGGGGGCTGGGTTTGTTTGGTTTTTTTTTTTTTTGGAGCTGTACTCATGTAGGGTAAACTGATCGAAAGTCGAACATGACCGCAAGTCGAACGCATTTTTAACCTCACCTACACCTTTTGATAAACAATAAATGGTAGGCAACTCTTGGATATCTGTCTTCTTTTTTATCCATTTAATCAATTAGAGTTATCTTTTCTAAGTCGAACTCATCTGTTAATAGTTCTAGGTGCCGGGAAATTTAAAGGTGATTTCTCGAAATTTTCTGTCGTAAATGAATTATGAAAGTTGTTTCAAAGCTCCAAACATTTACCAAATAAGCTAAGCAATACTTTAAAAGGCAAATTTATAAAAATCAATATTTTAAAAACCTGTCTTTATATGGTTTTCACTTTTGGATACATAATTTGCAAAATAATCAACCAAAGTTCATTGAATTAATATTGGAAAATGATATGAAGTCGAACACCAAAAATGATCGCAAGTCGATCAGTGTTCGACACTAGATACAGCGTTAAAATACTGCAAATAAAAGAGAAAATAAAAGCTTTTTAAGATAAGAAAAATTATTATATGAATATATAAGATAACGAATTAATTTTTTTCCCTTAAAAAAACCTTTGCCACCAATACTTTAATTATTCCATGATTCAAACACAATTTATGCAATCAGTATTAACTTTAAACATCTAGTCGTAATATCTAATTTAGAATTACATGTAGGGTATTTATTTTGGTAATGACGTCTAGAATCAAGTTTTTCAGCAAATATCCGAATTGGATTTTTTTTTTACTGTAGTGCCCCCTCCCCCGCCCCTTTCTCTTAAAAAAAACCTGGGTCTGTGCCTGCCATGTTTTCGGTGCTCTCCAGAGCCCAATATATGTAACAGTTGGTAATGCTTTGTCCATTTACCACAACAATGAAAAGACAAACAAAGCTGAATATTTTTAGGATCTGACACTCCGCAAGCACAAAGTATATTTTCGAACAATATTGTAGTGTAAATTTAGTTGGAAAATGTTCATTGAAAAGACTACATGTAGCTGCAACCCCTCCTCTCCCCCTCTTTTTTGCAGCGTGGTAAAATCGTCTGGTTTTATGAGGCCAAAAAGTTTATTGTTGAAAAAAAGTTGGATACCCCCCATGCGCTGATCCAGAGGGGGGTCGGGGAGGGGGTCTGGACCCCCCCCCCTGAAATTTGCAGAGTTATTTAAAGTATATACTGAAGCATATAAAAATGACTTTGGAACCTCCCCTGGAAAACTGACCCCACCATCAAAACCACAAAAAAGGATTTTTTGGGAGATTGATTTTACCCTCTCCCTTTTGTTTTCTTGTCAAGAAATTAATGGCTGAAAATTTTTTGACTGGGGGTGGACCCCTCCCCCCCACTGGAAAAAATTCCTGGATCCGCGCCTCCCCCCCCCCCCCCCCACCAGAGCTCCCACTGGAGCGAAAATATTTTTCGCCACTTTTCGCGATGAAAGGAATCACATTTTTACATCTCGTCTCGACAAGTGTACAGTGTTAAACACTCCACTTATAGCACTATTTCAATTTGTTTATATCACAGGCATTGTTTTAAAATTGTAAGATTTAAAGTTGTATCCACTTACAAAACTGATATAGGAATTATTTCTACATTTATACAATTAATTTGATACTGATATTAGCCAACTCTTGACAGTAGATGTCCTCTTGTTCATAACTTTTTAGCCTGGGGAGGGGGGTTACAGACTTAGTAAAGATACATGTATATGACAATTTTTTTTTAAAATGAAAAATAATATTATAGGCGAAAATTTTAATCATATCAACAATTTATTGTGAAAAGAAGTAATTAAAATCAGGTTTAACAACTTGGACACTGGGTGTATATGCATGTAAATTCATATAACTGAAAATAATTCAGCCTAATTGACAAAAGTATTGTTTTGTTTCCACGCCAGTATCTCTTTCACTCTTTGTCAGTTTATGGTATAATGAACACACTATTTTGACTTTAATCAGGTAAAATTAGCAGCCATGCTCTGCAATTTTCGTCATGTTTTCCTACTTTCGGTTTAAAAAAAAACAAACAATCTATATAGATCCAGATTTTATTGATTAAAATCTTTTATTAACTAACTTCATCTCCCCAAAACACTTCGTCTTTCCTTGTTTAATCCATCTTATATTATTTCAAGTAATTTTGTATCCCCTTACTGCTCCAGGCTAAAGTTACCTACTAAATCAGCTGTGTGCGTTCAAGCAAGACATGATTTCCTACATGTACATTGCTTTGTTAGTTTCATGGAGTTTTCACACCCTGAATTCACACGTCTGCTTGCATTAAATAAACAAAGGGGCTAATCTGTATACATTGAATAAACAAAGGAGATAGCCAGGAGTACACACACTTTTGTATGGTATATCTAAAAAAAAAAAGTTCATTTTCGCCACTTTTGAATTTCTTTTCGCCACTTTTGGAAAAAAATCGCAATTGGCGCAAATGGTGAATCACAGCTCAAGCCCCCCCCCCCCCACTGCATAGAAGTTTTGAGATTGGATAATTACTTTTTTGTTTTGCTGGCTCATAGCTGGTGTCACTGGTCAACTTGGGGTGCTTACTCCTCCTAGGCATCTGATCCCATCTCTAGAATTTCCGGAGTTTAGTGTTTTTTATCCTGTTCACAGATTTGTCTGTAGATTATTTTGAGGTCGATCCCTTTCCCTATCTTCACCTTTTTCAGGTAAGTTGTCTTGATTCTTTTTCCAGCTCCCTCCCCCCCCCCCCCCCCCCTTAAATAAAAGCAACGATGCTACAAGTTTGTTTTCGCCAGTTCCAGAAAAAAGAGATCTGTTGAGATATCAAGAAAATCGGAGCCATAACAGACGATTAACGTTTGATTTAAAGAAAAACAAAGGCTAACAGATAGTTTATTTTGAATGATCTTAAATCCGTATATGTACGATTTAAAAAAATTTCTGAAGAAATAAATATTTAACATTAAACTTCTATGCAATATTGTAAATCGTTTTATGTCTTCTGATTTAAACAAAAATATGTCCAATTGAATTTGTTTCATGGCAAGATTGTAAGATTAAAATTATTTTGCATTGAATAATGTATTTAACTAATCGAACTATAATAAAATTATTCCTACCAAAGAAAGTTGTGGAAGTTCAAAGAAAAAATTGAGTCTTGACCCCTCAAATTCGTCTGAAACGAATATTTAATTATTCGAAATGTTACATTAGAAAAGACTTCCAAGTGTAAAAGATGAAGATGATGTCAAAACAGAAAGGAAACAGAAAGCAGGGTTTTTTTTTTTTTCTTTTTTGCGGTAACACCAAATTAGGATTTCAAACATGATCAAGAGAGGATAAAAGAGAGAGAGAAAAAAAACATAAAAATACGAAAATAGAATAGAGAGAGAAATAAAACCAACAGAAAAGGTGGAGGATGAATGAAATTTTTGCAGATTGATGATGTTGACTAAATTCTACATTATTACTTTTCTCCTTCAATTTATAATTGTTTCCAGTATTACCAACAACGTTTAACAATCTTCCTTGATATTAAGATATCTTAATGAAAATCTTAAAAATGTTTGGTATGCATCAAAATCTATCTCTAAAAGAGAAAGACGAGCGCAATTTGGAAAAATAACAGTATCTTCAGAAGTTTGTCTATTAAATATGTTAATGTCATAAAAAGCATTTCCTATCAACAAGTATGTAATTCGTGCGACTCAGAATAAATGGCGTTCGACCTCATATCAAGCCGTTTGACTTGTGGTCGAATGTGTTCGACTTGCGATCTATTTAGTATCTCGGGCTTTTTCCTTCAATAACAATTGTTTCATTCAGTTGCCACAGTAAAGAACACGCTAAAATGAGGCTTTGGGTACACATTTCGATACATCTCTGGGTTCACGACACGCATAATGTCCCCTGTTGTCAACATTGTCGGTGAATATAAATAGGCGTTCGACTTGCGATCAGTTTACCCTAACAGGATAACTTAAATGTGTAAGACTGAGTGTAACTTTGCTTAAACATTAATTTTATTTAATTGAAGCATTGATTTACATGTATATATTAAAAGTCAAATATAGAACATGCATATAGAAAACTGATTGACAGGTTAAAATACATGTGCAAGTCATTTTAGATGTTTGCTTTCATTATAATCATTGCAATTAGGCCAAAATAAAATTATTGTTTGTTTGGAATTGCCTCCCGCCTCATTGAAATGACCCCTACTGGAAAAATTTTATTGACCAAAAATAAGATTTTTTTTATTCAGTCAATTCTTGGCCTGTTACCACATGTGTCACCCAATCATTTAATAAGTGTAGGATCTAAGCAAAACTAGGTTCCTGGTTGATGGGAGATACCCTTTACAAAAAGGCAGAAAATAATGTGTTCATTCCTTATTGAGATTTTTGTCATAAATTTTTAATTTAACTTTAATTTTGAAAAAAAAAATAATTTCCCTCCCTTTCTCCTGGGTCTGAAACCTCCCAGGCAGCAACTCCAAACAAACAATTTTTTAAGGATGGCCTCATAGGTAGATGCAGTCATGCAATTCTTAAATCTCTTTAACATACAAATATTGAGCTTTTTCGATCCTCTCCTAAATTTTTCCATCTCAAGAATTTTGATCCACCATGGATTTGATATGCTTCAAAACAAGAGTTGAAAGACTTAATTTTATAAAATAACAGTTCAACCACCTGTTGTTTCATGTAGAGCATCTTGATTTTTTTCAGACCTTCACGTTTGTGGAGCTTGTGTACGGAGTATGGACCAACAGTCTTGGTCTGATTTCTGACGGTTTTCACATGCTCTTTGACTGCTCGGCTCTAGTAATGGGGCTGTATGCAGCGGTCATGAGTCGATGGAAACCTACTCGTATATTTTCATATGGGTGAGGAAATTTGCTTAATTAACCAGCTTTAAATTTCATTTTTCACCATTCATGGACTCGGTTATTTTTAAATTGTTATGGTCAAATAGCTTAGAAAATAAATATATTTATTAAATGCATATGGTCTTGCAAACTGGACAGACATGACAACAAAATTTTTAATATACTTTTTTAAAAACATTTTTCCTCATGCCATAATTTGAAATAAAAAAAAAATTAATTCAATTTCAGTGGTCAATGTATCTTATTCATTTTTAGCTATGATCGGGTGGAAGTTTTGTCGGGATTCATTAATGGCTTGTTCCTGGTTGTGATTGGTGTGTTTGTTTTCACCGAGGCCCTCGGGCGGTTGATGGAGCCTCCAGAGGTTTCCACAGAAAGACTTCTGGTCAGTTTTTTCCCCCTGTAATTTTTATTCTGGGCAATTAATTGATTTTAAGTTTCATAAATACTATAGCATTTTTGTGTCCAGCTGATATTTTGTAATACCCATGCAAAGAAATTGAAAACATCCTGAAATTCTATGCTTTTTATTTCAGACTGTGTCAGTTTTAGGCTTACTAGTCAATTTATTTGGAATTGTTGCATTCCGAAGTTCACATTCGCATAGCCATGGGGGTCATGGTCACAGCCATGGAGGTCATGGACATAGTCATGGGGATCATCACCATGGACACAGCCACGGAGGTGAAGGTCATCTGGACAGAAATGCCAATATGGAAGGTACAAAATTTTATTAGAAAATAAAGAACTATGGAAAACAAAGTGATTTTTTAAAAATTTTCTGTTGCATATTTTAATTGAGGCTTTTACATAAATGAATCTTTAATTAAATTTTCTCTTTCTAAAATCCATATGCAAGGAAGAAAAAAGTTTTTCTTTTGTGAGTAATAGCCTCTTTCTCCTCAGGAAAATAAAAATGCACCAGTTTTTCTTCTATACGTGTTTATGAAAGCTCCATTTCAAGAAGACAGATTTTTTTTAATGTTCAAGAAGGCAATCCAAATTGAATTTTTACGAGTCATTTTCATTAATTTTACTTTCAATTGTTTCATATGACCTGTTAAAATCAGTAAAGACTAAAACTAACCCTACTCCTACTCCCCACCCCCTGATAAAGAACTCCTAAATTTATGTGCATTTGAAAAGTTCAAATTAAATTTTGAAATGGCCCAGGCCAGTATTCTTTATTCCTGCTTATAAAGGAATTGACAGTTTTAAGTGAAAATTTAGCATGTGTACATTTTATGTTGCATTTTTAGGTGTCTTTCTGCACGTTTTGGCGGACACCCTGGGCAGTGTTGGAGTCATCATATCCTCATTACTGATTGAAAACTTTGGCTGGAACATTGCCGACCCCATCTGCTCGCTATTTATAGCCACCATGATCCTTCTCAGTGTCCTCCCCTTGCTGAGGGAGACCTCCCTGATCCTCCTTCTCTGTACCCCCTCAGACTTGGAGACAGAAATGCCAGATATCATGCAGAAGGTTGGTCATTGTTTGGACTATTTTAAGTGCTGTAGAAGCTAGGAAGTGAGGCAAAGACTCAGAATATGAATTTGATTTTGGCCTTTTTTTGAGTTTTTCGAACTGGTTGAAGAGAGTTGTAGATTTAGTAATGAAAATAAACAAGAGGCCCATGGGCCACAATGCTCACCTGAGTCAATATGGTCCTGTTGTTCTTCGTCAGCAGATTTCTTCTCTTATATATTCATATAAAGCTTTGATGGCTTGTTCTAAGCATACCCTACCCCCAGGTGCCATGTTTTGAATGAAATTGAATATAAACCTTCTGGGGATGCTGCTATATTCAGATAACTAATCATGGTTTTGCTGTTCTTTAAAAAGGAATTTTAAAGATGTCTGACACCCTACCCTGGGGGGTGGGGTGGGGTCATGATTTGAACAAACTTGAATGTACACTACCTGAAGATGCTTCCATATCAATATGACTAATCATGACTTTGTTGTTCTTGAGAAGAAAATTTTTAAAGATATTTCCTATATATTTTCTTTCATAAAACTTTGATCCACCATTATGGCCCCACCCTACTACTGGAGGATGCATTGAACAACTTGAATCTACAATACTTGGGGATGCTTCCATATCAATATGACTAATCATGGCTTTCCTGTTCTTGAAAAGATCTTTAAAAATTTTTCCTATATATTCCTATGTAAAACTTTGATCCCCCATTGTAGCCCCATCCTACCCCCAGGGGTCATGATTTGAACAAACTTGAATCTACACTACCTGAGGATGATTCCATATCAATATGACTAATTGTGGCTTTGTTGTTCTTTAGAAGAAGATTTTTCAGAATTTTTTCTATATATTCCTATGTAAAACTTTGATCCCCCATTGTGGCCCCACCCTACCCCTGGGGGACATGATTTGAACAAACTTGAATCTACACTACCTGAGGATGATTCCATATCAATATGACTAATTGTGGCTTTGTTGTTCTTTAGAAGAAGATTTTCAAAGAATTTTCCTATATATTCCTATGTAAAAATTTGATCCCCCATTGTGGCCCCGCCCTATGCCCGGGGTTCATGATTTTAAGAAACTTGAATCTACACTACCTGAGGATGATTCCATATCAATATGACTAATTGTGGCTTTGTTGTTCTTTAGAAGAAGATTTTCAAAGAATTTTCCTATATATTCCTATGTGAAACTTTGATCCCCCATTGTGGCCCCGCCCTATGCCTGGGGATCATGATTTTAACAAACTTGAATCTACACTACCTGAGGATGATTCCATATCAATATGACTAATTCTGGCTTTGTTGTTCTTTAGAAGAAGATTTTTCAGAATTTTTTCTATATATTCCTATGTAAAACTTTGATCCCCCATTGTGGCCCCGCCCTACCCCCGGGGTTCATGATTTGAACAAATTTGAATCTACACTACCTGAGGATGATTCCATATCAATATGACTAATTGTGGCTTTGTTGTTCTTTAGAAGATTTTTCAGAATTTTTTCTATATATTCCTATGTAAAACTTTGATCCCCCATTGTTGCCCCACCCTACCCCCGGGGGTCATGATTTGAACAAACTTGAATCTACACTACCTGAGGATGATTCCATATCAATATGACTAATTGTGGCTTTGTTGTTCTTTAGAAGAAGATTTTTCAGAATATTTTCTATATATTCCTATGTAAAACTTTGATCCCCCATTGTGGCCCCACCCTACCCCTGGGGGTCATGATTTGAACAAACTTGAATCTACACTACCTGAGAATGCTTCCATATCAATATGACTAATTGTGGCTTTGTTGTTTTTTAGAAGAAGATTTTTCAGAATATTTTCTATATATTCCTATGTAAAACTTTGATCCCCCATTGTGGCCCCACCCTACCCCCGGGGGTCATGATTTGAACAAACTTGAATCTACACTACCTGAGGATGATTCCGTATCAATATGACTAATTGTGGCTTTGTTGTTTTTGAGAAGAAGATTATTAAAGAATTTTCCTATATATTCCTATGTAAAACTTTGATACCCCATTGTGGCCCCACCCTACCCCCGGGGGTCATGATTTGAACAAACTTGAATCTACACTATGTAATGAAGGTTTCACATAAGTTTCAGTTTTTCTGGCCCAATGGTTCTTATGAAGAAGATTTTTAAAAGATGACACCGAATTTTCACCAATTCCTAATTATCTCCCCTTGGAATAGGGCGTGGCCCTTCATTTGAACAAACTTAAACCCCCTTCACCCAAGGATGCTTTGTGGCAAGTTTGGTTCAAATTGGCCCAGTGGTTCTTGAGAAGAAGTCAAAAATGTGAAAAGTTTACAGATGGACGGACAGACAGACGGACTACAGACAAAATGTGATCAGAAAAGCTCACTTGAGCTTTCAGCTCAGGTGAGCTAAAAAGGCATGCAGTAGCATTTGTTTTAGGTTTGGTTCTATGATTATAGATACAAGTTGTACATAACAAACGGAGTTTAATACATTTTATAAATGATAAAAAAATCTGTTATTTCTTATTTTGTACTGCCTAAAAGTTAAAATTAGACGTTAAAAATAGTGTTTTTTATGCTTCATATTCAACATGTACAAGTTTAAGAAATACATATACTGTATTTTGAAAGTTAAAATACTTGATGAGATCACTATTGAATTCTGCCTGAAATGCTGATTTCATGTTATTGTATGTTTGATACTAAAGAAATGTTGCTTATAGAGAGATTTATTTACTATAAGTTTGATATTTGGGAGATTCAAGTATGTATGAATCTCCAGTTCCATCCATTTTATGAACTGAAATCTAAACCTCAGTATCACCCTCAAAGATTTTTTTTTACTAGTCCTGTTGAGCTCAGGGTTCTTATTTGTGTTACATTATGAATTATTTAACAACTGAAAACTTTTTTTTGCCTCAGATAATGTCTATAGATGGTGTACTGGCGTATCGCCATCCCCACATCTGGAACCACACCTCCTCAAAGATGCATGGAACACTGCATGTACAGGTGTCGTCAGGTGTCAGTGAACAAAAGATTGTAGCTCAGGTAAGTACAGGTGTTTTCAAAAACTTAACCTGGTAATGAACAAGGCATTATAGCTCAGGTATGTACAAGTACCATAGTACCTGGCAGTGAACAGGCCATTGTAGCTCAGGTGTGTACAGGTGTTTTCAAAACTTCAGCTGGTAGTGAACAGGGCATTATAGCTCAGGTATGTACAAGTATCGTAGTACCTGGTAGTGAACAGGGCATTGTAGCTCAGGTAAGTACAGGTGACTTAAGTAATTTCCTGGCAGGTAATGGAGGATAGTAGCTCAGGTAAGTACAGGTTTCTTCAGAATTTAGTTAAATTTACATGTACCTGGTAGTGAACATGTACATATATGAACATGTATGGACAGATTCAGTGTGTTGTGTACTAATAACATGTAAATCTCATTATAAAATTAGCATATATAAATATATTTTCTAGGTAACCAATATATTTAAGGAACATGGTGTAACAAACTTAGTCGTCCAGGTGGAGAAGGAATCTTATTTTTATCATCTATCAGGACTCGGGGCCAGCTTTAATCAAATGAGAGACTTTGGAACAACACAAGAACAATTCACATTAGAGTCTATCAAAGCCATATAGAGGCCATTCAAACAGTCCATCCTTGTTTTAAGCCAGGGTGTGTGGAATTGTTATGTGCAATCGTATAACATTGAAACCATTCTCAGCTTTTTTATTTGGCAATGTGATATATTTTTATTTGCATGTATTTAATTAAATTTTCTTTTGTGCCACACTTGTGTCAGTTTAATTAAGTAAATCAGTTTAAATTTAGTATATTTTTAAAGTTAGGTTTTTCATATTTTCTTAACTATACACAAGAGTTTTCAGATATATATTAACCAAATATGTATCCAAATATGTATATATATGTATTTGAAATTCAAACTTAGCCTAACATAGTAAAACACGCTTATAGCAAACATGCCAATGAATTGACACTTACAGAGAAGTGATTTTCATTCCCTGTGGGTTTAAGATATATTGTGAGCTTAACGGATATAACGAATTACGTTTATAACAAAGCAAAATCCTGTTCCTGGCACTTTGTTATAAGCATGTTTTACGTACCACAAGCTTACTTTGGATATAGGGGATTTGTCGTCGTGTGGATGTTTGTATCTATGTATCCATAACAATGTAATGATGACAATATGGAGTGTTGACAAATATGGCCAAAAATACGTAGCTATCTTCAAAGTTTCGAAATGCTCTCGCATATTCACTGGTATCATTCCATACATTTTAATCAGACAGTTTGAACTGTTGAAACCTGTTGGTAGACTTGATGCCTTAAATCTTAAAAAAAAATATATATCAGGAAGAGTCTGATAGTGATAGGTAGACCATAAAAATATTTACTTCAGTCGGATAATATAATGTCTGATACCTGCTCTTCAGCAGAGCTTCAGCTTGCAGAGTTACAATGTACTATATACACCAGGCAAAATTGCTAACGCACCACTTATTATTCTTATTTGTGAATTGATCATTTTCCTGATTGGTACTAGTATATAAAATATGCCATCTTTTCCAAAACAGTTGGATTGACAAATGTCTTGATGTCATGTCAAGACCCTTAAAGGACCTTCTTGTCCGAAAACCAATTTCCCGACGTGCACTGCGCACCGTTTTTGCCAAGATATGAAGTTGGTGATTACCGATGGTGGTCCGTGACGTTGCGACGGGAGCAGTCTCCCACTTTAAAATCAAATGATATACCCTGATTGACTGCCATATCGCTTAGTAGTCATCTAGTGCCTTGGTGTCCCTACCAAATCCACCCAACTTCCACTTGCCCCAATTTTGTGGAACAATCTTGAAATTATTGTGTGGTGCTCACTTAATGCCGGCGATATCTACTGTAAAGATTTTTATGATCGTTAATTCATTTTCAACAATTTTCCACCAGAGAAATTCATAATCATTTAATTCTTTTAATTTTTCACAAATTTCTTCAAAGGAACCCCCTGCAGACACCATACTGACTGCCTTAGCACGCTCTTCTAGAGTCAAAAGCACCATACGTTGCAACTTTTTTTCTGAGTTTTTAATTAGTACAAGCATAAAGAACACAACCAAAAAGAAGAAATTAGAAATTTTTTCCAACAAAAAAGTATGGATATGATTTTAATTTTTTCTTTGAAGTGGTTACGCTTCAGTAAACATTGTTGTTATTTATCAGTTAAAGCATTTAAATGTCTCATTTTTAGCTCACCTGAGCCGAAGGCTCAAGTGAGCTTTTCTGATCACATTTTGTCCATCGTCCGTCTGTCCGTCTGTCTGTCTGTCTGTAAACTTTTCACATTTTCGACTTCTTCTCCAGAACCACTGGGCCAATTTCAACCAAACTTGCCACAAAGCATCCTTGCGTGAAGGGGATTCAAGTTTTTTCAAATGAAGGGCCACCCCCTCTTTCAAGGGGAGCTAATTAAGAATTTGTGAAAATTTAGTGGTATCTTTTAAAAATCTTCTTCTCAAGAACCAATGGGCTGTAAAAGTTGAAACTTATGTGAGACCTTCATTACATAGTGTAGATTCAAGTTTGTTCAAATCATGACCCCCTGGGGTAGGGTGGGGCCACAATGGGGGGTCAAAGTTTTACATAGGAATATAAAGGAATAAATCTTTAAAAATCTTCTTCTCAAGAACAACTAAGCCACGATTAGTCATATTGATATGGAATCATCCTCAGGTAGTGTAGATTCAAGTTTGTTCAAATCATGACCCCCAGGGGTAGGGTGGGGCCACAATGGGGGATCAAAGTTTTACATAGGAATATATAGAAAAAAATCTTGAAAAATCTTCTTCTCAAGAACAACAAAGCCACAATTAGTCATATTGATATGGAATCATCCTCAGGTAGTGCAGATTCAAATTTGTTCAAATCATGACCCCCGGGGGTAGGGTGGGGCCACAATGGGGAATCAAAGTTTTACATAGGAATATATAGAAGAAAATCTTGAAAAATCTTCTTCTCAAGAACAACAAAGCCACAATTAGTCATATTGATGTGGATTCATCCTCAGGTAGTGTAGATTTAACTTTGTTTGAATCATGACCCCCAGGGTTAGGGTGGGGCCACAGTCGGCGATCAAAGTTTACATAGGAATGTACAGAAAAAAAACTTGAAAAATCTTTTTCTCAGGAACAGCAAAGCTTTGTTAAGTCATATTGATATGGAAGCATTATCAGATAGTGTAGATTTAAATTTGTTTGAATCATGACCCCCAGGGTTAGGGTGGGGCCACAATGGGGGATCAAAGTTTTACATAGGAATATATAGAAAAAAATCTTGAAAAATCTTCTTCTCAAGAACAACAAAGCCTTGTTAAGTCATATTGATATGGAAGCATTCTCAGATAGTGTAGATTTAACTTTGTTCGAATCATGACCCCCAGGGTTAGAGTGGGGCTACAATGGGGGGGTCAACGTTTTACATAGGAATATATAGGAAAAAATCTTTCCAACAACAGAAAAATCTCCTTCTCAAGAACATCAAAGCCTTGTTAAGTCATATTGATATGGAAGCATTCTCAGATAGTGTAGATTTAACTTTGTTCGAATCATGACCCCCAGGGTTAGGGTGGGGCCACAATGGGGAATCAACGTTTTAACAAGGGAATATATAGGAAAAAAATCTTTAAAAATTTTCTTCTCAAGAACAACAAAGCCACAATTAGTCATATTGATGTGGATTCATCCTCAGGTAGTTCAGATTCAAGTTTGTATCAAATCATGACCCCTGGGGATAGGGTGGGGCCACAATGGGCGATCAAAGTTTTACATAGGAATATACAGAAAAAAAACTTGAAAAGTCTTCTTCTCAAGAACAGCAAAGCTTTGTAAAGTCATATTGATATGGAAGCATTCTCAGATAGTGTAGATTTAACTTTGTTTGAATCATGACCCCCAGGGTTAGGGTGGGGCCACAATGGGGGATCAACGTTTTAACAAGGGAATGTATAGGAAAAAAATCTTTAAAAATCTTCTGCTCAAGAACAGCAAAGCCATTTGTTATATTGATATGGAAGCATCCTCAGGTAGTTCAAAATCCAAGCCCCCCCCCCCCCCCCTTTAAACTTTTCAATAATGAAGTGATTTGTGCTTTTTTCCTAGCCAATGTGCTCAGGTGAGCGATGTGGCCCATGGGCCTCTTGTTTATTAAAGTAACATAATAATATATCAAAAACATCATAAGCAAGTTTTGAAAAGAAAAATGTTAATTTATTTAGGTGGTGCGTTAGCAATTTTGTCTAGTGTACACACTATTCTCTTTAGAGAAGTGGACAGGCTTTCGCCTGTGGATGTAGGCGAAAGCCTGTCCACTTCTCTAAAGAGAATATATACACACCAGTCCGACAAAGACAGCGTGGATTTTCAAACGCAATCTTAAAATAATGTTTTCGTGACACTTGTCACTTAACTCTTATTTTACATTGCTCTATGAAGCTGTGAAATTAATATATTTCCAGCCCAATGCAGCCCCTTTACATGTGATCGTTTAAATTACTTTCAGTTGATGGTTATTTCTACATTGCGTTTATATTATGTCCATTCCGTTTTGGAATTGTAATTTAGAGGAACTTAAGGTTTGTAAATATTTTCTGTCAAATTGTTCTCCTGAACTTATGCAGGAACCAAATCAAGTGAAACACTCATACCAAAGAAGAAAAAAAAATATCGGGGTGAAGTATTCTTCTATAAGAGCTGTGTTGGCTCTCACTAATGAATGAATTTAATAAAATCAATAAGTGACAGCAAGACTATCCGAAAGATTTTTTTCCGCACAAGGTTGCCAAAAGTCAACCTCGTCTTTTTATGTGAGGAAAGACAAAACACAAATAAATGAATTCCTTGTACTTTATTCCAATAAAAACGGCACAAGACTCCTGGGAGAATCCGAGTTATTACAAGTCTGTATTCTGTCTGATCCAGCTCAGGTAGTTGGATACGCGGGCGTAGACAGAGGGACTAGAGGTGGGGCAATTCTGGAGACCCCAGGAAGTGGCACCAGCCAATTCCCAGGCACCGTTGACGTCACAGACCAGGGGGCCACCAGAGTCTCCCTAAACAGAAAATATCAAATAACTCATTTCGGAGAGCATCGTCGGATACTCGCGGGTGATCTCCTCTTTTGCTCATCACAGACGAGGTCACCCGTGGGTATCCGACGATGTTCGGAGAGAAAAAGGTAAAATAATTAACAATAAATAGGAAATAGACTGCACACTTAAACACTTAAATTTTACTTGTGTAGTAGTTATTGTTTGCTTGTACATTTATAGAAAGTTATACCTGACAGAAAACGTATGGACATATTAATGAAAACTCGGGCTTATGGGAAGCGATTTCATTTGGAGTTGGGAAAGGGGGTGGGACCAAACAGTCATTTCTTAACAAAAGCAAAAATATACGAGGGGATGGGGGTGGGGCACGGCTTGAAAACTGCAAAATTAAAATTTTTCTCCCTTAGGAAGTCTTTAACTTACGTTACATGCTCCGTTGCTGCCGGTGTAGACACAGACATGTGGCCCCTCCTGGAGGTAGAGAAGTCCCGAGATACCAAGGGCACTTCGACAGTTACTATGGGACATAACTGTGGTCTGGGCTTCTTGCAGAGTATCGGGGAGATCTCCGCCTTAATATATAACAAAATGGGTTGATTTATTACTTAATCTAGCTCAATAACAATGATTGAATGTAATTGATCAGACAAAAAAAAAATCGCGAAAATTGGGCAATCACAGAAGTTACCCATTATATGATATTCACACATTGCCTATACCCCCTCTCTCGACCCCCCCCCCCTTCTTCATTAACAAGTCCGTACCTCCAGTGAGACGCCCCCATCCGGTAATGTAACAAGTTCTTCCGTTGTAGAAGGAAGTACTGGTAGAGGAGGGTAGGGTTGCCACTTTGACGAATTCATTCAATTTTGCGGGGGAAGACAGTCTAAGGATGGCAATGTCATTGGGAAATCCTCCGGCGCTATCACTGTATTGCGGATGCTAAGTAGAAGAAAACCAATGTACACTTAAAAACAGCTGAGAAATATTTTACAATGCGTGAAGAAGACAGATATGTTGTCCTGTTAATGCTTTAGAGTATTTCTATTAAAGAATATTGTCTTCTTGAACTTTTCCAGAATAATTTTTTTTTCTCGAGAGAGACCATTAAGATGTTTGACAGAGTGATGGTCTGTTCATTTCCTGAGGTGACACTGAACTGATGTTCCCCTAGAAGCAGTCTATATTTAGAGATGGTCGTGCTGAAACAGAAAACGGAGAGTTTTGAGAAACTTCTATAAGCCACGATAAATCTCGATATGCGCAACAATCATCAGATTATCACTATATCACTATATAAAGCAGCGAATAAGATATGGTCATTCTATGTTTGAATTTCATAAACTCGTTTAAAAATGAATTTTCTCTCAAATTTTGCCCCACAAAGAATGTTGAAGTTATGTGCATTTAATTATAAATTGGATTTCTTCAGGAGAATCTTAAGCATTAAAACACATTTTTATATGAGTAAACAGAGGGACAATGAACCCTTAACGACAAACAAAAGGTGCGCATGAAATCAGACTTTAATTTGCGATTTTTATTTCTATACATGCAATTCAATAAAAAAATATTTATTTATTTACATGCAGTCTGAAATGAATAGAGAGTGGCTAAAAAGGGACTTGAAGTATTGTAAAAACTAAATACATGGTACGTACTCGTGTGACACACAGTGTGCGGCGGTCAAGGCGTAATTTTCAGAGATGAGGGAGGCGCCACAGATGTGCCCATAGCCACCAGTGGAACCCTGGAACTGCAAGGAAATCTGCCAGGGCCAGTCGTTAGGGGTAGCATTTGATCCCCCAACAATCTTGTTCATGGGTAAGGCGGAACAAACTAAACGAAAAACTTTCATTGTGAGAATATTTAGATTTCTCTAGGGTGAATAAAATTCTCAGGAACAATGTCACTAAAAAATTGTCCACCTTTATTTAAAAAATAATTGGGGTTTTAGGATATGTGTGTGTAATATGAGCACAAGCGTTTTTAGTTTCAAAATCTTACCGACTTTGATGCAAATATATTCTTGTCTTTTTCTGGTTGAAAAGAAACCATCTTAACATTTATACATATGATAAATCTCATTTACAATAATCCTGCAAAAGTAAAATGACAAACCTCCGACAAGAAGAAGAAGAGCTATTGTCCACATGTCTGTTGGTGTACTGGTCTCCCGAGGATAGCGAAATAGCGGTGTGGACCAGACACTATATAGTGTTCTGGTAATCGCAATGTGTACTTTTTCTCATGCAATAATCACAAAAAGACGTCTTAGGCATTCTTTTTCGTGTCAATTCCCCACTTTAATTTAGCTCTATAAAAGGTTGTGAACCGTCCACGTGTTGTACTCATGGGGACGGATTATTTACAACCTATCGATATAGTTGGTAAACATGTAATCGTTTTCAGTTGTTCATAAAATTATCAGCTTTTCTGACATGGTGAAAGCATAATTCAGTGGCGTAGTTAGCAATAAATATACTGAATTCAAAAAAGGCAAGGAAAAGGCAAGCATCAATCGATGAAGTAGGGAACAAAAATTGAGAACTTCAAATCCGTGCTTCAAACTTCCTTTTAGACCTTAACTAAAGGCTGGTGGGAATAGAATCTTAAAAATCATACAACCTTGCACCTTGCACCTTCAGGAGTAGTCTTATTCTTTTCTTTGGAAATTAAGCAGGCTTACTGTTAGCATGATAATGTTGAGTAAGTAGATTTCTACCAAAATTGTTTTACAGGTCAAACCCCAAGGGTGGAATATGTCAGTTATAGTATTTACTGTATCTATACAACTAATACATCTTAATTGTGAATGACATGTCTATCTGAGGTCTGAACTCTATTCCAGGATAGGGCCGGGATGGACATATACATGTACCTACATGTATATATTGAATATTTGTTTTATTTTTTAAAATTCTTGTAGGCAACATTTAGCACTGTTACAATCCCCAATTCAATTATGAAATTCTCAACATTCAGGTTAAGTTGGTCTTATATTAAAAAAAAAATTGATCCTTTTTTAACCTCTTTGTGAATGATATCTTTTGGGATGTACCATTCTTTAGAATAAAAAGAACTTCTTTAAAGTATCTCCCGAAACCCGGAAAGGATTTCTTAATTGGTATGGGCTTTATTTTATTATACATATACAAAAACATATGATAAAATCTCAAAGTTTCTTGAAAACATTTAAATCTCTCCTTGAAAGAAAACAAAGAATATTTATCCTCTCAGTCTGAATGATATACATGTACTTTATTGCCGGAATAAACAAACAAAAATAAAATTATAAAAGGCATGCGTGGATCTAGGGGGGGGGGGGTCTGGATCGACCCCTCCCCTGGAATTTGCAGAATTATTAAAAGTATTTACTGAAGCAAATAAAAATGACTTAGGACCCCCCCCCCCCCACACACACACTTAGAAAACGTGGACCCCACCATGAACACCACGAAATATAGGTCTTTTTCACGTTTGGGAAATGGATTTTAGGGGGGGGTTGCTTGACAAAAAAATTCTGGGATTAATACGTTTGGGAAGGGAATTAAGGGTTTTTTTTAATTTTTTTTTTTACCGGGGTGAAACCCCACCCCCACCCCACCCCCTGGAAAAAATTCCTGGATCCGCGCCTTAAAGGCAACAGCAAAACAAAAACAAATCTGAACAAAACAGAGAAAAAAAGACCAAAGGAAAAAGCGAATAATATTTATAAAGGTTTATAAGATCCACTTTCTGATATACATGTAATTATATATATTTGTCAGTGAAATTGTCACTAGGTGAAAACGAATGATAGAACGTCACATTTAATGGAATAAAGATATGAACGAGCTATCTATAGTTTACTGCTGACTACTTTCACTTTCACAACATGTGGCGACATTGTCGACAATCTCTTGTATTATGCAATGCTTGCAATAGATTTAAACATGGTAATGTGATGTAACTTTCTCTAGAGATGGTTAAAAATCCACATTTCTCAAACTATTGTATTGTAAAGATGTTAATGTTGTGCTGAAATACCTGCATCTCGAATTACCTCTAACAGTCAGATACAGTCTAAAATTTTATGTCAGCTCTCTGACAAAGGCATAAATAAAATGATATTTATGTCTCTGGGGCCTGTTTTACAAAAGAACTAACAACCAAGACCAAAATTCAATTCTGCTTTTAACTTTTCAATTTACATTATATTGAAAGCGGTTTTAATCTATTTAAAAGGAACGTAGTAAGTTATTTTTACGCTAGCAATTTCAAACAGAATCTTTAATTTTGCAAAATTTTACAATCAACTTAAGTTTTTGGTTTTAGTTGTAAGTTCTTTTGTAAAACAGACCCCTGGTCTCTGTGATAAAGGAAAGAAAAGTATCCAAGAACAAAGGAGGAGTAAAACAATTAAAACTTTGTAATGATTTTTCTTTTCTCGTCGTTAGTCTCCCAACGCCATTTTCTATCCAGAGAATATGCAATGCAAGATACTTGGGAGAACAGATGGCCATCTACAGTGGAAAATGTCCCATTTGGTAGGTTTTTGAATCACTGTTCAGCATATGCCAAATAGTGCAAGACTATAACAACATTTATACTGTTCAAGGATTTCTTATAAACTAAACAAACATGCATGTAGCACTGTTTACATATGATATTGTTTTTGGCTCTACTGGTGTTGCCACAGTTACTAAAAATAGAAATTTCTGTGAAAACACAAAACGCTACTGCCCCTACAGTTTTGGTCTGGCTTCAGTATAACTTGGCAGACAAGAGGACTACACTGAGATACATAATTCTTGAATATATAGGTTTTTGACTTGGAACACAAGTAGACTACAATAAGATACCTAATTTTATTTATGGGTTTTTGATTTTGATGAACGGTGTTGCCACTGTGACTAAAAATAGAAATTTCTGTAAAATTCTTGCAAAAGGCTACTCCTAGCTCCTACAGTTATAGTCTGATTGCAGTAAATCTTGCTACAAAAAGAAACTTATAAACAAGGATCATTTCTCTATTTATTGCTATTGCATAGTTTCAAGTCCAAGTGCTACTTTCCTCTTCCCTTGTTTTAAGTACAAACCAGTAGAGCTACAGTCTCATTAGAGACTTCTGGTTCATGTGATGTCTCTCTCTCTCTCTCTTCATCTATCTATCTCTCATTTTGTTGTAAGGGAACAAAGAATCTTTTTTATAAATCTTGAAATTCCACTTTTTTTCAGGTCGATTATCAGTAAAAATGGTTGAAAACTTTGAGAAATTTGGTCGAAGTAGCCTTATAGACATGGAAATGGTAAATAAAATTCTGTTAAAAACGTATATAATTTAGATTAAAGTAGAGCACACAGGAATGGAATTAAATATTGTTTTACTTTAACTTAGAGGTCTTATAAGTTGTAATTGTAGTTTGTCTGTTTTTAGTTTGTAAACAGCTTGAAGAATATTTCTCCAGAGAATATGGAGCTTGTAGAAGACATCATGTACAGGTATGAGGAAGGGGAGTGGTGGGGGACATAAGGGATAATCAAGAAAGACTTAAGCTTGGAGGAGGAATATATTATTTTGTTGTAATACTTTGTAGGTTTTATAAAGTTTGTTGTTAGAGTAATCATACATTATGCCAAAAAGTCACAGGCACTTGTTTCATATATGGGGTCACCCCCTTCTTTTTCTTTCCACAAGGTACCTAACTCATTTCAGGCACCCCCACTTCAAGCTCGTATTTTGTTAATATATCAATCATTAACTTACTTTTGACATCGTTTGCATGGAGAGACTTTTTTTTCTTCTCAAATAAATCATTTCAGATGTCTCTGGTTGAGCCTGTTTATTGTAAACCACTCATTTATTCCTCGAAAATTACCTCGATACATCTTAAGACTCTAGACGGGACACAAGAACAAATGCCTGTGCAAAAAGTCCTGAAATTGAATTGCTCCAAGCTGTTAAATGTATATATTTTTAATAGAAAAAAAATGTAGCTATTGAAAGGATACAGACAAAATGGAATTACCTGTATTATGCTTAGTCTTTAATTTGTCATGCTACAGGTTTAGACATTCAGACGATGCTTACCCAGTCCGAGACTCCATTGTGAATGCTATTGTTAGATCCTACATAGATTTGGACATTGCACAACGCCTTGTGCCTCTCATCAAAGACAAGGTGAGAGATAAAAGAATTCAACTTCAATCCTCTTTCAAAAAATAATATTGATTGTAATTTACCAAGAATCAAAGTTTCAGAGAAGGAACATGTATAATTTGTGGGAAGAGGGCTATTCAATCTGTACAAAATAGTCCCTTTTTTCTTACAGCTGGGCTATGGCCTACTTCTGGATTTTTATACAGCCAACCTGTTGATGAGCCATTTTCTACAGAAGAACTTAATACAAGGTAAAGGCATCATAAATTTTTCTTCCAAAAAATTTCAGATGGTTTCTTCTTTTAACTGTACAGTAAAACACACTTATAGCAAAGTGCCAGGAATGAGTGATTTTGCTTTTTTATATATGTAATTTGATATTTCTGTTAAGTTTTGACTTAAACCCAGTGGGAATGAAAATTACATTGCAGTAAGTGTGAATTTACTGTGTGTTTGCTACAAGCGTGTTTTACTGTAATCAATGCACAAAAGTATTAAGTTTATGAAGTATTATCTTTGTCAACAGAGGCAGCCGAAGTTGCTTATGAAATGATGTTCCAAGAAGACACAAGTCATGCTCTTACAAACTGTCTGTCGTTGTACTGCTGTATAAAACGTTTACAAGACATTGCAGACATTCAACCAGAAGAAGACCCAGTTCTCACTGCTGAGGTAGGTAAAATCAGAAATGCATAATTTCTCATCAGTGAGTTTACTGTTAAACTTTATATTTTGGTCATCACCTACACTGTCAATTTTTACTTCAGTCCATAAGATATGGGACGTTGAACGGTGTCAAGGATCGCAACCCTTCTTGGCACAAGAAAAGATTGTTTTTCTGGTATTCGAAAAAGAGAAACCAAAACACTTTAAAAACTGGTCACAGGACATCAATTTTTATTTGGCTGAAATACTGCTGACTTTGCATTTAACAGCAAATAATCAATAAACTTTACTTTGTAAATGGAACATTCTCATTTTTCTTAAAAATTTCACACAAGATACCGTAGTTGAGGATTGTTTTTAAAATTTGCTCTATAAAAGCATATTTATAAGTGTTTAATAGTGGATAAGATATGAAAAAATGTCTGACTTTTGTTAGACTAATCATGAATTATCCCAATATGCAAATTTGCTATTTAAGTAATTTTCTGAAAGGGAATATGTACATGTATGTCTTGATGAAAGGAATATGAATAACCTAACAAGGAATATGAATATCCTAACAAAGAATATGAATACCTTAACAAGGCATATGGATATCCTAAAATGTAACTGTGTTAAGAATATTTTTTTAACATAAAAAAATAACTTCTCTTTAGGATGAAGAGTGGGTAAGAGTGAAAATTGTGCATCGCCCCGTGTATGACGATCATTTTGATATCCAGAAAGAACATTTCAGACTAGGAAAATCTTTGCATTTTCTCGGAAAAGCAAATGTGATATGTGATGAAAACTCTTCTAAGAAAGACTTAATAAGTCAATCTCTACAGTTCGTGGGTCTGGGTCTTTATAACAAGTTCAACAAAGCCCTGGATTTACTGGAAAGCTGGATAGCAGAGGGCAAAACAACTAAAGCACCTGTTTTATGCCAAAGTCAGGTATAAATTTTCTAAGAAGCCTGCATGAGAATAAATTTTCTGATGACTGTTTCAAATAAAGTAATGCAGTTTCATTTAGTATTTGGAAATCATTTTCTAAACAAATCTTGGTAAATAATTTTGGCATGGAAAGTTTAAGAAAGAATTATTGACTTCATTTCAGATTGATACATTTAGAAACCATTTTCTAAACAAATTTGGGCAAATAATTTTATAATACAAAGTTTATGGAACAGCTGTGTATTACATGTATTTGACTTGGTTTTAGATTGAGACATTTAGAAACCATTTAGACTGGAGCCCCACCAGAGACCCAGAAGAGGAAGAATTAGATCTCGGACAACAGACCATCGAATACCAGGCCAGGAAACTGTACCTTACAGAGGAAGAGAAAGCAGCCTGTATAGAAAGGTTTGAGGTAGGCCTCATTTAGAATTTTCAAATTTATCACATGTACTTGATTTTCAAGGTTATGAATGTAGACAAGTTATCATTTGATGTCAAAAATTGGAGGGTATATACCGTGTTGTACCAAATTGTTACTTTATTGGAGGGAGTGTAATATTTAGTAAAGCAAAAATGTGTGCCCTGGTTAATAGCCAACCTAATCAAAAAAATTACAGTTGATTTTAACTTCGTTATCTCGATTACCAGGGATACCTGGGAATGATCTGGCAGTACCAATAACTTTTTCTTTGTTTTTTTAACCTTGTTTTCTCAAATTCTTCATATCTCAAAGTTTAATCTCAGTCCCATCAAATATGAGATAATGTTTGACTATATATCCTTTGATGAGTCTCACATATATTACTAAATAAAAGATCTAATAATACCTTAGATTGACCTTTTCAGTTCTTTTGTGTAGTGATCTATATACACCTGTTCAAAAGACCTAATTTGCATTAGACTGGTTAAAAGATTTAATGAAAACACAGTTTAGGACTTGGAGAATATCTATTTGATAGATTTTTATATCCTTTCCAGAAACTTGTGGAGGAACTTAAATCCTTTGATGGGATAACAGACGATGATATATATACCTACATTTTGAATAACATCAAAGGACAAATCCCAGATTTACAGAAACAAGATATTGATACCCAGAAACAGAAATATCAGATATGGAAAACAGAGATGGCAGATCTGTATAAAAAAGAAATGAGAGAAGAAGAGAGGAGAAGAAAACAAGAGGAAATTCAGGTTAAAATGGCCGAATTAGCCGAGAAGGAGGAGTTAATATTGTCACACGAGAGGAAGAGACAGATACTGCTCGCTCGACACAGAGTTCCAAAAGAGAGAGTGTTAAAGAAGAAGGTGGAGCTGGATGAAGATGAACTAGAAGACAGGATGAAGGCTAGTAGGGCACTCATCAAGAAGAAGAAGTAAGCCAAGATATGTGGTCAGAAAATAGAAGAGACTCGTGTAGAAATTGACTGGTAGCATAAGCTTCAGATGAGAGTTTTCATTGACAGAGGAAAACATATATAAATGACATTGCCCACGACCTTTCATTTGAAATTTGATTATTGCATGTACATTGTATCTCGATGTTAAGAAGAAAGTAAAGGTGAACTTCTGATAAGAGACAATCAAGTTTCCAAAGGAGTCACTAACATTATACAATTTTGATTGTTGAAGGTTTGCAAAATCCTCATGTGTAATAAATGCTAGAGACTGGTTTTGTTTTTTGTAAATTTTGCAATATACATGTATGGAGAATAGAAAAAATTATGAATGTGACATGAAATTTAATTTTCCATGAATATCTTAATACAGAAAACAAATAAATGAATAGGATACAGTAACAGATGACTTAAAACAGCAACAATTGTTTGAAAGTTCATAATTTTAATTCTTTAGTTGTGTTAAATACAAAGAATGCATGTACTAGACTTCTTCTTCCTCTGTACTGAATTTAGAATAGTTTTTTACATGGTCATGTTGATTTTGGGACAAACATTCCCTTATCAACCTCTTTAATGATTTTCTCAGTCTGAAACATAAGCACATAGGATTAAAAACTTTATCATAATGTATGATAAACTATCTGAAGTATGGTGATTTTATGAAATGTGAAGATACCGAACAGTGCTCATACTCAAAAGTCCAATTAAACGATACAAATTTTGAGCAGAGCACAAATGGGCCTCTGAATACAGAGATGGGATCAGGTGCCATGGACAAAATAAATCACTTAATCTAAAACACTCTCTACGCGTACTTACCCATTGATAAAAGACAGCAGCCCCTGCACTAGCGTTCCGTACGGCCTTGAAGCTAACCTTGGACAAAATCTTCTTGGCTTTGATGATATTGTCGTGTTCTACGTCACCAGTATAGTCGGCGATCCTGGTAATGATGCCGTCTGCCTTCTGCTTATAGAGAAGCTTCTGGACGTCTGGCCAGTTCTGTAAGAAATTCCTTGTTAGTATAAAAGTGATCAATCTGTTTTAATTGTGAAAGCTATGCTTTAGAGGAAAATTCAAGTAAGTCTAGTGCATTTGGTTAATTGCTGATTTTTATAGTCAATGCAAAAAATTTCAAATCCTTAATGTGAGTCATAAGGACCTTAAGATTTCTATAATTCTCCCCTAAAACAAGATATGTGGCCACCATTGTGTCGTAGACCTCCTGTGGGGGGTTAGCGTACGTGTGTAGCTCAACTATTGTCGCTGGTTTCAGTTCTAACACGGCATGCCGAAACTGCTTCAGTTTGATGAGGTTATTTCTAAGCGCCTCTGCTCGCTTTAAATGGAGAGTTAATGCATGCCTGTAATTACTGTTCTCTACTTCTTCTATAGCTCTGGTCAAGGTTTGTTGATGTCTTCTCAAAATTGCATCCCGAAGAACTGAAATATAAAACCATCTTGGAAAAATAACAGGCAACAACAGTAGGAGATTTAGATTAAGTTTTTAGTTAAAATTGTAAAGTACATCTACTTTATCTAGATTTTATGGACTTTGACGCACTTGTCGTAATAACATCTTACTCGTGTGATTTCGGAGATATCCCAGTCGCCTGGTAGCTCTCTCCAAATCTTCGTCAGGCTCCGTTATTTTCTCTCTAGTGGCCTTTTCAATGGCATCCTCTAGATCGCCAATATTTGCAGAAAATGCGGCTTTCACGAGTAAATCTCTAGCTTTTCTCTGCTGAACACTCTAAGAGAAAATACATTTCTTAAAGAAAACTAAACATAGAACACTGCTTTAAAAAAGCACTTCTTTGTTCGTAGCTTATGATCTTACCTCTCTAACTCTTATTCTGTCTTCGTTATTGCGAGGGTCTTTCGAAGTTAAAAGATAATTTACAGCATTCACATAAAACAAATTTTCTGGATCAAGAACATATATCTGTAATGCGAACTCGAGTTTAAACTCAGTCTCTTGACAATCTGGAATAGTGACCGTTATGTCAAGCTCTTCTCCGTTTGCTTCATACTTCATCAACTGTGAAAGGACGTCTTTTTGCAATTGTCGATGGCGGAGCCTCACGCGCATATCTATTTTCCTGACTAGAATAAACTTTATCGGTTGAACATCTCCCTTTTTAATCGGAATTACCCCCCAGCGGTGGGATGGCTCGGTTAAACCCACTCGCTCTGTGTGATCTTTTGGTCCCCATAGGTATACCCCAGGGAAGGTTGGAAGAGGGAAGCACCGATCGCTTACTGAAGAACATTGTAATCTGAAATCTGCCATCCATTCAGAGTCTTCGCCATCTTGGCTTCCGAACAATGAAAACCGGAAGGTTCCTGGCGAAGGAACCCTGATTTGGATGTACCAAGTTTTGTAATACTTGTCAAGGTAAACAAAAGCACCATCTTCGTCATTATTTCTAGGAGTCCCTTTATACTGATACAAGTCGTACGCCATGACAGCATCTCGAGTTTCTTCTGGTTCTTGTATCTCTATGTGAAATATCCCGGAATCGGAATGAAGAATAGCGACTCTGTCTGTCATAAGTTCAAATTTGTTCATGAAGAAATAGGGACGAAGATTCGGAAGATACCGAAATTGTTCGAAGGGAATTTCATCATTCACAAGTTGCCAGATATCTATCTCTGGAAAACATATATCAAGCATATCAGTTGGATATGGAAGAAAAAAGTTTTCATTGAAAACACGGTTCTCTGGTTTCTCGTGAATCCTCATTTCATCCTTCACTCTTTCTTTGCCTCCCTTATCTCTAGACTTCCTCTTGCTCAAAGGTAAAGATTTCTCGGGGAATATTTCACGTTTGAATCTCACAGTGGTTAAGGACCTGGATTTTAAAGATTTGGGATTTCTCTTTTTTGGTTCATCACCAGGTTTAAATAAGGGCATCATTTGGCCCCCGGCTTCAATTAGGGCCCATTCTGGATTCTCGGCGGGCCATCTTGCCACAGGTGTACATATCAGAAAGGGATGTACCAACCGCCATTGTTTTTCAACATACACGGCGTTCCAACTACATCGGCTCTTTTCTCGGTCAATTTCATCTCCAGTTATATAGTGAGCGGTTTTGTAAAAACCATGGATGATGACACAGTGTATGCCTGCTTGTCTAAAACAAACAATATGACATTTGTATTTTTTTAAAAATTTAATTCGTACAGCGCGATTGTTCAGTAAAAGTCAATTGGTTATGTTTGCTAATATTCACCTGCACAATAGAGCAAAAAATGCAGCGAAAGTTCCCTTTTTATTGTATATCAAGTTCATGTATCCAGCGGGTGTATTCGAAGCTGATGCAGGAAGTTTCTTGGTCCTCAACTTTTGTCCACTCATCCACACTAGAATGGAACGCACCTTCAAGATGGGATCGTTAAAAGGTTTTGTCAGATACTTCACCAGACCAGAGTAGCTGATGAAGAGCTCAGAGGGTGCCTTAGATAAAATTTGGAAAACGTGTTAGTATACTTTTTACGTTATATTCAATACTTTGAAGGAGATATCAAAATTTGACCAATTTTTAACTTGCACATATTGCAAACTGCAGTTCTAACATGTTTCTCTACCTGAAGGGCGTATTCATCAACGGAAGCAAAATTGTAAATGCTGATGTCCAAGGGTACCGGTTGAGATGGTGCCTCATAATTATCGAATGCCTCTGGAATGCCAAGCTTAAAAACAATTAAAAATGGACATTTAACATGTAATTCACTGTTTATTATAAAATATGTATGTATCATGTTAAATCTAAATTGGAAAAAAATTGTACACTCTGACAAAGAAATAATGTCTTTTAAATCGAGAATTTAATAATTATGTGACGTAATACCTACAGAATCCGTATTGTCCTCGTGTTCCCAATCTCCCTCGAGATCTAACCCCTCGTAGACATTAGCCTCCTCCAAAGACGCAACGCATCCCATTTGTAGTACGCTGAACGCCACAGAAAATAGCACACATATAGGATCACAAAACACGACTTACAAATAAGTATCCAAATCTGACTCAGGCACTGGAACTATATGTAGCCAATGGAAAGGATGGCCGAAAGAATTTCACGAAGATAACAAGTTAGAGAAGAGTTCAAATACAGAATTTTAATCATCATGTTAGATCCTGCCAAAATCTTAGCATCATGTTTAACGTATATACTGCAGACAGAAATTCGTATTATACTTTTGTACCTTACTTAGCCAGAGATCTCGACAAACGTTCCACGGTAGGATCGTTCTGAATTTTTTTTCAAAATTTTCAAAAAATATGAAATAATAAAATTAGATAAACCAATATCGTTATGTAATTTCCAAAAAATCGTCAAGTTTCATGATAAAGAATCACAAACGAAATCACGACTAAGATATGTTCTATAACTGTAGAAGATCTGCATTTCGAAAATTAAATCGCGAGACTATTTTGTAAGGAAATGTCAAAAGTAATACTATACATGTATCTATGGATCAATTAAATGTAAAAAGAAACGTTTAAAGCTTTCATTCGATACAACCTGTTATGGTGATTTTCTGATCATTTTGAAATTTGAGCGACGTGAAACAATGCGTGTGTTAACTGCATCAATGGTTTATTGTTCCAAAGTGTTTAGAAATAATTTTCTGTCACTTAAATTGTCCGTTGTAGTCAAGGAAAATTCATGGGACTAAGTAATAGATAATTAAGTCTTGTATATAGAAACTAAGACTTTTTCAAACACTTATGCGATAACATTTCTTTGCCAATTATAGTTTTCCCATAATGTTTTCACACTACATGCAACACTAAGGAATACATGTACTATAATGAAAAAAAGGTTTAAAAAAATGAAACAGTAATTACATTCATTATACATTTATTGACTGGATTCGAGGGCAAAATGTGTTTTATCGGATCCAAGAACCAAACTGTATGCGTTAGGCCGAATGCAAACAGTTTTGATTTAGGGGTGGACAAAACGCATTTTGCCCTCGAACACGATCAATAATGGTTTTGTTATAAATGCACCTTTCGATTTTTACTTTGATGTACCTTGCGCTGACTTTCACGTTTGCGATAACTGATGTAAATTTCGATTACCCGCATTACGGATTTAACTCGGTTAATTCCATAACAGTATAACACCAACAAATGCAAATACATGTAATATATAGCTGATCCCGCCTACAGTATGACATAAAAAACGTCATAGCGGTCCAATATCTCATTGACTGAGTGACATATTGAGGTCCAATATCTCACTCAGCGGTCCAACATCGATAATTTTGGACTCAGTAGAACATTGGAAATGTTAGACTTCTTTTAAAAGTTTAGATTTATATAGGAAATAATTTTTCAAAGGTATAACAAATATAAATGTTAAAAGGAAATCATTATATTCAATACCTCTGAGATAGCATTGACCTCCACTGGAATTTCATACATGAGCAATAAAATATTACTCTGTGTTTTAACCAACTGCCAATGTTTCTTAATAAATTAATGTTCCTTACATGCAATTGTTATTTTGTGGGTAACATCACCTCATGACTTCTTGTTGATATCTGTTTGATGTTTTGTGAAAAAAAATGTTTACATATAGATAACTACATTGATTAAAGTTTATATACTGACCAAATTTGAATATTAATCATATCACCTTCATTGTGAAAGATTATTTGCAACTTTTAACACTATGCGTGACTAACTTATTAGAATTTGTTTTATTGGTAACTCATAAACTGATGACGTTTTGTAGTTCAGTAATTGTTAGCATGCAGTTTTTGTTTAGCTATAAACTGTCGTGGTTAACGTTTTCCTTTCCTCCTTTGAAGGGCGCGGAGTGTTTCTCCCTCCCGTTCTCTGGCCATCTGTTCGAGCGCTCTTTTCTCTTGAACGATGCTGGTCGACTGAAATAGTAAATACAAGGCAAATGAATCTATGCATTATTTAAGAAATAAAGTCCGCGTTATCGAGAATGTTGCAGGATAACCTCCGAGGTCGAGAAATGTTGTCTGAAATATAAAAGCCGAGGCGTTAGCCGAGGCTTTTATATTTCAGACAACATTTCGAGACCGAGGAGGTTATCCTGCATCATTCACGACAACAAGGACTTTATTTCTATTCTACTAACGACTCTAAAATACAGTTGATCGTTTTCTCTATAGAGAAACGAATTAGGTCACCATGTCGCAATTTCGCTGTTCCATTTAACACCAGAGGGTCAATCGATTGCATAAAATGCAGACGATTTCAGCTTTTGCTGGATTAAAAATATCCTTTAATTATTTATAAATTTGCTTGTAACATATATTGATTAATTTTTATGAATGAAAAATAACAAAACCAGTTGTCTATTTCATTGATTTATCAGTAAAATCACGGGAGTGTAAATGTTATGGGGAGGTCCGTAGAACAGCCCCACTTGGCTATAAAAACGATATTTATCAGCTGTTTCAGGCAATACACACGTTTAGACTGCGGAAGACGACACATCGATATGGTCTAAATAAGTATTAGATTATACAGTGAAATATTTATTTCAACTGTACAGATTTGACATGTGTTTCTGATCTGATAATTTTTTGATGACGTTCGTGATTTATTGGAGAATAATGTCCGCGGCATTTCTTTGATCTCGGCAATAATCGTAGTAGAATTATGTATACAACCTAAGTAATACCCGTCTTTCCAACATTTAAAAATTAAACTGCATGTCTGAAACATGTGAAAGGTTTCAAAATAAAAGGGAAATCATAAAAACAATCCATGTTAAAGTTCAGGTTCACCAGTTTAGTGTTTGTTCATGTTCATATGCTTAATGTGTGTTTTCTGCCGTTTGTTTAATGTGTTATTATTATTTACAACAGCAACAACATGTTGTAAGGAGTCATACCCAGACATAGAAGGCGGCCACTCCCGAGCTTTTATTGTGAATCATTTTGATGTCGTATTTCTCAAGAATAGATCCAACTTTTTCCGTCACAGTTTCCGTCAAGTCCGCCATATTGAAGGTTTTTATCCTGAACATTAGACTCTTTTTCTTTCCGCTTTTCCCCATCAAATAACGTATATCTTCCCAATCCTGCATATTTTATTTTTAATTAAAGCAAATTCATTTGAATGCATATCATGAATAGAATAGAATTTTATCATGACTTAACTGTACCTCCATGTTTTCGATTTTTTCACCCAGCAGCATATAGGTAGCTGTCATGACGTCTTGAATTTCCGGTGTAACTTGTCGGTAGCCATGGATCTCGGCAATGGTGGACAAACTAAGCGAAAGAACTGGATGTGCAAATTCTTCCAACTTCTTCAAATTCTTTACAATCTTTTTTGCCTCTTTAACTAGCCTCTGGATGGTACTATTCGACGCAAACTTAGATTGCTCAGCTTTCTGAATTACTGGATTCAAAACTTTGATAAACCTGCGGTTCATTGCGTCTCTTAGTTCTAAAATATAACACATAGTTAGATATATACATGTACTAGCTCTTCTCTTTTTTTTACTTACAGGGGTTTCGTCATAGTTTTGTAATAAGAACATTCAGCAAAAACACAATCGGAACACACTGACATAACCTAACTGTCTGGAAAATGCATCGTATGTACCAGAGAAATTAAATAAGGGTATATAGCATGTATGTATACAATAGCCATGCCATACTCATTGGGATCATTTTCAATGTATACAGTTTAGTGAATACAGTTCATTGTATACAATGTACGAATGTAAACAATTCATTGTATACAGTGTACGAGTATATACAGTTCATTGTATATAATGTACGAGTGTATACATTTCATTGTATAGAGTGTACGAGTGTATACAGTTCATTGTATATAATGTACGAGTGTATATAGTTCATTGTATATAATGTACGAGTGTATACAGTTCATTGTATACAGTGTACGAGTTTATACAGTTCATTGTATACAATGTACGAGTGTATACAGTTCATTGTATATAATGTTCGAGTGTATACAGTTCATTGTATACAGTGTACGAGTGTATATACAGTTCATTGTATACAATGTATGAGTGTATACAGTTCATTGTATATAATGTATGAGTGTATACAGTTCATTGTATATAATGTTCGAGTGTATACAGTTCATTGTATACAGTGTACGAGTGTATATACAGTTCATTGTATACAATGTATGAGTGTATACAGTTCATTGTATACAGTGTACGAGTGTATACAGTTCATTGTATACAATGTACAAGTGTATACAGTTCATTGTATATAATGTACGAGTGTATACAGTTCATTGTATACAGTGTACGAGTTTATACAGTTCATTGTATACAATGTACGAGTGTATACAGTTCATTGTATATAATGTTCGAGTGTATACAGTTCATTGTATACAGTGTACGAGTGTATACAGTTCATTGTATACAGTGTACGAGTGTATACAGTTCACTGTATACAGTATACGAATGTATATACATTGGTCTTCTACCCGTATGTGCTGATTGGGTACAGGGTCGTACCTGCTTGAAGTTTTAAGAAGTCTCGTTTATCCTGTGCTAAAGTCAGATCCCCATCATCTTCTAGACTCAGTTTGTTGAAGGCCTTGATGGCATCGTCCAGTTCTTTGTGAGAAGTGGCCATCTCAGTGACGTATTTTAAGTTGGTCCTAACCATAGTCTCAGTAGGATTCTACAAAATTACTAGCTTAAGTAAAAGTTCTCTAAACTGACTTAAGAAATGTAGAAAACAATCAAAAGATAAAATTGTCCCAACCTCTTTCGAAGTTTCGTTGATATATCTCTTCTTGCTCTCTATGGACGTGATAAGATAGTTGCATACATTATCCACCTTAGTTCCTTTCTTTAGATATATACAGAGTGCGTATTCGCTTTCATGTGGAACGGTCACCCAGATGTTCAGCTGACGGTTGGCAGCTCTGAAATTCATACAACCTTCCATTTCACTTGGTTTTATAGTTTTGTTCAACAGATCAACATGGATTTTTTCCTTAGTGTCTAAATCAAAACCTATTAAAGTTGGAATATGTATTTTGACTGGAATGATACCCGTGTTGTGTGTAGCATTAAGAAGCCCTGATTTCACTGTGTGTAGACTAGGTCCCCATCCTATAAAAGAGGGCTCAAAGGGCAATTCTATAGGTTTTTTCACAACATTATCACACTGTATTTTGAAATCACAAAACTTGAGCAGGTAATTCTGAGATTTTCCACCCCTAATGCGCATTAGGTATGTTCCAGAAGTTGGGAAGCGAACGACAAATGTCCACGTGGTGCGATTACGACACATGATGACATATTTCGTAAACTGCGCGAAATCAGCAAGTGATTGGCCTGTTTTCTCATCTAACGTGGATAATTCGAACATTAACAAACCGTCCCAAGCCTCATTCTTAGACCGGATCACAATTTCTGTCCTGCCTTGCAGCGCCTGAAGTTTGCCCTTAAAAGCAGAGACGATATGCATATTGTCACGAAAGAAGGGATTGTATAAATAGGGAATCTTTACAAATTTCTCCAAACCAAAAGGTACATTTAATAGCTGCCATTTTGAGTCATCTGGAAGAGCAAAGAAAACAAACTTATCCGGATCGGTGAGGAACCAGAATTCATTTATAGTCCCACCTCTCCTCTTCATCTTTACTTTCGGAAGTGTGCTGTCGGTTTCCTCTAAGAAAGAAAGTGAAAAAGAGGAAAGATCGAATGCATTCTTAAAAGAAAATCAAATACATTGTTGTAATTGTTTTTAGCAAAAGGTGATACCTTCTTCCCTTGTGCTGCCTTGCCTCGGGGTAAATGCCCATTTTGGAAAAATGATCCGCCAATCTCCTTCAACGTACACAGCAACCCATGCATTTCTTAAACGAATTATTTTCTCCATAGGATCACCAACCATGTAAGCCTGACTTTTGGCAATTCCTCTGATGAAAACACACTTCAGATCACATGCCCTGCAACAGATCTGACCACGGTTCAAATCACAGTCAATTGGTAACGTTCCAGCAATAATATTGTTTCTGAGACCTTATTACCTGCACAGCTTCAGCAAGAACAGAGCGTAGGACATCTTTCCCCGTTGAATCTTTCTGATATCGTTGTACGGCGTGTCTGGCTCCATACCTTCAATGGGAGGGAGTATTCGGTGTGTGATGTCCTGAGCACCCATCCATACAAACAGCGTTCTTAACTTATCCATCGGGGATCGGAATCCCCACACGAGGTACTGAATTAGTGTACCCCAACTGTAGCTTACATCGATAGGTGCCTGTGCACATATACAAGAAAAGTCACGGAACGTAAAAAATAAAGAATAAAGAAATAATTTTAAAAAACCTACAAAACTCATAGAAATTGTCCAGTCTTTGATTTATTTTTATTCCCGTCAAAGCACTGAAAGCAATGGATTAAAAATAAAATCGGAAAGAGAGAAAATCGAACAAATTGATAATTCTTCATACATGAAAGTATATGTTAATTTTCTTACAGACAAACCTACCATATGCCCTCTCTCGTCACATTCAGTAAACCCATCAGGTGCAAAGACATCTTCCTTTTTGTTCCGGGGAGGTCTTGGAGAAGGGTAACCTGGCTGTAAACACAAGAATTCATCCTCATTCTCTTCCGGTTCACGTAGGGAGTCTGCCGTCGACGACTTCTGTCGATTGCTGTGATTGGTGGACGCCCCGTTACCCATACCCTCACTAAGTTCTAACTACACGCCATATTCTTCTGCCCAGTGTTAGTCCAATGGTATAGTATTGTCCATCTTTTAAAGAGCCTGTTTCTATTATGAATCTTTATGAAACACTTTTAAGACAAATAAAAAGTCGAAACTTTTACCGTAAAGTTAAATAGAATACTATCGCCATTACGCTCTTTGACCATTTTAAAGTTGGATAACAAAACAAAAAAGGAATTGAAAGTCATCCTTGCATGACACCATTAGAAACCTTTTTAAACTTGCTTTGTCTAAGTTAAATGTCTTATTCGCATAATAGTTTTGCTAATTTCTAACCGTTGAATAACTCGTGCACAAAAAAGGACTAATATTATTGTAAGAATTTGACCATTTCTGATCCTCATATTTATCTCTTGAAATAATTATTTATCTGGAAAAAAAAATCGTAATGTACCTACAGATATGTGTAATCATGGACCCAGTTGTACAGAAGAGCTGACGACTAAGATCAATCTTAGCGGTTTCTAGCATCTTGCCTACCTAATAAATTTATTTAAAATTGTACATCTGAAAATATGTTTTCTAATTTTCATAGATAAGATAATATACCTTTTTTCACTTAATATAAAGAAGAAAATAATTCGCAAAAATATATTTTATAGTCATGAGTCCTTTAGTGAAATGGACCTCAGGCTCCAAGACCATAAACTGAGAACAGACTTAAGTCAAAATTTCAAATCAATATAACTTTTGAAATAATTTTGATAATGAAACAAAATTTTTATCATATGTTTATACTAGTAAATTATATAAATCTGCAAATTTTTAAGCACATATGTTAAATGAAACTCAAGATATTCAAAATAAAAATTCTGACTTAAGCACGGTCTATTCTCAGTTTATGGTCTTGAGGCCAGGAGTTACACCATTACAATACACAGGAAAGTTATCTACAAAATCCTTCTCAAGAATAGCGAAACTGTTATTTTTAAAATAAATATTATGTTTCCAAGTACTGTAAATTCAGTTTGGTTAATATCACCGGCCCTAAATATAGCATGTGGACACGAAGGGGGGAGGGAGTTGGTGACGTTTTCGTATATGTAGGACAAAATACCAGTCATACAAATAATTTAAATGTCTTATATGTACAATCAATGTTTTAACCCCCACCCCCCAGAACAGCTTATAGTGAATGAAATATGAAGATAACGAACAGTGAATTTCAATTCTAAAAATAAGTCAGTTAGGTAGAAAATTTTCTATCTTTCTCACCTTTACTCCAGAAGGTATAAAACATCGTTACAATTAACAGAATGAAGGTTTACCTCAAGTTTTTTCAGACAATTTATTGATTAATTTCATGAAGAAATGAGATTATTCTTGTATTTATGGGTTCAAATGTATCTTTTATAAACGTATTGTTTAGATCTGTGATGCTCTGGGCATTGTTGTTCAATTTATTTGTCACTCTGCTAGTTAAAAAAACGACATGGAGGTACGTGTCAGGAATCAGTTTCTTCCTTAACATAAAAAAAGAAACAAGAGACCGATATTTGTTTATTCACTCTATTTGCTCATGATTTTGATGAAAATAGTCCATCTACAGTCTGTATATAATTTTCAAAGCTTTCTTGCAGAGATGTATTGCATTTATATACACAAAGTTAAAAGTTTTATTTCTTGGCTTTCTGTGGCTTTGCGGCTCCTGGTTTGTTGCTAGCTTTGGATACCGTACTTTTACTCTTCTTGTTTCCAATAATTTGTGCAGCTATATTCTTTGCCTTCAAAAGCAAAATTAAAATAATGTATATAGTTGTACTTTTATTATTTTTAACATTAAATGAAATAGCATGAGTAATCTGATTAACACATATATTACCCAATTATAAAAAGTTCCTGCGCCAGCACTGGCAGTAGACACTTGTTCAGCTGTATACGGTTCTAAAATTTCTAGAACTTCCGTGGCCAATTCCTTATCTGTACCAAGCGTATCAAACTTCCGGACTCTGTACAATAAACTTTGTCTTCCGGTCTGTCTCATCAGGGTCTGAATGTCTTCCCATACCTTGTTAACATATATGTTTTAAAATATGTTTTTGGAAGGGAGAATTCAATAAATGAAGACATAATATATCATTTCAAATTAAAAAAAAGGTTAGTCAACACTCATTTCAAGAAATTGTTATATTTCTTAGTAAAAAGATAAAACAATTGGATTGATCGATACCTGAAGATTACGAGAGGGTTCGCCAAGGAGGAGATATGTTGCCTTCATTATACTGAAAACCAATGGAGGTGGAATCGCATAACGATGGAGCTCCGATATCGTCGTTTGCCTCATCTCAAGCACATCATGAGCAAATCTTTTCAGAGTCAAGAGGTGTTCTCGGAGCTCCTCGGCCTCTTTTATGCGATCCATCAATTTGTATTCATGCTCTGACAACTTGGCAGCATTTATAGCTGGTATAAGCACGTCCAAATTCCTTCTATTGATTCCATCAAGCAGTCCTTAGATAGAAGTTTTATGTTTTAAAATTTTGCTCTTTTAAATGTCTAAATCAGTCTACAGCAAACGTAAGAAAAGACAATTTACCCTTTTGCAACTGGAGAAAGTCCAAACGTTCATGTGCGACCTTAATATCTCCCTTGTCCAGCAGACAGAGCGTGTCAGCCTTTTCAATCGCATGCTGAAGTTCCTCAGCATTTTTGGAAGTCGCTGAAAACGTCTTTGTTCTAAGGTCTAGTCTCGCAACTTTTTCTCGTGCATTCTGAAGCATACAAAAAAGTGAATATTATGTACCAACATGGAGTTTGTTATTATTATAGTGTTCTTGATTATAAACAGGTTACAGTCATAAAGCCCTATACCTCCCAAGTTCTCATTCTCCTCATATCCGTATTAAGAAGATAGTTGCACACATTTTTGAATCCAGTCGTCGACCCCTTTTCTTTACAGTTGATGTGAAGAGTGTATTCACCTTCTTCCGGTGGTGTGATGTAAATACGCAGATTATCATTTTGTACGTGTTGAGTGACGTACTGCGCAAGACTACTATTAGGAATGGCAAAACTGTGTAGCGTGGTTTGAACTATGACAAATTTAGTCAATGTAAATTCAATTCCACTGGCCCTATTTCTGTGAATTTGTATAAAACCAGATTTATGAGATATCGGTTGTAGACCCGCATCCTGTGTCAATTTCTGTGGTCCAAATCCAATCTCTGGTACAGTGGGATACGGTGAAATTAGCTCCTTTACTTCCGCGCACGTGATTCTACTAGAAAGGAGCCATTGCTTCACGCCATTGATTACTCCATTTATCGTCAGTTTATAAACCCCTTGAACAGGAAATCTTACGACAAATGTCACCTTACCCTCCTGATGAATCAATGCTACGTAATTTTGGAGCTGTATCTGCGGAGGCAGCGTAGAACCTGATTCTTTATTGTTAAAAAATAAGTCATAAGACATCGTTATTGGAAGATTTTCTGGAATTTTTATGGCGACATCACATTCTCCATGTAAAGATTCGAGTCGACATGAGTAAGTACTCAGTAGTTTTAATTTATTTTTAAAGAAATCTTGTCTAAGATATGGAAGATCAAGAAATCTCTCTTTGGAAATGACCTTTGGTATTAACTGCCATTTTGGTTCATTTGGAAAACAGTGGTAAAGAAAAACATCCGGGTCAGTCAGAAAGTAAAATTCATTTAACTTGTTTATCACAGTACCACCCGAAGTCTTTGACTCTTCTCGTTTCCCAACACCTAGTAATAAAAAATGTAAACAACATTCACAAACTGATAACAAAATATACGATGATATATGTTTCCTATTAAGAGAAAAAAAAACATATATCATTATTACCTGTCGATTCTATCAAGGTCCATTTTCCTGTACTGTGACCAACAACACACCTACATGCCCACAATGGGAAGATTATGCGCCATGCTCCTCCTACATATACGGCATTCCAGGAATTTGTCAGGTTCTCAGTTTTCTTATCACCAACCTCATAAGCAACACTTTTAGCAATGCCCTGTATTATGACACACTGAATATCAACTGACCTGTAAAAATATGAATAAGACTGCTCCAAGCCAGACTTATTAAAGTAAACATTCTTATCGTTGAATTTGAAATTTCTCCTATGTCTGAGTTTGATTTAATTTTAATTCAGTAGCAAAGTGCCATACCTACACAGCATGGCAAACAGCGTTGTATATGAAGTCTCTCCCCTTTTCATCATTCCAAGGACTCCTTCTGGGGAATCAGCAGGGGCTTTGGGGGACCACTTCCGACCGAAAATTGGCTGAACTGACATCCAGACGAACAAAGCGCGGACCTTAAGCAACGCCTTTGGGTATGTTGCCGTAAGCCTCTCGGCCAACGCTTTAATAGTCTTATAATCATCGGGAAGAACCTAAAATACATTTCAATATGAATAAGCCTTTTAACTGACAAATTGTTTCATCGATATACATGTATGCACTCGCTTAATATGAAGTATGAACGAATTACGGTTTTGGCATCGGCGTCCACTACATCGAAGTCAAAGAACTGTAGAAGTTCCGACGTCCGGTTGTGCGGCGGCTTGGGGACAGGGTATCCTTGCAAAGTGTGTGGAATCGGGTTCTGTGGATAAAAAGCACAAATCTATGATCACAGTATTGTGTATTGCAACTTATGGCCAAAGACATTTATATATTTAAACACAGCTTAAATTTACTTTAATTTGTGTGAATCAAATCTTTGAGGAAAAAATTAAACCCTTAAAAGTGAAACTGGAAATTATGAAAGAATTCAGTTAATGGAATAAGATCAAACTTGGGTTAAAACAGTTAGAAGAACTTGCAGTGAATTACCAGTTCTACCGCGGGTTCCTTGAGTGGGTCTGCTGTCCGTAGTATTGGGTCAACTTGTACCGAGGAGGAACCGCACCCCATTCTTATTAAAGGGACGTCACTCCATTGAGAATCTACCTGAAGTTTTTTTTTTAAAGAAGAGGGTATTTAAAACCTTATAATATTTTTAAGGAATTAAATTATAAATATACTATGCAAAGTTTATCATTAGTAATGATTATTGAAAATTGATTTCTACGACTTCCGTCAGAATTACATTTCATAATAATTAATATTGTTAAGAATGATCTCCAAATTTGGACAAAAGTTGCTCAACATTCTTACATTTTTTGCATTTGATAGTTAGATTAATCATTGTTGAAGTGATTAAGAATTTTAATGATATTATATCTAAGAAGAAAACCCGAATAAACTTACGGTTCTTTACATGTTTTGATTTTCTTCTTTTATGTGGAAGTTCTCCATTGTGTTGCGTTAAATGTTTGTGTATTTATTTTTACTTGGTTTCCATACTAAAACAAAGGCAGACAAAAATGACGGCAAGTATTCATAAGCATTCATGCAGTTAGTTCTATTTAAAGATAATAAAAATAGACAGTGCCAGGGAAAACAAAAACAATAGAAGAATTTAATAAAATCTTAGCTGAAAAATCGTTCTTAAAATTGAGTTAACTTTCCTTTTTCGGAACAATTTATGATAATGTAAATCTTACGCAGAGTGTATACGGCGCGGATCTAAGAAGTCTGATTTTAATTAGATTGCAAATTGAGTAATACACTTTAAATCTGTTCTAGGCCTAAGGACACATCACTCTAGCTGCATAAAATTATACGAGAACTGTTCATAATGTGCAGTGTATAGAGTACCATGGTTCTTTTTATTAAATGACATTTTCTTTATAAAATTTCGTGTTTTTCAAAAGCTAGATGTGATCACTCCGTCTATCATACTTATATCAGTCATTATTATGAAAAAAGAACATTTTTAATCTGATAAAGTGTCTTCTTGGATCAATTGCATGCTTATTACGAGGAGGCATAATGTAGTTTTTAACTATATATCATTTTAAAGGTTGACAAAGGATTAACACCCCCCCCCCCCCAAGAAGGCATGTTCTCTTTTAATGTCAATGGCGTTTTCCTCAGATTCAGTTGTGTTTTAGAGGCAGACATAAACACAGAAGATATAGACATTGCACCAGATGAAATCTTCCAACTAAAAATTGACGATGTCCGGAAAACAACAAAATCATTTCCTTACTGGGATTAAGTTTATAGATACATGTATATATAAATGATAAATGTCGTCTAAATGCACAAAATAATGATAATTTTCTCTAAAATAAAAACAACATAAAAAAAACAAAAAACATTATAGTGCCATGTAAAAATTCTGTATTATTTGAATTTTAATAGGCCTATATGATTCCTTTATTCCAAATCAATTTATCCAGAGTTTGAAGCACAAGTATTAGATTTATCCGCATATACGGCATCTATAATTATATCAATATATCATGGAAAAACAAGTACAAGCGTATTAATTGTTCTCTGTAATCTGAAATACCTTACCTTTAAAGTTCCACAAAAAACAAAATCGAATACAAGTATGGAGAGTAATAAAACAGCTGTATTTCTTAATCAAGTATAGTTTCAGAAATAGTGACGTCATAAAAAGCGTTTGGCGTCAATGACGTCACATTTTTATTATCTACATCCCCAAATGAAAATGATTAAAAATAGGAAAATGCTACAATAAGAAAAAATATTTAAGGTTAACGATTATTTTTCTTTGTTTCTTATTTATTTATGTATTCACTTAATTATTTACATTACACATCAACTCAATATTTATATAGGCCAGTAATTCAGGCACTTTACACTTAAAATTATGCGAATGGTGAATATTCATAAACAGAAAACTCATAAACTTATTATTTAGGCCAACTTTAAAATAATGTTTGTTTGCCCTCTCCCGACTCAGGATGACAAAAATTGGGTCGGTAGGTAAGTGAGAAATTTTTTTTTCTCCCAGAAAATTTCAATGCTGGATTTTCAAAATCTATTTTCCAAAATGCATGAAAAACATAATTGCTTCCTGTATTTTATTTAACACTCTTATTTAATCAAGTCAAAACTATTAATGTTAGTAATGAATGACATTTATGTTAAAACTATGCGACAAAATATTTTCATGTCTCATCATGTATATAATAGCATGATTGGTTTAAAAATGTTTATTGTTTTCACCATACACAGTGTATCAACAGTAAAAATTCATGATAAACAAGTGTGTCTTTGTATATGACAATATCACTTTCTTACATTGCGAAAGAAAATATCATAGCATAAAACATAGAAAAAAAAAAGAAAGAATCTTGAGTAAAATTTAAAAAAAAGCATTTTTCCTCTTGGATTGTCATGGAAACATCAGGATTTATGGTGTTTGAAAATCCGTCTAGGTCGCATCTGTAACAATATTTGATGCCTGGAATGTAGAATTCAACAAAATCAGAAATTGTTTATTCAGTTACAGTATTTTTCATAGCTAAGGTTTATTTAATCCATTAGTTTAAAATTTTGACTACTCACCCATTTGTAAAAGGTTCCTAGTCCCGCGCTCGCTGTTGTCGCAGTTTCTTTGTCGTAGGGACGTAGAAGTTGCGCTGCATTGTTCACCATGTTTTCGGTCACATGGATCGTGTCAAACTCGCGCACGCGCCGTAAGAGACCCTGCTTTCCCGTTTTTCTCATCAGACCCTGAATTTGCTCCCATTCCTACAAAGTGCAACATAAAAAAATCATTTTTTAATTGTTGATTTCAATACAGAAAGTTTTTTCACATAAGATTTCAATGATTCCAAAATATTTCTTCGATCTGTTTTATTCTGAATTTAGTAGTATATAGATCATATACAGGAAAAGTATTTTGCATTTTTTTAAAAAAATATAGACGCTGGAAATTTGCTTCAAAAACTGTATATGTACCTCTAAATGACTTTCCTTTTCTCCAAGAAGAACATATGTGGCCTTCATGATGTCGTAAGCCAGGGGTAGGGGATGTTTATAGGCGTGAATCTCAGAAATTGTTGGCTGCTTCATCTGCAGAACTTCGTGCGCGAACCTTTTGATTTTCCTTAACTCTGCTAATAGTTGCTCTCCTTCCTTTATCAGATTTGGTAAGTTTGATGAAAATTCGGACGACTTGGCGTTATCTAATGCAGTCTCCAATATATCTACATTTCTTCTTGCAATTGCCTCCTTCAATTCTAGAAAATGATTGAAATTTCACATAAACGGTATTGCATGTATATCATGCACATTAGAACATGCGTTCATAGTGAAACGGACATGCATGTATAATGGGTGTCCGATTATTGCAATTATCTGTGTTACAATTTACATGTTTTATATGTCAATTGAAGTTTTCAATAATGATTAATCAAGCACTCCCAAAGCATCACGTGCATTTGTTACTAATTTCTCATATTAATCTTCAAAATTTTTACTTTTTACCTTTTTGCAATATAAGGAAGTTTTTCTTTCTTTCTGCCTTCTCTCTCTTTCCATTGTCGTCCAAGTCGAATTGGTCAAACTTGTCTAAAGCTTTCTGAATCGTCTCTGGGTCGTTCGACTTTAGACATTTATTCAGATTGTTTCGAGCCTTCTTTTCTGCTGCGTTCTGACAAGATATATAAATTATACATGTACATAGTGTATATTATAAGAAGAAAATTAGAACGTACATTTCACAATCCTTAAAAACCAAGCGTAAAATTGTATGTTAAGTTCTCTTAATTAATGGACAATTTTGAAATTTTCAAAATTATACCAATGTTAAAATTACCTCGTATGATCTTTTCTTTTTATTCATCTCTTCCGATGCTAATAAATAGTTACAGGTGTTTTTGAAGGGTTCCGAAGACCCCTTTGTTTTTGTGTTGATTTGTAGAGCATATTCTCCTTGTTGTGGCACGTTAACATTAATGTCGAGTTCTTTACCTTTGACCTTATGTGTGACGTGTTGACTCAGCACCTCCTCCTTAATATTATTGTGAACCAAGACTGTCTGCACTAAAACGTTTTTAGAAAGATTAAATTTAATATTAACATTTTTGCTCTTTTTTATGTTGATGAATCCTGATTTGTGAGAATCTGCCTCTAATCCTGCAGCCGTTGTTACTAAATTTGGCCCAAACCCTGCCTCTGGGTTACACGGGAACGGCTTCACATTACTGACATCTTCGTTACAATCCAATCGGAAAGAACAAATTAGAGGAAATCCCGTCGGAGATCCGCCGTAGATTTCCATTTTATATATTCCTGCGCCTGGAAATCGAATCCGAAAATTTACAGCAGATTTATTGTTCATAACTGCAACATACCTATCTAACTGAATTTCTTTCGATAATTTAGTGTTTGATTTTTCATGATTAAAGTAAAGCTTGTATAAGTGCTTAAATTCTTCTCCATTTGTCTTTTTTATACCAATATCGCAAACACCATCCTCAGATGTATACAGGCATTCGAGTTTAGTTGTGATTTGGATATGATTTTCAAAGTAAGCTTGTTCACAATTTGCTATTTCTATGAATTGTTGCTTTGTAAAAGGTTTTCCAAGTAACTGCCACTCTGGGTCCCGAGGAAAACAAAAATAGATGAACTCTTCTGGGTCGGTGAGGAAGTAATAGTCATTGAAATTACTGACGGTGGTTCCTGTTGACTTCTCTGCCGTTTCTCTCGTTCCTTTACCTGATAAGTAAAGTTATTAGGTGTTAAATTTGCGTAAGAAACGGTTGTTAGTTCAAAGATAATTTATAGCAAATATATTTTGTTTAAAACATTTCGATTCTACAGACAAGTACTCCAAAGCTGATATTAAAAAGAGTTTATAATTGACAATCTTCCAACAATGTTGGAATTCCCGTGGGTACTAATTTTGCCCCCTTATTAGGCCAAATAAAAAAATATGTGTGGTTCCGGTTACCCGACCTTCCCTATTTTATACCCCCGACCCTAAACTTTTTTTTGGCAATTTTCATATTTTTTCCGGAATTTCCCCCGATTTCCATTAATGGATCCAGTTTAAGTTTTAGTTTTAGCAATGACGGCCTCCTTGCAAAACATAGTGCAAGTGTTTAATAGTGTTAAATCCAAAACAAGCTAGCATGTAGGTGTCCCCTACCAATATTGACTAGTATATTATCACACCACATCTAAATGCCATTTGCAAAGCAGTGATAGGTATTATTTAGAAAAAAATAAGAAAATCATTTTGTTAAAAAACAAAAAATCCCTACCTACCTACCCTAATTTTTTTGGAAGTGTAACCGGAACCACACATATTTTTTTGTTTTGCCTTAGCAGTGTTTTGGAATTCAAATGAAGCAGAATTTATTCAAAAACTTCCACATGAAAAGAAAAAAGTCTCTTGCTGTGGCCTTCAATTCGACATTTAGATATACCGACGACGTTTTATCAATTAACAATATTCATTTTCATCCCTTTGTTGATTCGATGCATCCCTTTGAACTCGAAGTTAAAGATAGCAACAGAGAGTCTGATACCTCTGTTTCATATTTTGATATTTTACTAGAGAAAGACATTGATGGCAAACTAACAACCAAAGTCTAATGTTTTCTATCATCAACTTCCCTTGTAGCAATAAATTATTAGCACCTGCACGTGGAGTTTATGTCTCCCAGGCGATATGATACGCAAAGGCATGTTTTATACTTCTGTAATCTGAACAATCTCTAAAACGAGGCAAGTTATTGATAAGTATGTTGATGAAACATGGATATCATCAGCTAGTCTCGTTTAAAGTCAACATTTAGCAAATTCTATGGTGGATACAATAACCTTCTTAGCAAATACAATTTATCGTTAAGTCGTATGCTGAAGGACGTTTTCCACATTGATTGTTAGACCATTATTTTCATACAGAAATAATTTAATTCTGGTTGTAACCCTGTATTTGATTGGATAAAAAATTTACTTTATATCGTATAAAATGGGTTGCCTACGTCACAGTGACTTGCGTCAAAAACGTATCGATCCGCCTGACGTTACATTCAAATTTTGTACAAATTGAAGTCATTTTTAAAGGACAGTCATCTCTTTTTCTTACACCAAATGAATGAAAATTAAATTATAATTAATAGCTACCCAATATATACGGTATAAACTGGGTTGAAACAGTTTACGCTTTTTTATAAACCGCTTCGCGGTTTATAAAGCGTAAACTGCCCCAACCCAGTTTATACCGTATAAAATGGGTAGCTATTAAATTCATTCCTTAAAGTGACAGTACGGCGCATCTCATCAAAAAACTGACTAGATAAAATTTTCCGACAAGATTTGGAATTTTTTTACTACTCATAAATTTATAAACTTTCAGAAAATTACAACTTTTACAATTAAATAATTTGGATTATTTCATTAAAATTGATAGTTATTTATGGAACGTAAATATATACATCGCAACGTGTTCGGGGTTCCACATTCCATGCTATGCACGCATGCGTAGTTTTCATAAACAAAACAGCATGGTTAGAGAGGGAATCCCGGTAGGCCTGTTACATTGACAAAGTCGACCAAAAAGAAAAAGAAACTGAAAATAGAACTTGAAAAAGCAACATTCCTGACTAAAATTTAGTTTTGGGATTAATATAATCGCTGGATAAGGAAGAAACGGAAACTCGGCGACACTCACGCAGGGCTCTCGAAGGTTCTATTCGACAGGTTTGTTGATACTTGTTATCACTTCTCATTTTTCCGTCGCTTTCAAAGAAAAAAATAGTGTAAACTCAACATAAAAAATACATCTTTGACTTATAAACATTGTTGCCATTTGAAATGCTAATTTTTTTTAACTATGCAGAAAAATATTTTGTTTGACATTTACCGCGATAACGTATGATTAGTTGGTTTTTCCTTTCTCGGACCCCAATACACAAAACGTAAACATTTGTACTTTTAATTCTGTTAAATTCGCCTGAATGCAGACTAAAATCTTTACGATTATTATTTTAGATTATTTTATCAGAAAGTTATGATAATTTGTGTTTTTGAAAATTGCTTTCACCTAATATTCATTATAACTGTAAACTCTACAGTGTAGGCACGTGCCGTTTTAGAATTCACGTGGTACAAATAAACAGATCTAAGATTGCTCCAGTTCGTACGACCCTTGATTTTCCGGCAGATTCTAATTACGTTAATTTTGTTTGAGTAGAGAATATTTCTGTTTCTCAAACTGCTTACATCAACTTTATACCTTATTTCTTAATGACATATTGGGTAAATTTGGATGAAAAAGCACACATTTTGCAGCCGTACTGTCGCTTTAATAGTCTTCGGATTTTTCTGTTTACCCGATCATGATAGGGAGCACACGGCGGGTATATAACCGGGAGATCGGATATTTTTAGATCCATGTTTGCTATGCTCATAAGAAAGAGGGCGTACAAAGGACAAGTTTACGGAAAAAATATATTTTTCTAAAATCCTATTGTTAATAATGTCATCTTCAACACATTTCATTCATTTTATTTAATAACTTACTGTTCGTTATCTTTATATTTCATTACAAGAGTTCTTTTAATCCTATTTTGGTCAACCACTAGATTTTTTTATGGTTAAAGAAATGAAGAACTTCTTTCGTCAGCAGTAGTTTTACAAGATATAACATGTGTTTTTGTTATAACTGAAGTTAAAGTTTATCTTGATGTATTTTTAATTATCTCAAAATCCTACCATCAGATTCCACAAGTGTCCATGTTCCGGTACTGTGACCAACAATTGCTGAAAACGCCCACAGCGGAAACACTAAGCGCCACCCACCGGACACAAACACGGCAGTCCAGGAGTTACCCAGACTGTCCACTGTCCTATCACCAACCTCGTATGCCGCACTCTTAGCTATGCCACGGATGAAAACACAGGGTATTTTTACAGCTCTAAAAATAGAAAATTAAAATACTGTATCTCTAATTCATTAGGAATGAAATCCCCCCTCCCCCCCACCCCCCCAAAAAAAGGAATGGTGCAAGATAGGTACAAGTAACATTAACATCATAAATTAAAATACGTGTTCATTTATAAAATTTTATGGATAGTATGAAAGGTTTTGTATTTTATGTGTACTATGGCGGTGAATGTTACCACTACGATAGGACACTTTTAATATGAGGGAGCGGAATGTAACTACTGACTGTGACTTTGATGTTTTTTAATCAAATTTTCTATTTTTTTTCCTCTTTATAAAAGCTTGAAAAGCTAGAAACAGTTTTTTTTCTCTCCAAATTGTAATCGTATGCAAAAAGAGCAAAAAAAAATTTCTAAATCAAGCAGTTAAAACATTTTACTGTAAACGTAGCAGTCATTTCTGAAAGGGTACTTGATGTGATTTACTGCTTGATAAATACTTAATATTACCTTTTTAGTATCAATGTCGATGAATATGTGTTTACAATGTGTTTTATATCACAATTCATTCTGAAATATGTTGAGTTTAAATCGATCAGCTGCCATTTGGATTGTTAAAACACTTAAGGGAGTTCTCTACCTGAAGAGTTCTGTTTTAATACTATACAGAAAAAAGGGCAACAAAGAGAGAGAGAGAGAGAGAGAATATCAATATGGCAACACGCGGGAGTGGCAGTTACAACGCGGAAAATCAAGGGCGATAGGGCGATATTGCGCAAATACTGAAGGCAACAATGCTATTGGCGAGATAAGTGCCACCCTTGCGTTTTAGATTTGCATTCTGTACGTCGACGCGTCTTCTTTGTTTTTCCCATCGATCTGTGTTTTACCTTAAGGGTGATGAAACGAGTAGCTTTTTTTGAGTTATAATTTAACTGCTGTATTTGTTTTTTCCTTACCTACATAACGAAACAAATAAAAGGTTGTAGGAGGCTTTTCTCTGGGTAACTAATTGCACAATATGTTGAGGTGACAGGGGCTCTACATTGTTGTTTGAATTATGTCCCTTTGATCCTTGAAGGCCAATCCATGTAAAGAGCGCGCGCACTTTCTGCACGTCATTCCATAATCCCTCAGTAAGAGCTCTAGACAGCGCCTCAAAGGACTGATAATCTTCCACTCTTATCTAAAGTTTAAAGAGAAATAAAGTTCAGTTAAAAGTTTTATCTACTACAGAGATTCACGAGCAAATACCTGCCATTCAAGAGGAAAGCGCACCATCTGCTGAAGACTTGGGGGGTGTTTTATTTGTGTCGCAAAAAAAAAAATCTTTCTTTTTTAAAATCCAGCTTTTATTATGGGTCAAGGAGTTCAATCGGATATGTTCAAACCGTGCGAAACTGTTGAAATTGAATTAAATATTCAATGATAAATATAGACATAGAATTGTTCTTTTTCTTGTTCTGTTCGACCATTAGGTACTAAATCGTCCTACTCACTTGACTGGCCCTGTTATCAGCAACTGCTTTATCCTCTGCTGTAAAAATGTGTCTCTTTTTGTCTAATACCGGCTTAGGAGGAGGGTATCCTTCAACAAAGTCGTCCAAAGCCATCTGAAATATAAATTTTGATTTCAAAATATATATCAAAAGTAGAGTATTTTCTAAGTATGAATATCATTGTTGCAAGATTCGGACAGCAAAAGGAGCGGGGTCTAAAGAGTAAAGATATTCTTATAAAATGAGGGGCCGTTTCAAGTTTCTATCTTTAATCTTACATATTTCACTATAAAATATTCAAATTTGTTTATTTGGGAAAAAATCTTTTCTTACCGGTTCTTCGTCCGTCTCTTTCAGAATGTCTGTTTTTGGGCCGCTGGCGGTTTTGGACTTGGAGCCCCCACTTCCCATTTTTGTCGATGATTCAGTACTGCAATATGCAATTAAACTGGGCTAAAAGTTGAATTAGGAAGTAGATCGGCTAATGTCATACTCCGTCTCATTAAGTGAATTTCAAAATAAAAAATATTTCTATGTCAAACATTGTCTCATCAGCTTAATTGTTCTTAAAGAAATAGATAGTGAGTTTATCGAATTCAGAAGTGAACAAATATTGAGTTTAAATCGATATTCCATTTATTCAAAGAAATAAAATAAATGATCAAAGAAAGCGCTAAATTCATATCTGTATCAAATGTGTATTGCTTGTGTATGGTCACAAAATGAAAGCCTGTAATGGACTAGTAAACAAGAAACCTTTTGAATTCTAGTTCTAGGATAGCGATGTAGGGATTGTTCCTGCTTTATGGACAATCATTAACGAGCCACCTGTTTGTATTCTGTGTTAAATAACCCAATAAATTTTTGCCCGATCTTTTATAACAAAATCAATACAAATCGTTCAGTTTGCAGTCTCTTCTGCCACTACTGTATTGGTCCTGAATGTTTTACCTGAATGTGCATTCTCTCTTGTGTTGAGCTTTTTTTAACGGTTTACATTTCCAAGAGATAGAACGATAGCGGCAAATAATAATTATCCATAATTCAGATTTTAAAAACAAATCCAATGTAATTCGATATACTTTAACCTAAAAGCAAAACCTCATTCCATTTTTTTTTTACAAAACAGTACTTGTTCTTGTATAAAACAGAAGTTTTCTAAACAATTAAGCAATCGTTAAAACCTGCCTCTATTTTACGGATTTGTTTTTGTCTGAAGAACACAGCATATAATTGATAACGTAAAAAGGCCATTGTTGAATGTTCAGTAAACGTGGTTGAGGATAAACGATCTTATAAGACTGCGAAAACCATCATAACTTGGATGTATTATTTTATGTAATGCAGCAATTTCATCACATATCGTTTTTTTTTTCTTTCTAATAAATAAGTTAATGCAAAATTCAGAATAAACATGATTTGTTGGTATTTGGTAGAGAGCCCTCGCATTTTCCATGTATACATTATTCACGATACAATATTTAAAAAAAAATGTGTAAACACTTTTTTTTTTAAAACATTCTACATTAGAATCGATATCTGAGAAAAAGAATCTTGGAATTACTTTGACTTTTTCTTCTTCAGAAACTTCTAAAATGAAAATGTTCTAACATACAGTACCGTGTTTAACACAGCAAGTTAAAAACATGCAAATGCATTTAAGACAAGCTAAGACTTTAATCAAATTTTTACACATGAAAAAATATATATCTTTAAAAAAAATGTTAACCATTTCTCTAGTTCATGCAGCATTAGAATTATTGAAATCTGGTATGTCACTCCTTGTTTGAATATTTTTGCAATAATAGAAAAACAATTTACCTTTGAAACTCTTCGTTCAGCCACCCAAATCTTTATACATGATTTTGCTTAAATTCCTTGAATTCAAAATGCGTTCTGGTTTGTTTAAACAAATCGGCGAAGCTACCATTGAAAATCGAATTCCGAGAATCATCTACACCAGGCCGATGTTCACTTCCTTGTGAAATGACAAATGTCTCTTAACTTGCGCAAACATCTTCAGTGCGTTGTAACAATTTCAGAATATGATTTAAAAGATTGGTGGTTTACTTAATGAGAGAAATCGATGTCAGATTTTGATATGTTTTTATCTTGAATGGCGGTCCTTGTCGCGCGCTGTTTCCCGGAGTCTAAATACCTGCTCTTTTGTACCGAGTATGTACACAACCCGATACATTACAGACACTATCAGCACACAAACAGATTGAAAAATTTAATCTTCTGCTCTTATGAACAGACAACATTTAGCCTCCAAGTAATGACATTTGTTTGTATTTTCTTCAAATAAAATTTCAGAATTTAAGATTTTCAAAAATGATTCCTTGTTTAAGGACTTGAAAAAGATAACAGTGAGATGGGAACACATTAAATCTTCTTGCAAACCTGCAATTATCACTCTATCATTATACAGATCTATTTTGGGATGGGGGACTGAAGATTATTACCTTGAATATCTTTTTTTTTATTTACAAATACACCAATAAATAATTTAAAACACAAGAACCATGGTGTACTTTTATAAAAACAGTCACCATAAGAATATAGAAGTGATTTTGTCATGGAGTATTCTATATTGTCATGGAGTATTCTATATTACTTGACAATGAATAGATAAGAACAATATAATAAACCGCGTTCACTTACATTTTAAAAATCTCATTTAAAAAGGTATGGAATTTCATATCTAAGTAATAATGTTTCAAGACATGATTGATTAAATACAACGGGTTTATTTGAGTGCAAGACCACTTTGTAGTCAAAATGAACATATTTTTAAACTCAGTTTTATCACATGCACAAAAACATTTTGTGACAAGCAAATAATTAACGTGGGTGTATTTTGAATAAAAATTGAACGTGGAATCCCTAGTTTCTTTATCTACCAGTATGTATTTAAAATTTTACCCCCCCCCCTCAAAAATGCATCAAAATTTATTAATTTTCAACACGTTATACAACCATTCCCCACGATAAAATAAAGACCAGGCTATCTGACATCATGGACATTACTTTTATTTTTACTTGCGATTGTCATCTACAAACTTAGTTTAAGAAAAAAAGTTCCATTCTGATTCTACACACAAGTACTCTGAAATTATAACAAGAGGCCCAGGGGCCACATCGCTCACCTGAGCACTGTGGCTAGGAAAAAAAGCAAAATGCAATGCTTAAATGGTCCCGACTTACCGATAAAAGGGAGGGGGTATGATTTGAACAAAATTGAATCTACACTTACTAAGGATGCTTACATATTTTTTTGACTAACTGTGACTTTTTTCCTAAAAGTTTAAACTTTCATTGTGGCCCTTACCTATCCCTGAGGGTCATGATTTGATCAAACTTGAATCTACAATATCTGAGGATGCTTCCGTATAAACATGACCAATCATGGTTTTGCTGTTCTTGAGAAGGAGGTTTTTTAAGATTTTTCCTATATATTCCTATGTAAAACTTTGATCGTCCATTGTGGTCCTACCCTACCCCCGGGGGTCATGATTTGAACAAATTTGAAACTACACCACCTGAGGATGCTTGCATATAAATATAACCAACCATAGTTTTCCTGTTCTTGAGAAGAAGATTTTTGAATATTTCCCCAATATATTCCTCTGTAAAACTTTGATCACCCACTGTGACCCCACCCTACCCCCACGGGTCATTACTTGAACAAACTTGAATCTACACTACCCGAGGATTCTTCCGTGTAAATATGACCAATTAAGGCTTTGCTGTTCTTGAGAAGATGATTTTTAAAGATACTCCATATGTACTCCTATGTAAAACATTGATCGCCCAATGTGGCCCCACCCTACCCCTGGGGGTCATGATTTGAACAAACTAAAATCTTCACTACCTGAGGATGCTTCCATATAAATATGACTAATCAAGACTTTGCTGTTCTTGAGAAGAAAATTTTTACAGATTTTCCCTATGTATTCCTATGTAAAACTTTGATCACCCACTGTGGCTCCACCCTACTCCTGGGGGTCATGATTTGAACAAACTTGAATCTTCACTACCTGAGGATGCTTCCATATAAATATGACTAATCGAGACTTTGCTGTTCTTGAGAAGAAAATTTTTACAGATTTTCCCTATGTATTCCTATGTAAAACTTTGATCACCCACTGTGGCTCCACCCTACTCCTGGGGGTCATGATTTGAACAAACTTGAATCTTCACTACCTGAGGATGCGTCCATATAAATATGACTAATAAAGACTTTGCTGTTCTTGAGAAGATTTTTTAAAGATTTTCCCTATGTATTCCTATGTTAAAATTTGGTCGCCCACTGTGGCTCGACCCTACCCCTGGGGGTCATAATTTGAACAAACTTGAATTTACACTACCTGAGGATGCTTCCACATAAGTTTCATATTTTCTAACACAGTGGTTCTTGAGAAGAAGATTTTTGAAAGATGCCATAAATTTTTCGTGAATTCGCAATTATCTCCCCTTCGAAGAAGGCGTGGCCCTTATTTGAACAAATTTGAATCCCCTTCACCCAAGGATACTCTGTGCCATGTTTGGTTGAAATTGGCCCAGTAGTTCTGGATAAGAAGATGAAAATGTGAAAAGTTTACGACAACAACAACGACGCCAGACAACGGACAAATTTTGATCAGAAAAGCTCACTTGAGCCTTTGGCACAGGTGCGCTAAAAAGATGCTCGAGTTCGTGAATACCAATTTGTAGTCTTTGAAGACCAGGTCTTCCAACAAATCTCCTGGGTACCACCTGAGGCTCTTTTCTAGCTCACCTATTTTGCTGTGGCCTTTAATTTGACATTAAAAAATATGGACCACGTTTTATCAATCATATGAATTCATTTTCATTGTTGATTCGATATATCTAAGATGTACTCGAAATAAAAGACATCGCATATCTTTCATATTGGGATGTTTAACTAGAGAAAGACTTAAGAAAGACTCTGATAGCAAACTAACAACTAAACGTTATGAAAAATGTGATCACTTCAACTTTTGCCTCGCCAACTTCACTTAGATATTACTCAGATATAAACAATTCTAAACAGAGGGCGGCTACTGACCAAAAAGTTTAATACAGAATAAGTCAACAATTGGCAAATTCTATAATATGACCTTGTTTGCAAATAAATCCTGTCCTGTACATTTTTTAACTTTTGTTTTTTAAAACAAATTGTTAGGATAAGAATTTTTGACTTTTGAGCATGATAACTTCGTTATCTTTAAATTCCATTTACCATTATCAATTAAGAAACTGGTCACACAAAAGCACAACGGAGCATTAAAGATGTTCTTAATTTTTTTCATATTGATATTTCTAATGGTACTAGTTCATGAATGTGTGGTTTGCCAAGGAGGATAATAGTACTTCAATGAAGCTGGTATCAGAAGGTTTTTTACATGTATA